CATTAACCAGAAGATTATGTACAGGCAYACTCTGTATTGTTTGTGATAGCTACTGAAAAACTTAGCCAGCATTTGTATTCTTTAAATACAAATATAGCTGGATTTTCTTTAAAAATACACCTGTGCAGATGTAGAATGCTTTTTATATAAAAATATTCTTACACTGCCATTTTTGTAGMCTGTACTTGTGCTGCCTGATCTGTAGGATCAGGCAACTGACAGGGCTACTAGTGGGAAAGACCAAGAATCCCTTTTAGAAGAGGCAACAAGTCACAGTCACTACCCAAGGGGTGGATGTCCTGGCTCATGTTGCTCTGCGCTACATAAACCASCCTGTAAGTGGTGGTTATAAATGATTAATCCTTAGCAAACCACCCCGTGGCCTCCAGCTCGTGGGGATAAGGCAGGCTAAGGACACACGACGATGCCGTGCTGGCCCCGCATTGTGGGTTACCAACATCCGTGATCTGAGCTCAAGCACATATTAATTAAATGAYTGAACGTATCCTATCTTCTTCCTCCCCACTAAAAATCAGGAGGTTCTGATCAGCAGGTGCCCGTGCTTAGTAGCTCTTACGGGTTGGCCCTGAATTGCCAAGCGGTGGCGGRTGACCGATAGCAACACAGGGCTCTAGATGTCTGCAACGCTTCTTTGGCGCCTGGGCGCTGTCTGAATTCTGCTTTTGCTGGAGCTGCCTGACCTAGTTATTCTGAGCTGGAGCTGCAGCCTGGCTTCCTCCTATGGCAGCTAGGGATTTTGCTCTGCAGTCCTATAGCATCTTTAAGGATCTCAGTAGATTTGAAAATAAAAAAGCACCGGCTTAAGCTGCCTCCTTTCTGTGCGAGTTAAGCAGGGGCTCTGTCGTTTTAGTAGTCAACCCTTCCAAGGGTGTCTCGGGAGCCGATGGAAAAGGTAGGCTGTGTTATCTGCTGCAGTCCTGATACTGAAGGAGTGATCCTGATCCCCCTGGCTTTCATGGGAAGCAGCAGATATGCCTTCTGTACCGCGTGGCACAGACTTGCCTTGGGGAGCATGACGTTACCTCCATCCTCTAATGAGCCTGTGAATTTTTGCAGGTAAAAGCAGTGGGAAGAGTATGAGACAAAGCTGTATTGATATTATCRGGCAGGAATGCCTATCAAGCCACAGGAATTTGTAAGCAGCAAACCAGTGTGTGCTGTGTTTGAGTGATCCTCTCAAGTTTGGTTYTGCCCCAGGTTTGGCATTAATGATGCTGAGAGGTTGGGGCAACCCCAAATCTCTCCCTCTCCCTGCGTGCCGTGGAGCTGGCGGTGCGCAGATGGCRCGGAGGGACTCCAGGGCCCACGCTCCTGTGGCAGATTTGAGCGTGGGGATGTGTTCTGGTCTATAAACAGCATGCAGTGCTCTGGCAGAGATGCTGAACTGGAGCGACCTCCAGTCCTGCAGCTTTTGCACATCTGTGCTGTTTTGAATGGGGTCGAAGAAATGGAAACTGGATTAGAGCATCGGCGCTGGGGGATGCTTAGAAACCACTGAATGAGCTTACGCAGCATGAGCGCAGATGAAGCCCTGTCCTTCCGGGATGTCTGGGGCTATGCCTCTATAGTGTCATCAGGGCACAGTAGGCAGGAGACAGCCCTGGCACGTGAGTGAGCAACCCAGGCCATCGTGATCTGTCATGATCGTGCCCTCCTGAGACTTTTCTGCCCACCTCAGCATGTCATAGCCTTGGGGAAAGGCTCATCCAAATGCTGAGCACTTGCTTAAAGTGAAACTGCCTCTGGAGCTTGCTTTCTTTACCTCTGCTCCTCGTTCATTTTATGCATTGCTTATGAGACCAGCAGACTTCTTTCCTCCTAACAGGCAATGCTTGGTGAATTTGCAACACCCCCTCTCTCCTGGTGATCCCTTTGTCTCAGTTGTTGGCCTGCCTTTGCACTTTCCTGGCCCTTACTCTGGATTTCAAGACTGCTGGAAGAGAAGGGGCACCACAGCTCCTTGATGGAAGCTCTTTATGCCTTCCTAGCAAATCCCAGAGCTCCAAGGAGCCCTGCTGGACAGCCTAGCTTCAAACCATGGCCTAGGGCTAAGGATGGAGCTTACTGGGCTTTTCTGAATGGAGCTGATTTACTGTCCRGGCATTGGACTTGTCTTCGAAGCTTGACTGAAGCAGGAGAAGTTGTTCTTAACAGCCCACCAAGTACCTGTCAGTCCCATCCAAGTGCCCAAGTACTCATATTTGGCATTGCTCGGGTAGAGGAACCACCTCCATATGGCAGACTTGGCCTTGCTGCCTCTAGAGTGTTTTTCTGAAGATTAAAAAGGACCTGGTCTTGCCTGTTGGTGCAGTAAAATGTTGAGAAGTTCATTTCTTCCACAGATTTCTGCTCCGACAGGAATGTAACCGGTCTAAATGGAGTCTATTGCAGCCAGCAGTGCTAGAAGGGAGGTTCGGTGCTGACCTGACGCAGGGATGTGGATAGACACGTTGAGAAAAGAGGAGAGGTCAGCAGTTTGGGTCTGAAGTCAGTTCCTCTTGCTGGCCAGGAAAGGATGCATGCGCAGAATAACTCTTCCCTCTATCCATCAGTCCGATAAAATGGTCTGTGATGCAAGGATTTAGTCAATGTACCCCGCAGCACTACTTGCTCTGCAGATTCCAGCTCCCCTAGGTAAGAACTGCAGTCAAGGTCTGAGTGAGCAATAGATAATAGGGGAGCAACAGTAGGAGGAGCGGGATATATGCTTATATAAATATGTGAACGTAATTATTGAGATTATCTTGTGCAATACTCTAGGGAGGGAGGGGGCAGGGGGCAGGAAAATGTTGAAATTAAACTGCAATGTTTAATATTAATAAAATGTTGAAATTAAACTGAAATGTTTAATAAAGGCACAAATGCTCAAGGGGAAAATTAAAGATGCCTCACTCTTACCAAGAGATCTTTCTTCAAAGTGCACCAGAGCGTTAGGATGGAGCTTGGGGAGGGGAAGATGGGAATGGCCCTCCATAAAGATTCTTCTGCCTTGCAGCTTCTAGTCTTTAGCGAAGGACTCCTGTCTCTCTTTCTCCTTATTATCGTCTATTATTTGCTGCTATTATCATGAACTTAMCTTCTTGATTACATCTATGTCTGGGTCCTGCCCTGTGGGAGGAGACAAGCTAATCTCCAGACAGCAAGGGACCTGGCTCCCTCTACTTCCACTGCCCTAGGGCTGCAGTGGCGAGCTAAGCGGCAGGAAATCTCCTTGTCTCCCTGGCAGGCTCTGGCAGGCAAGGACCTGTAGCAAAACGCCGGGGCAGTGATGAGGCTTTCAGGAAGCGGCCTTACGCAACGTTGCTGGCAGGGCTGGAGTGGAGCAGCACCAGCCCCAGGCCCTTCCTTCGCATTCTTGGTTTTATCCCCGCTCTTTAATATTGCTATAGACCCTGCACGATTCAGCTAGATCTACAACAGTGGTTGGGGTACGCAGCCTAACAAGGAAGGAATCTAGGACGGGGGCAACATGTCTAACAAGTCACTGTGGCAGGGCCCACCTTTGCCTCCCCACTCCACTTCCAGCAGGAATCACAGCAGCCTAATGATTATTTATAGCATGACATTCAGTTATTTTAAGGTCAGATCAGCCAAACGTAGATTAAAAAAAAAAGAGCAAGAGGGGGGAATAAATTGCATAGATTGTATGGTGGCTATTCGAAGTTGACTTATTTCTACTCTTTGGACCTAAAAATATTCTGGGGTTAAGCCAGCATTGTTTGTTATTAATGACCGGGAGAGGCCAAACGTCGTCTTTATTTGAGATGGAGGAAGTGCAGTTGCTGGCGGTACTGATGTGCAGCCTGACCTCTCCTGGTCCCTAATCCCGATAGTGTCCTTTAATGCCACCCCTTCCCACGTCGGTCCTCCCACCTCTGCTGATCGGTGGTGGAGCCGAGGTCTTAGCAAACATAAGTCACTTGTTGAAACATGTGTTTCCAGCAGTCAACAACCCCTTGGGCATGGCACAGGTACCACAGCTCCATTGCAGGGTGGTGCTGGTCTCTAGACCGTGCTGGCAGCCCCATCTCAAAGTGAAGTCCTAAGGAAGAAGGCAATGCAGTGGGTTAGGTGCTGTGGGACTGCGAGGCCCAAGGATGGGTGAACTCTGCTGGAGCCAGGCATGGAGCCAGTGGTCAACGCTTTCACGCCAGGAACCATGGGGAATGGGTGGCAGCTCCTGGAAGCAGCAGCCAGGTGACAGGGAAAGAGATGGTGGGATATGCTTGAGACTGCAGCAGCTCCAGGCCCCAAGGCTGTGGAGATAGGAGAGTCAAAGTAAGTCAGAGCGTTAATAGGTCAGCGGCCAAGGGGGTGGAGGAGAAGGGGAGCCCATCTCCCCGAGCGTCCTGCTTGAGCCCTCCGTGCAGAGATGGGACTCTGGGCACTTGCTCTCTCCCTTCACCCGCAGGGACCTACCGGAAAGGTGGCGGGGAGAAGGCCCCGAGAGGCTGTGCCCGCGCGGAGCCTTGCCGTGTCCCATCTACCGCCCCACCCCAAAATCAAACTCAGCAGCTTGGGTGAAGCCGGCACTGCACAAACATGTCAGACTTGCCTCCACCCCTTTCCCTTCTCCCGCTTTCTGCCGCCGGCTCTCCCTGCCGAGTTCGGCGGCGGTGCCGCGGCCCGCGACGGAGCCTTCCTGCCTCGCAGCAATGAGGAGCTTGAGGTAAGACGGGCGACCGCCCGCCTCGTTCCAAGGCGGCGACATCAGTGTCCTAATGGCTATGGCTCCGTGCGCGCGCGCAGGATCTGCTGCCTTCCTTTTCCACAGGACTAGGTTTGTCAGTTCGGACTAATGTCTCCTCAGCTCCCCCGGTGGCTCTGCTCTGGCTTAACCCCTTCCCTGCCTTACGGAGCCTTTCCCCTGCCAAGGACTAGCCTGACGGTCGCATGTGCGTTGGAAGCGCCAGCCTTGGGAGATGGGAGGGGTCGTTGGGGAGGGAAAGAGAGAAAAAACCACGATCCGTTTCAAGGGATGGTTCTGAAGGGGAAGAAAAATGAGGAGCTGGATCCCTTTGGGAAGGACTTGACTTGATCTTTGCTCCTATAGCCCAGCAACACGGTCTTCCAATCGGCTTTACAGCGTGGCAGCGGGAGAGCTTCCCTGCGGACCTTTCTCTTGTCTCTCGCTTGGACTTGTCCTCCACCGACATTGTTGCAGCAGGACCACTAGTAAGATCTTGCCTTTTATTTGTTTATTTATTTATTTTTTTTTTTTTTTGCTTTCTGGGGTCTCCAAGGTGGGTCTGTGTTGTCTGGGATGTGGCAACCTACTGACAGTCAGAATGACAAGGAAAGGAGAGAGGAAAAATGCATAGCTTAATCTTGCAAGGATGGTGCTCTTGAACGTTGAAGTGGGGAAGGGGTTAAAAGTTACCCCCGATGATGCTCGGCAAAGCAGACAACATGTCAGGAACGTGCATGCTCGCTGCCTTTGCGAGAGACTTAGCACTATCTCCTCTGAAGCCTCTCCTATCTGCAAGGCCCCTTGCCATATCTTCTGAAAAAAACACAAATCCAGTTGACTCACCAGTTGAAACCTCTTGGGTCTCTATCGCTGACCTTGTGGTCGCTGTGTGAGCCAAGATGCTTTCAGCACATCTGAACGGCGCTGACACAGCCGGGCGTGCATGGGGCTGTGAGTGTTCAGGTGCGGGGGTGGCTGCATGAAAGCTGGCCAAACTCCTCTTTTAAGTTACCCTCTCTGATACTCTTGGGCATTGTTTCTTAATTATTTTTGCTAAGCATAACCAATGTACACAGACACGCGTTTCATCTCACAGGTGTAGAAAATAGCCCTCTCCATTAAGGTTTTCTAATGTGTTTGCCTTTTTCTTTGCCAGGGTGTTAATGACTTAATGCATTTGGGGACACAATACTGAAAAAGAACAGAAAAGAAGTACTTGACTGGTGAGTGAGAGGTCCCAGGTGGGATTGGGGAATGTACATAAAGCAAGAGGTGTTTTCAGAGTCTTCCTCTTTAGCAAAGTCTAAATCAGCTGAGCCCCTTCAGAGCTGTGCGGAAAGGCCCACTGCTGTATGGCCCTCTCCTCTTGCTTAGTCTTGTTTTATATGTTAACTCTTGCGTTCAATAGTGCTTTGGTATGTGCATCCTGCATGTGCAGCGTGAGCAATGGTTTATGTATCTAATAGCAAAGACAGCTGATCAAATAATGGCAAGAGCTGTCAGCAAATAGTTCGCTGCATTAGTAAGTGCTTCAAGGTGGCCAGTCTCGTCCTGTTGATGAGTTGTTCCTGTTCAGGATGGGTGTGAGTACAACCTTGTGTGTATGTTTACACCTGGAAAGTATATTCAGGACTTATTGCCAAGGCTTGAAGAAGGGCAACACAGAGACTTGCCTGGCCACAAAATGATTTTCATTCACAAGAAGTGGAAGCACTCTAAAGGTTTGGCTGTTCTGGCTCAGGATAGAAAAACAAAAGGAGGACTTTTCTTTTACTTGTATTATACAAACTGCCTAAAAGAGCATGTGTTGGCCAGCTCCAGCTGCACGAATAAGCTCAGTGAGGTTCCAGGTTCTGCACTTTGTGTAACAACAGCACTGTGTGTTGAGGACTCATCACACTGAGTTGCCCATCAGGTCTGTAYGTATGCAAAACATTGTGTCTAGTTAGCAACGAAACTTGATCATTAGTGGTATTGCTGTTGGTTTGAGGTAGATCTTCCGTTTGCCTCACATAAGAACACAGCGTGAGCCTAGAGTGACAGGACTAAAAGCTGTAAAAGGTTCCCCTCAAAAAAGAAAAAAAAAAAAGCACAAAATTACATTATCCTGAGGGAGGAGCCATTTGAACGTACAGTGTTAAGAATCAGCTTATTTTATAAACTCTTGAGGAGGAGAGTGGTAGCTGTGGATGATGGTAGATTAACTTCCACTGCAGGTTTAACATCCGGGAGTAATGGAAAGGCACATACTCCTGGCGGGTGTATTTTCCAAACTAAGCAGAAGAGCTGATGGTCCTTGGAGATGAAGTCTGGCTTGCTATGGTTTATATTGCCCTGTAGGTTGGTTTTATGGAGTGGCAGCAGTCAGGCACTGAGCGTCAGCCAAGTCACAGGCTTTAATCTGGGCTACGTAATCTGTTTTAGGGCCCACTGCCTAGGCTGCAGTTTTCCTACCAGTTATTCCATGGAGATAACACCTGCCTCATAAGTTGCTGGCAGCAGTTGTAGCTTTGCCTTACTTTGGTAGGCATCATGGCCACAAAGGAGGAAGCAAGTCTTTGTTTCTACCACCCTTTGGAAGAAAGTCCAACCCATTGCATCTTCCATGCTCGGCCCCAGCCTTCCTCAGCCCTACAGCAAGGAAGGTGTCCTGCGTGTTTGCAGCCCAGACCCCCAGCTTCCCTTCCAACCTCAACCATTCTGCGGTTCCCTGTTGTAACCTGGTGCGCCGGAGGCATCCGGACATGCGGGTCAGAGGGCTGCGGTGCTGAGCGAGGGCTGCAGGACATGGAGGCCGARGGCCACATTCAAAGCAGCAGGGGCTCCCTCTGTGGCCTCCTCATCGCACCCTGGGAGCTTGTGTGCCACATGTGGCCTCCTTCTCCTCACCTGACATCACCTCATGTCTAATGCAGGAGAATTGCTCTTCTTGGGAGTTTTGGCAGGGACAGTGCATGGTGGTTGGTAGTCTTGTTTTCTGTTCTTATGCTCACTTTGAATGGTGCTATAAACTGCCACAGGAGACAGTAGAGACTGAAGCCACAAATCTCTCCCYCTTCTTCCCTCCACCATCTTGAAGCTCCTTCATATTGTGGATTAACAGCAAAGCAAAGCCTCTTGTTTTTAACCCTGTGTGCATCCTTTGTRGCAGAACAACGTCAAGTAAGACACATGAATCAACGCAGTTTCTTTTTGGACATGGGACAGAGGAGCCTGTGTGTAAGACAAGTGTTAGTGCAGCACCGTGTGACACGGTATATCCACACCAAGCACCAAAAGGCCAGGAAAGGGGGACGCGAGCATTATAGCGACGTATGTCTCAGCTTTACCCATGCTGGGACCTCCCTGCAAAGCCAACACCAACAGGGAAGAGGCGAACGCACTAGTGAAGCAGAGGGATCGCAGCCTAGCTTGGGGCCCTCCTGGTGCCCGTGTCGGTGCCTTGTCCCACTTGCCAGTGTCAACACCAGGCATGTGGTCAGTGCCCGTCTTGCTCCCGCTGGCCCTGCACACCTGTGTTTTCTTCCCATGCAAGGCAGGGGCTGCTGGGCCTGCATCTGGCCTTGATGCCGAGCTAAAAAGCAGCCGGGAGAGGCACTTGGAAGCTCTTCTGCATTTGCCCCTCTAGACGTAGCCTGGAAGAAACCGGCAGAGTCATTTCTTTCTGTCTCGMCTGCAAATGAGGCTAATAATTCCCTTCCCTTCCCTTTCATCTGTTTAGATGAATATTCGGGAGGGCGGGGACTGTCTTCACAGAACCTGGCGCAGGTGGCTTTAGCTGGGATTTCCTAGAGACTGTAAGCAATGGGAAGGAGTGGTCTTTAGCAAGGGGACCAGCCCATGAGCACATGCAATGTGCCTGAACTGGTTCCAGAAAGTCCACCAAGTCTTTCCTTTGCAGGCAGCCCAGGACCAACTTGATTCAGGAGGGCTAAAGCACAATTAGAAGTGTGTCGCTGAGCAGCACCCAAAATGAGCTTAGGAATAAGCACTGGCCGGGTTTCAGGCTTTAGTCCCAGCCTACAAGCAAAGAAACGGGGCAGGGGAGGATGGGGCAGCACCGTAGCCTTTGCACCCCATCCCTTGGAGGCAAAAACATCGAGTGGCTGTGTGCTTTTTCTCCCTTGGCAAAACTAAACCCAGCAACATAACAAATATGTCTCTCCCTGAGCTTAGCTTAATGCAGCTTTAATCTGCATGCTCACGTGTGTGTTTGCGCAGGATTTAGAGCATTACAGCAGTTTACTTGGATGTCCAGCTCTGCTCTCGGGGGGCAGGGGGCCCAAAGGGGCATGCGGGGAAAGGGCTGGAAATGGGGAAGCAACGGCACCCAGGGAGGCGAGCAACATAAACCAGCAGCTCTGGATCTCACGTTGTCAGTGACCACGGAATGGGCCAATGCCACAGGACACTGCACGTTCTGATACCACATCAGATCCCAGGCCGTTTTCTTTCTCCTGCTTCCTTCCTTGGTTGTCATTTCTTGCTGTCTAAAGCTCTGGATCCGCGAGCTCCTTGGGGAAGGAGCCTGGTGTTTTTCTTTGTAAAATGCTGCGAGTGCCCATGACTGGTTATAAACAGTGATCATGTCCGAGTACTCAGGAGGGCAAACACTTGGATGTTGAGAGGTCTGAAATGCAGCGAAATGCCATATATACATCCTCATCCATGCATATGCATGAACATATGCACATACGCCAGCACCGTGCTTTGACAGTGGCAGATTTAGCTTGTACCCAACTCAGAACGTATTACATGTCTGAGAGCTGTAGAGCAGAGCCTCAAATTTGTGTGTTTTTCCTTTTAATCCTTGAGCTCTCCGGGACCTTCTTCATCATCTGGCCCTGAACTCTCTGTGTGGGGCAGGTCCTGCAGGAAGGATCCCAGTTCTCTTCCAGCCCTGTCTCTCCTGAGCAGGTTGGCATCTCAGCTGGGGGAGTGCTTAGGATCCATGGGAACTGCTCGCTTCAAGGCAGGCATCCGGCGTTATCTCCTGGCCAGGGAGGCAGGAATGCAGCAAGCTGGGTCAGACCCATGATAGCGGAGGAATRGGCACCCAGGGGCGATCTCAGCTGCTGTGGCAACAAGGGGGAGGCAAAGGAGGGCTCYGTTTCTGTCACAGGGAGCAGCTCTCTGCCGCCTTGCTGTTGGTGCATGAGAACATATAAGCACAGTGTATATATTTATATATACGTACACTACTGGGTGTGTAGTTGTACGTGTGGAGGGTGAAGACGAGGCAGAAAGAGCAAAACCTTTTTTGCCTGTTGGAACTCCCGAGCAGCCATTCCTGATAACCTTCATGCCCTTGATTTCAGAGTGGGGCTGATTATTCCCTTGCACCTCTCTGCTGCCCAGCTCCCCACGATGCCGCCTTCCTTTTCCTCCCTCTCTGCCATCCCTCATCTTCCCACCCCTTTTCTCCCAGCTGGGCCTGACCCTTCTCTCCCTTTGCTCCTCCTTTCGCCTCCGATCCCTCCTCCTGCTCCTCGGGATCTGCTGGCTGAGGGATATTTCCCCCCCTCCTGCTCGCTGGCAGCTCTGACAGCTTTGGGAACTGGATCACCCAGGAGCGGCTCTCGCTGGAGCTGAAGAAACCTAACGTGGTTTCCCAGGCAGCAGAAATGGATGGCTGAGAGCATTCCCATCTCCGACCGCTCGTGCCTTGTGGTAGTGACTTTTATTATTTCTGCTTGTAACCTTTCTTATGCAGCTGTCAGCAGTGAGCGAGCAACTGGAGTCTGGCAGATTATTGTAATATCAGTGTCGCTGTTATTCGCGTTGTTACGTTAAAGGGACGTTGCCTGCGTTTAAATACAGGTTTGGCTTGATTTTCAAAATGGAATTTTATATGTGTAGTATAGTCTTTAGGAATTTCTTCCTGGATCAGAAAACAGCCTGTTTTATGTTTTTGTTTAAACATTTGCTAGGCGGGTATTGGAAATACAAGTAAATAGCCCTTGCATGCAAAGCACAAAGTGGATGGAGACTGGCTAGATACAGACCTGCTCGACGAAAGGCAAACGCGACACAGATTAYTGCAATCCACTGGATTTCAAATAACTATTTTTAGTGTATGAATTTTATTTGCTCTTAATGCAGCATAGCTTCAAACCACCTGTCTGATATGGAGACGTCCTTATGATCAAAGATTGATGCTGACCATGTAAAGCCAATGTCATTAGGTGTCTGAGGGCACGTTATGTTTGCAGTTGATTGCATTTTGCTGCTTTTAAGAGTTCTGCTACAAATCAATGAGGCAGGTGCAGGCCATGTCACTTAGTCACCCTGCTATTGTCCAGGAATTGAGTAGCTGCTTCTACCTGGGTTTAGGAAGTACATTTTTGTCCATGGGAAGTAAGTGTGTTCCAGGTGTTGATTGACAAGTACAGTGATTTACAGTGAATGGCCAGATGTGGTGTTTGTGCAAGCTGGTATCCTGGCACGCAGCCCCTGTTTTACTTGGGACCGAATTATCACCTGGGTTTTAACGGGGAACGTTTTTTAATCTGGTGGTTTAGCTAGCAGCAGGCCCCTTCATACGCAGATAACGATACCACAAATGCTCCTGGTTGTGGCATTTGTCAGAGCACATTTTACAAGACCCCTGACCACCTGAAGCAGTTCATAAGTCAACTTGAAAGCCAGCAAGTGCTCTGCCCTGAGCATGTTGGTATTATGGGGATGTGCTGAAGAATRAAGCTGTGAGTGCTGTAACAGCAGCCAGAGAAAGAAAGATGTATGTTAAAAGAGTAGCCTCTCTCTGTTTGGAAGTGCCCCTGTTCTGGTGGATCAGGGATTTAGTAGTTGTCCTGACAGACGTGTAGTCAGCGAGGAGGAACGGAGGCACCACGTATAATAYTGCAGACATAATTCCTGCCCTCCTCACAGGCTGTAGGAGCCCCTCAGCATCACCAGCTGTCGGGCTAGATGGTTTGGGCACCACCAGCTGTTACAGTATCTTCTCCTTCCAGGATTGCCTGCCTCTTACCCATAAGCTCTCCCTTAAAACATGCTTGGATTTCCACTGGAGTGCTTTCTAAGGAAAGGTTGTTTGGCCTTTTTCGCTCCTTTTTTTTCAGCTATAAGGCATCTCTAGCAGGTTCCTGAATGAGGGGTGTAGTCAGGAAGGAAAGTAGCACAAGGTGTGCTGGTTTTTGAGGCCAGGGTCTCCTAGAAATGTGTGTGTGTGTTTGCTGCAAGGCGTGCTGTTGCTTTATGCATTCTGCACTCCGAATGCTGGCAAATCAAGGGGTTTGCAAGGGGAAAAGGGCTCCCTACAAACATGAAGAAGGTGGCAAAAACCCAAGTCAAGTCAAGGACTTGAGTCAAGGAGGAGGTCGTCTGCACCTCTCTCTGTACAATGCCTCCCCTTAAGCAATATTAGTGAAAGGTCAGTGCTAATATTAATGCAAAATTAACCTCAGGGAAACATTGTTCAGTCTCAGCAGTGACCAGAACAYGTCCCTACCTCCATGGCAGCCCTCACGTTACTCCTGTGTGTTTGCTAGAATCCCACAGTCCATTAGAAGAGCAAGTCATGAGCTAGAACTGCAAGGCCCAGAGGTGGTGGTCACAGTCAGTGTTTCCTGTATTGAACAACTAGGGATCTACTGCCCTGGTTTAAACTGACCCAGGGAAATGGCAGAGCTCGGAGAGGGGGGATCAGCAGTGCAAAATCTAGGGGGAGGTTGGCACCAGGTCCAGACTTCTTCAACTTCTTCATCAAGGACGTGGATAAAGAGAGAGTGTCACCCTCAGCGAGACCRCTGAGGTACCAAACCTCAGGAGTGGCCGATACCCCGGAGGGCTGCGCGGACACGCGGAAGGACCTGGACATCCTGGAGAGGTGGGCGGAGAGGAACCTCGTTAAGTTCAACATGGACAACTGCATGCAGGATTGGTGGAAACTGTCTTTAAATAGTGAAACAAATGAAAGTTGTGGGGAAAACAGCTATTGTATGAGAACCCTAGGCAGAATCAACCTGAAGAGGAAGGTAATTTCAGGGTTGTATATCGTGGTTGCAGGTAATCCCAAAGAAGGGCTTAAATAGATACTCTAGTGCCTATAAACTCTGTCCAAAACAAGGTGGGAATTTCACACATTTTATTCACACAATTTATTTCTAATAGCACCTGAAACCCCTTCTAGAGGCTTTCTGCCCCAGAAGGCCAGATATAGATGGCTAAGCAGAAATTTGTTGGTGGAAAGAGAACAGCATAAAACATTTTCTTTCAGGCAATTTATACTTCATGGTAGAACTAAAGGTGCACAGCTTTTTCTCAAGCTAGAGAGCTTTAGCACTGAATTACCTAAAATGTTTTGGCACTGGGTTTTCGTTTGGGCTTACCTCAATCCATGCTACCCATTGTTCATCCAGTGCTCGACTATCCTTAATTACAAAAAAAAGGTTTCCCTCTCTCCAGGCAGAACCTCCTGTGTTTCAACTTAGGCACCTCATCACTCATCCTTCCACCACGGTGCTGCTGTGAAAAGCCTGGCTCTCGAGGGGAGATCTCCCTACATCCGAGCTGCTCATTCATGGAAAGGGGATTCTCTTCCCCTGTCTGTCTTATCTGAAGAGGTTGTATCCATCCTTCCCTCCCTTCTTCTCTCCTTCCCTATCTCCTGTCCTCACAGTCTTCCAGCTATGCAAGCTGTCTCCCTATAACATGGTTGTAGTTCTTGGATTGTACATGATCCTGCTCTGCTTTTTCCTTCATATCTTCCCAATTTCAAGAAGGCTCCAAAGTATTTTTTATTTTCTCTCTACATCTAATTTTTTGAGGCTCTAAGGTCTAAACTGAGCTTTTGAACACCTCCCATGCTTGGGGATATTCAAGTGTTAGCTGTTTTTGGCTTGTGGTTGTTCACATAAATTGTGTATCTCAGCCCCCAAGGGAAAGAAATCTTAGTTATTAATTTTAGCTTCCTCAGCTACCTGCTGACAGAGTGTGTTTTCCCTCAATCTCCTCTCCTTCTCCCTCTCTCTTTTTCCCTTAACTCCCCGTTTTCAGGCTAGAAAAACACAGATCCATAATGAGTCTTGGGYACCTCTTCCCTTGGCAGCAACTCGCCTTTAAATAGGACTCAAATGTATATTACTTAGTCTGTGTAGACCTAAATAACCAGTGAGAAGACGATCTGAGCCCTCTTCAGTGGGCTAAATCAGTGCTGCCTAACAGGCTGGCCTCTGAAGACAAACCTTTACACTAAGGACCAGCCTGTAAAATGTAAATCAGTATCTCAATATCTACTCCATATTGTTTAAGTTTTATGCTAGACAAAAATTTATAAAAGTGAAGGAAACAAAGTAGTGGGAGCTCAGCCATAGTTAGAGTAGCTGGTAGTGGGTTTATTTTGTTTTATTTTATTTTATTTTATTTTATTTTATTTTATTTTATTTTATTTTATTTTATTTCTGAAATAGGAGCACTATTTCACAGTGGATAAAGCACTGGAAAGGTCGTCAGAAATCCAAAGTTTGCAACCAGCTCAGTCATTGAGCTGCTGGTTGGCCTCGAGCAAGTCATTGCTCCCTCTTGGTCTCCATTTCCACGTCTGCCAAAAGCAGATGGTCATGTCATCTACGCTGTTGAAGTGCTTGTCACTGGAGGATATCCATAATACAATTAATTAATATAACTAATATATAATGCTATTGACTAGGCAGGTCATTCTTCTACTTTGAGGAGCACTGATGGGGTTTCTCTCTCTGATTCCAGGCATCATGTTCCGCAAAAAGAAGAAGAAACGCCCTGAGATCTCAGCTCCACAGAACTTTGAGCACCGTGTCCACACTTCTTTTGACCCCAAGGAAGGCAAATTTGTGGGCCTTCCACCTCAATGGCAGAATATTCTGGATACTCTAAGGCGGCCAAAGCCGGTGGTCGACCCGTCGAGGATCACCCGGTTGCAACTCCAGCCTATGAAGGTAAGAGGAAAATTATCATCTTTCYGTTCACTGGATGAGTGGGGAGGCCCAAGTCGAGGCAATGATCCCACTACCCAAWACATACTCAAGGCGGGGTAAGGAATTCAGTGAATGAGAGAGCGACTTGGCTTTGATATCACCATCATCTTCTGGAGAAACAGTGAATTCATCTGAAATAGGGAAGGAGAACAATGTCCTTAACTGTGGTGTTGTGGCTGCTCAGCGCTCCAGTTGGCAGCTGCCACTGAAGCAAGGACCTGTGAAAGCTCTCATGGTGTCTGTCAAGGACTGGGATGTGTCAGCTGTTGTGTACAGCCAAAGGAAGAGGGGAGTTCCCGGAGGGACCTGTTTTAGCATGTTTGTCATTGCCGTGGGTGAGCCCGTTTGGCTGATGATGGAGTTGACAGGGAAGCCCGAGTGGGAGAGAGCTGGGTAGCCCTAACCTGCTGTTCAGGGGTGGCTCAATGACAGAGATCCATGTGGCTGGGTTCTGGCTTGCTCTTGGTCATTGAATAGTGCAAATGCAAGAGGGAATTTAGCTTTTTCTTTAGTGCTGAGTGAGAACTCAACCTAATTTGCTGGCCTTTCAGCACACAATCACAGACAGTTGAGTTTGGAAGGGACCTCTAGAGATCTTCTAGTCCAACCCCCCTGCTCCAGCAGGGACACCTAGAACATGTGGCACAGGGAGGCATCCAGGCAGGTTTTGAAGACCTCCAGAGAAGGAAACTCCAGAGAAGAAGCACGRTTAACCCTAAACTAAAGTTAGATTTAGATGAGGAAGGTTTATATAGAAAGTGAGACCTAGTAGTCAGGACACTTTTTCTCGAACAAGTCCTTCATTAGGGAGAAACGAGTCACTGATCCTTGAACGTGGGTGAATTTAGACAGTTATCTTCTTTGGATGGCAATTGATAGTCTGTATCAGAAGAYGGTGTGTTTGTAGGTGACTGTAGGGACCTGCTGTGTGAAGAAGGTCAGACCACAAAGTTCATGAAAACCTCTTGAAAAAGGCAATGAAAGAAGGTGACAGAATTATTGGGTTTAAAGTCTTGTTCACCTGTGGGAAGACCCATCAGGGCCTACAATCTGATGGATGGGTGGTAAAGTAGACGTATCACTGCTTGGATTTCTGGAAGCATGTAAAGCAAAATAACTGTCAACTTGTTGGATGTTTAGCATTGAATGCAGTTTTTAGTGTATAGTGTTCATGCAAAATCCCAGTTAGAATTTCAATAGCGCATCAGGATATTTGAGCAGAACACTGGTTAAAGAGTTTAAGAAATACTTGCCGAGGATGAAGAGGTTAAAGAAAAAGGGAGGAGGTATTATCCCTCTTTTATAAGGATCTGGAACTACCTGGAGGTTCAAAATGGAGTAGGAGATAGGACCTCATGTCCATTGGAGGTGTAGGATGTGTAATAAGAGCCAAAGTTTGTTAGTTCAGGAGCTCTGTAACGAGTGTAAAATGCTGCAGGAGGATGCAGGAGGGTGGAAACTAGGGCAAACCATAAAGGGCAAGTAAAAAAGAAATAGATACAAGAACAAAACGGAAAGGCCAAGACACAGGAAGAGAGCTGCTCTTCTAAAAGGAGCTGAAGGGCACTAAGGAAATGGATCACAGGTGCAYGGAGGAGGAGGAAGACAGTGACGAGGGAAAGAATGGGTTCATGCTTATCGTGGGAGAGAGCTAATCATGGATGACACCGAGAAGGCTTAAATGTTTAATGATTTTTCTTCCGTCTTTATTGAAAAGGTTGACTGTGATCAGTAGGCTAGCACAATGAAGAGCAGCACAAAGGAGGGAGAACTTAGGCTGGAATAAGAAAAGTCTCTTACGTGAGACTTCTTAGCTAAGTTAGATACTTTCAAGCCAGCTGGGCCTAAGAAATTCAAGGAAAGATAGATCAGACTGGTCAGAATAATTTCAGTTTCCAGAAGGAAACTGGAACAAATAAGCAAGCAATCTATTTGCAAGCACTTCTTAGAAGATTACAGGGTAATAGCTCGCAATCAGCATGGATTTSTCAAGAACATATCATATCAAGCAACCCAGTTTCCTTCAGTGACAGGGTACCAGGCTTAGGGTCAGGAAGGAATGTTAGATCTCCTGTATCTTGAYTTTCAGTGAGGTTCTTGCTAGTGTCATCTATAACAGTCCTAGAGCAAACTAGGGGAATTTTTCTTAAGTAGGAAGGGAAAAATACATCCAAGTTTGAGTTTGAGGTATCGCTGACATCAAAGAAATATGCAGGAAGAGATTTACAGGAGTTTGTGCCCACTCCAGTATTGGTCAGCACTTTCATCCATGACTTGAATGATGGGCTAGAGAATAAGCTGATTAAACCTGCAGCTGGTAAAAGCTGAGAGGAGTCRCAAACCTTCTGGAGAACAGGACTGGAATACGCAGTTGTCTTCAAAAAACCAAAGCAGAGGTTAAACTTGTACTGTTGGTTTGCTTTCCCATKAAGTTCAAATACTCTGTCAGACTGCATCACATAGTTGATTATTTCTGCCAAACTTCATTGGAATAAATTCCTGCTCAGTGATTCCAATCACTAAAAACGCATGAGAGGACAGAGTCCCGAATTCAACTTTCATTGTTTTTTCCCCTTTTCTTTTTGACGGAGACTACATTGTTACTTGTAAAAGTAGAGTTTTATTTTTTAAAGATATCGCTTATTGTTTGACCAGGGGGTGAGGGGACCTCTAGGATGTGTTGTCTGGAAAGGCGATAGCATCTCTGTCCTTGGAGAACTTTCCTTTAGAGACCAGGTTGGACAATATTTCARCTAATTTGGAAAGCTAGTTGGATCAGATCTTGATCTCAAGTTGGRGATTTCTTCTAATTTGGGGTTATTCTTTTTCCTAATTGTAGAAATATTGAACTGTAAGCGAATGCTGCCCTGGGCAAGCACGAGGAAGGGTTTGGGGGTGTCCTGGTGAGTGTTCTGTGCCTTGGGGATGTGGACATTACATCTCTTCCTGCTTCAATTCACCTATTTATACACCTCACCAGCTGCAACAGTGAGAGAAGCTGAAATGAGCCTTCAGTTTCTGTGATTTCAAATGGCCACAAGACTTTTCCTTACCCCTGTGGCACATTTTTGAGGTCGGGTTTCTGGCTGTTTTGTTATTTTGCCCCTGTCAGGTTTGGCGCAAAAGCCATGGAACCAGTTTGAGGAGTCCCTGTCTTGAGCAGCTTGTTTCCCCTCCAGCTGCTTGGGCTGGGCAGGAAGGTGCGCGCACACACACACAGGATAGGAGGTGTGTTGCTACACGAACATTGAACAGCAGGAATGTCCCAGTGCAGGCAATGTGTATGCAATGCTATGAGCTGAACTGTCCCTTTTGTTCACTTTGTTGGACAAAATCCTTCTAATCCTTCCCCACCTTCCACTTCTGGACACGGAGCCCATTGGCTGCACCGTGGTGGCACGAAATTGCCAAAGATGCTGGTTTGCACCGGCTCAATAGTAGGCTTGGTTTAATTAATTTGAGCCTCCTTAGAAGGCCCCTGGCATTTAGTTTGCAAACAGGAGATTGCCATCACCCCAGGGAAGGATTTTTTTCAGGCAGAGAGTAGGAGTGATCCTAGGCTGTGAATTTCCGTGAAGAAATGAAGTGTTTTGGTTGCCAGCACTAAAAAAGCTTCCACATGCACCTCAGCTCCCAAATAAACACATAGAAGACTACAGAATATAGTGACAGCTTTAAGTGTCCTCCTTGCCCAGTGCTGTCACYTGCTTGGATGGCAGCCTTGTTCCTCACCGTTTGCTTATGAGGCAGCTGCGAGCTGCAGTGACCCTTTGTTCAGCTCTCTTAATGCTAATGGCTTGGCAGGACAGAGGAGAGATGCGGTGCTGGAACTCTGTGGCCTTTGTTTGTTGGGAGCAAGGCACATTAGCAAAAATGGGAGCAAAGCACAGCTAGGCTGAAGGAGGCTGGGGATGAGGTTATGGAGAGATGAACCTTGTCTGGGGGGGCCTACGGAGCCTAAATTAGTGGTGAAGCGTAGCAGGAGCTCAGCACAGGGAGCTGGGGAGTGCTAAAGCCCCCCAGCTTTGCTCTTATGCTGCCCCAGAGCACGTGGGTGCAGCAGAGGAGCTTCATTGCTCTGGCAGGGAGCAGGGCTGCCTCTGTGCTCCTAGAGCAGCAAAAGCCAGGGAAAAGAGCCAGCCCTCTCCCAGCCATTGCATGTACCTGGCCAGTGGATTTTTTTGTCGGGATGCGCTGAACCTGCGGGTCACCAAGCTCTAACTTGGCTTCTCCTCACTTTGCCTGTTTGCAGACAGTGGTGAGRGGCAGCACCGTGGAGGTGGAAGGCTACATCTCTGGCCTTCTGAGCGACATCCAGAAGCTCTCTGCCATCAGCTCCAACACGCTGCGGGGAAGGAGCCCCACGAGCAGGAGGAGGGCTCAGTCCCTTGGGCTCCTGGGCGAGGACAGGCCCCCGGACATGTATCTCCAGAGCCCAGAAGGAGACTGGGCAGACAGATATGGAAACTACCTCAACTGCAACGGCGGAGCCAAGGTAACCCGAAGGCAGACCATGTGGCCGGATTACAAGCCCAGGTTGGATGGCCAGTCCCATGCCAACGGCATGGTGGCCAAAGCACAGTCACTTGGGCCCTCGGAGTTCCAAGGTGCTGCTGGTAACTACATGCATCGGGCCGCCGCTTCGCAGCAGGCCCCAGCACTGCCTGGGGAGGAGAGTGATACCCCTGGCAAAAAGAGCTCGGAAGCCCGGCCTCAACCGTGCCCCGGGGCACAGGCAGCCTCCAGGGCCGTGGGAGAGGGCAGTCCCAGCTCTAAATCCCGGGAAAACAGCTTGAAGAGAAGGCTGCTTCGAAGTGTCTTCTCCTCGTCGGGCGGCTCAAACAGATCGGGCCCTTCCCTGCAGATAAAGGCAGTGAGTATTTCTAACCGTGTGCACTGGGGGGCTTCGCATTTCCAGAGCTTCTTGCTTACACCCCTCAACGTTTTTAGTTGCCAATGACGTCAGCACTACGAGTAGTGATGGAATGGAGGTAGTTCTGGCCAAAGCAGAGAAAGCAGATAGTCTTTGTAAGCCTCACAGTATGGCCCAGGTTTGCTGCCACATCTACAGGCTTGTTAGCAGAGCTGCACTTGGAGAGGCCAGGTTGGGAAAGAGGGAGGTGCCTTTTTCATTTTTGCCTTTCTGAAGCAGTAAAAGCCTAAGTTAAATGCATTTGCACTCACATAAATGTGCCTTTGCTATTTGAGAACCTGACATAACTCGCAGTGGCAATAAATGCTTTTGTCTGTGTAGGAGAGAGCTTCTTTAGGCAAACTTGGTTGGTTACAGCTGTGTTGGCCAAYCTGCCTGCAACAGAAACGTCTGCATTGACAGCACTGTCAACCAAGTGTCGGTTTTTGGCAGGGCTCATAGCTACATTTCCCCCAGGAAGAATGTCCTGTGAATGGATCCCTCCGATTTTATTGCACTAGGAGGAAAGCCGTAGTTCCTGCTAGTGGAGGGGAGATGCAGCTCTTCAGGCCACTGCTCCTCCTTCAGTTCAGGCTGCCCCAAGGCTTGATGTCCTTGTGCAGGTGCTGGGGGCTTGGGTTTGCAGAAGCTGCCCTAGGCCGAGGTTAGGCTGGGCTCATTTCTAACAGTCAGAAGACGATGGCAAGAACCACTGGCCTGACAAATGCAACTGTTCTGCCCCGCTCTGGGGTGGGACTTGCTCTGATAATAYGCAGCCCAGGAACTTGTGCGGGCTGTGTTTAGGTGCGAGGCTTTCCGAGCCCTCAGATCTGCCTTTGGAGGGGGCCGCCCATCCTGGGAGTGAAAATTTGGAAGGAATTTAGGTCTTGGGTAGTGCAAATAACCTCAACATGCCGTTGCAGTGACTCCAGGCTGAGGTGTAGTAGCTGGAGGCTTCTCCCTGAGCCCTCAGGAGGACTCAGGGCCTATCTTTAGGTTAGCCCTCCGCTAACATCTGGCAACATCTGACAACATCTCCGCACCTTTACTGACTGAAAACTGGCAGACAGGGATTGACAAGCTACCAGAGCAGGAAACCAGGCTTGCATGCGGGAGGACCGACCTGTGTGAGCTTGCATACGTGCCGGGTCCTCTCACACGCTCCGGGCTGTATAAGGACATTTGTTATTGTTATTTGGGGCTCAGGAGGGGAAAAAGAAGAGCGTTGGGGAAGACCTAAATCCACTCTCTGAGAGTGTCACCGCAGGAAGCCCATAAAGGGGGAGAGAGGGAGGGAGTGGTGATGGGTCTGTACGCTCTGGCAACTACGGAATCACATCCCCACACATCAGGGAATGGGGGTGTGAGCCATATCCGTGTTAGACTTCTGCAGATTTTACTGTTGTCAAAAGCCCTTGATTAAAACCCAAAGTGCATGTAATTAAATGCTACACAATTACTTTCTCTCCAAGACAGGGCAAATGAGGGCGCTCTTTGAAACCTCCCCGTTGGCAGGTTTCAGTTCCCAGTGCCATGTTATTAACTTGCATTAACGCCCTGTCTGTTTTGTGAGACAGAGAGGCTGATTCTTTTGAAGTTTTTATTTTGTCCTGTGATACAAATGGCTGCTTTGCTCTTTCTGAAGTTGCTGCCTTGTCTGCTCCACTAACTTTCCTCCCCGTGCTAGACGTTGTTGACTTTTAATTAGTCAACAGGGGCAGGGCGAGTATTAGCATTTYGGATCGTGCTCCTTGGGAGAGCTGGGAATGCGTATCCTGAAGCCACGTTACCTCCGGCTGCGGCCCCACGAGATCCCGCAGYGCAAACAGGGCCGGGCCTGCTTAGTTCAAGGAGTGGGAAGTCTCCAGGGAGCCCCGAGGGCTTCGAGAAGGAGTCAGCGTCACTGCAGGCCCATCATGAGTCACAGAATCACAGAATGATTGAGGTTGGAAGGGACCTCTAGAGATCATCCAGTCCAAACCCCCTGCTCCAGMAGGGACACCTAGAGCATGTGGCAGAGGGTGGGTTTGGAAGACCTCCAGAGAAGGAGGCTCCACAGCCTCCCTGGGCAGCCTGTTCCAGGGCTCTGTCACCCTCACAGGAAAGAAGCTCTTCCTCATATGGAGGTGGAAATGGATGAGTCGAGTCCTTGATGATCCATCCTCGACTGGATGAGTTGCTCAGGTGGCCAGAGCTGCAAGTGTCACCTGGAGCTGTTTTGGTCTGTGGGGCTTTTCTGGGAGCAGGAGGCTCGTTCTGCATCCGATCAACCGCTGTGCTCTGCAGGGACCCGCAGGAGGTTCCAAGCAGGCAGAGCATAATTACCCAAAGGGAATTAGGCCAAGATATCAAAATAACTCACAGTTCTGGCGTGACTCCTCCTCTCCTTTTATGTATAGGAACATCAGAGGCATGGAGGGATGCAGGATTTTCRAATTGTCTCTAACTTAGCTTCCCCATGTTCAGGTGGCAAGGTTGGAGTGCTTTTTAGCAGCTTTTTATTTTTTTTTCCCTTAAGATCCAGCTCACTGAAGACAGGGTCCTCTCCTAAAATGCCTCTAGCACACATCTAGCACACATCCTTCTGTCCCTGGTTCTTGAAACCCCAGGGTGTCACAGCTTATTGTGCGCAGGTACAGAGACAAGAACCTAGAGCCCGTTACTCCAGTCTGCTACAAAAGGCATCAGGCCAGCGAGGCATTGCGTGCTGCTCTCTGTGACTTGGCCTTGTTAATCTAACCAGCACTTTTCCTTTCTTCTRCTTCTGTCACAAATCCCTCTCGCAGCTGGCCCCCTTCAGGCCCCAGCAGTGGGGCTCCCCGCGCAGCCTCACAGCCAAGGCACAGTCGCTCCCACCCRATCCGCCCGCCGCTGATTTCCCCAGGATTGTCTCGGAGGCCGGGACCCCTCAGAAATSCCCAGCAACGGAGCAGGTGGTCGCRCTGCCCCAGGGCAGGCCATCGCCTGCGGGGTCTCCTCGAACCCGGCCCACTCAGACGAGTTCCAGCAACCTCCACCTTCCACAGGACTCGGCCGTGAAAGGGCCCTCAGCTGGCGAGGACCCCGTTGTTGTGACTCACGAGCAGTTCAAGGCTGCCCTGAGAATGGTAGTGGACCAAGGGGACCCGCGGACATTGCTGGAGAACTATGTGAAAATCGGTGAGGGCTCCACCGGAATTGTCTGCATCGCCCGAGAGAAGCACTCGGGGCGACAGGTGGCGGTGAAAATGATGGATCTCAGGAAGCAGCAGCGCCGGGAGCTCCTTTTTAATGAGGTGAGTCCAGCAAGGAGATGGAGGGGTTCTCAATCACAGAATCACAGACTGGTTACAGTTGGAAGGGACCTCTAGAGATCATCTAGTGCAACCCCCCTACTCTAGCAGGGACTGCCAGAGCATGTGGCACAGGGTGGCATCCAGGCGGGTTTGGAAGACCTCCGTAGAAGGAGACTCCACAACCTCCCTGGACAGGCTGTTCCAGGGCTCTATCACCCTCACTGGAAAGAAGCTCTTCYTCACATGMAGATGGAACTTCATGTATTGCAACTTAGACCCATTGCCCCTTGTCCTATCASTGGCCACCACGGAGAAGAGCTTGGCCCCTTCCTCCTGACATTCCCCCTTCTAGGGTTCTGTGTCCACCAGAAAGCCATGGGGGATGTAGGAGTAAAAAGAAAGGATGAGCAAGAGGCATCTTCCTTTTCATGCTACTACCAAGAGATCGAGTGACGGTGTGAGCCGGGTGTTGTGCTCAATGGGTGCTGGTGCTTGTTCTGTGAGGAGGAAGATACTGTTTCGGTAGTGACATTGTGGTACTGAACCGTGTCCCTTGTGTTATTCCAGGTGGTGATAATGAGGGACTACCAACATGTCAACGTGGTGGAGATGTACAAGAGCTACCTAGTGGGAGAGGAGCTCTGGGTGCTCATGGAATTCCTGCCGGGGGGAGCCCTTACAGACATTGTGTCGCAGATCAGGTATGAAGCAGAACCCTGAATCCTCAACACGTGGCCCCACCTGAGAGGCAAGAGCGGCAGAGTTGAGGTTTTTTGGGGATATGGTTTTTCCAAGAGAGCTTGATGCCCTCAAACCACTATGCTTTATAACTGTTGATTTGTTTGAAATATGTGATAATACTTCTGATGTAGAAGGAGTACATTTCAGCACTGGTCTCTTCACATGTCCAATGTTCATTTACTTGATGACCTTCTCTGTAAAAATGCAGTATGCATAAAAAGTATCATGTGCTAAATCTGTTCCATTCTGGCCAGGAAACTCATTGAGTAACTGAAATACCACCCAGAAATAATCTGTGGTACAATCTTAGTGAGGTGGAATTTGTGGCTAACTGCTCTGGAGAAGTGAAGCAGAACCTTGAGAACTGGACCCCATCCCAAATTCCATTGCCTAAAGATAGCAGCAAATACAGCTACTGGACACTCTCCTAAATTTGTTTTCACCTCCATCCACTTCATACTTATTAATGCCCAAAGCCTTTCTATAAGGGCCAACAATTGTTCTCAAAAAGGCCTATATAGAGTCCCACTCTCAAAGCATTCCGATGATGCAGCTGAGATGATTTTGTGTTACCTGTGACCCTGCAGCACCTTCCCCTTCTTTCTGCTTCTGAGCAATCCAGTAAGACTTTAAATTGGCATAGGGAACTCCTGCCAGGATGAGCCTTTCTCAAGGGGCAGAACCTGAACTGGATTATGGGCAGACTGGTACTGCTACCATGTGGTCCTGAAGTATACCTGGTTATGGCACTGTAGGGCAAGTGCGACTCCATTGCTCTTAGCTCACAGTAGTAGAACCAGGGGACCTATAAATATAACTCTTCTGAAGAGGCTTGTGAAGGTCCAGTTAGGTCCTATGCACCAATTAAACTGAATGGTATTGTGGGATTGCAGCCTAGATACGAGTAATTCTATGGAGCCTTCCTTTGAGCCTTTCACTGACTGCTTGTTTTGCTGCAGACAAGAAATTGGGTGTGCTATACCCATAACAATTACCCCAAGCGAGCTGTAAGACTTTGGCATGTGGGGCCAGACTCTTTGCCTCTTCAGGATTGAAATAATCCCCTAGCAATCAGCAGACCCTTATCTGAAACCAGATCCTAGACCTTACAAGCACAAAAGACACATTTCACCTGGTCGAACCACAGAGTCCAGGAGGGTACCAGTTTTTCCCACCACTCGTGCGCTATGAAATGAAGAGCAAGCCCTGTCCCTAGGCCCGTTGGGTTCTGTGCTGGAGAAATCCATGGGTGGCTTTTATCCCTCTCTCTTTAGAGCTCAGACYACAATGCTCAAAGTAGCCCTTGCCTCCCTTTAGAGAGGTTCCTGTGCAGAGGTTGCTCTCCTGCATTCAGGAGGTGCAGGAGTAGTCTGCCCAAACGAGCCCCGCGAAGCCCCCTGCTCCGCAGCCTTACAGAATCACAGAATGGTTAAGGTTGGAAGGGATCTCTAGAGATCATCTAGTCCAACCTTCTGGCTCGAGCAGGGACCGCCAGAGCATGTGGCACAGGGTGGCATCCAGGTGGGTTTGGGAGAYCTCCAGAGAAGGAGACTCCACAACCTCCCTGGGCAGCCTTTGCCCCTGCTCTGTCACCCTCACAGTAAAGAGGTTCCTCCTCACATGGAGATGGAACTTCCTGTGTTGCAGCTTACACCCATTTCCCCTTGTCCTGTCACTGGCCACCCCTGAGAAGAGCTTGGCCCCTTCCTCCTGACATTCTCRCTTCATGTCTTGCACTTACCTGCACACTTGGATTTGAGGAGGCACCACATGCCCTCCTGGGCCCTCAGCTGGGTTTGTGCAACTGAGCACTGTACTAGAGTCCTCCAGGGAGCCTCTGAAACCCTTWACCTCTATGGGTCTGTCTGGGTGAATGGGTGGAGTGTGATGCCACAGGCCACGGTTACAAGAGAGAACTTTCATTTCTGCTCACGCTTGATCACGAGGCTTCCTGTGCGGTGTTCCAGACAACAATGGCTTGTAAAGATAAGGTTCTTGGTAGTCACACCATGCATGTTGGTGGACAGAGTTGYAAATTCAGAAATTACAGTGTCTTGTATATATTCAGTGAGATAGCCAAAGAGTATSCAAGTCATCTAGCTGCGTGAGACCTGTAAGGAAGCCCGGTGTTCGCCATCAAATTACATCTGTAGATCCTTTCTGGGCAGGATTGCAAAATGTGCCCAGTGAGCCATAGCTTCACCCTAGCTACTAATAGATAAAATAAAGCAAGAAAGAGCCAGCTGCCTCTGCAGTCACTGCAGCAACTTGGCACGCGGAAGCAATCAGGCCGCTCAGAACTGCTTGAACCAGCGTCTTGCGACACGAGCTCAGCTAAAAGGCTTAAAACGCAATTTCTCTGAATTAGCCTTACGAAAACTTAGACTTGCTTTAACTGTCAGGCCAAAAAAATGCTGTCAACAGCAAGGAGTAGTCCTCAGATGAGGTTTTGCCATGATGAAGTGTAGGCTTTATCTTGATTTGGTTCTTGTCAATTCTCCTCAAGCGCCGGCCAATTTTATCGCCGTCAAAATAGGTGAATCAAAATTGGTTTTGGCCGCTGAAGCTCAGCAGTGCAGTGCACCTTGCAAGAGGATTCCAGTGTTCACACACGGGGCAGCCTGGGACACTTAGCACCTTCCTCTTTCATTTCAGGCTGAATGAGGAGCAAATTGCAACAGTGTGCGAATCAGTGCTACAGGCTCTGGCGTATCTGCACTCACAGGGTGTCATCCACCGGGACATTAAGAGTGACTCCATTCTCTTGACACTGGATGGCAGGGTAAGCGTCCATATGCAGTTTGTTTCCTGCTGCTGTTTTAGCCTTTGTCTGCCTGCTTATTTCCTCTCACTTCGCTATCTGTGTTTCTGCCTTATCCTCTTGTCTTCTTTATCTTTGGTGCTTCCCTCTGTGGTTGCTCAAAATTTGTTGTCAAGCTGGGTTGCTTTTCTCTTTGTACAGGTGAAACTCTCTGATTTTGGGTTCTGTGCTCAGATCAGTAAAGATGTGCCAAAAAGAAAGTCCCTGGTAGGAACTCCCTACTGGATGGCTCCAGAAGTTATTGCAAGGATCCCATACACAACTGAGGTAAGGGAACGTTTCCCTAATACCACAGGAACTAGCAGAAAACACTCGGAAGTGTCATGGGAAAGTAACCGTTGGCTTCTCAAGGGAGATCGTAGTGTGACTTCATGTTTAATTGTGACAATAGAACTATTCCCTAAAATGGATTAAAAAAAAAAAAAAAACCTAGCTTATTCTGATTCAGGGTATAACCTTATCTTCACTGTGTTCCTAAAGCTTGGAATGGGCCTGTATCTTCCCTGGTGTGGACAGGTGTTAGCAAGAAGCAGTACATGACATGGTGCAGATCAGTAAACCAGTCTTAACGGCCCGAGGGAGGGTTGGGGAGCAGAGAAAATGCAGGTGGGTGCTCTGAAGCTATGGGGAAGGTGGCCCTATAGCCAAAGCCAAGAGACTGGTCATGTTTGTTTACCAGTAAGCTGAGCAGTTACTCGCAGACCTTTGCGGCTTGTCACACAGTCCTGGCTTAGTCCTAGGCTGGAAAGCCCTCGTTGCAGAGCTGTAGTAAGGGAGCCAGTAGTGTTAAGCTGGTTAATGTTTTACTCTGCCCATAACGTTTGCCACAGGTGGGGTTTAACAGGCTGATGAAAGAAACCAAGTGAGGGACATTTGGCTCTGACCTCTGTGTATTGKCCCCTACAGGTGGATATCTGGTCTCTGGGGATCATGGTGATAGAGATGGTAGACGGGGAGCCCCCCTACTTTAGTGATTCTCCGGTCCAAGCGATGAAGAGGCTCCGGGACAGTCCACCTCCCAGGCTGAAGAACTTCCACAGGGTGAGCACACTGGCAAAGCACTCGTGAACCTGCCGATCCCTACCAGGACACTGAGTTGCCGGGTGTCACATAGATGGTCACTGCTGATAGCTGCTCCCCACAAAGCTGTCAGTGAAAATGGTCTTGCTAGGTCGTGCTTCTTGGGTGACTGCTTTGGCCCTGGTGCYTCTGAGGACGTGGGCTGCTGCTGACAGCTAGCGGCTGCTTTGGGAAATAACTCGAATCGCTAAGGGTCACTTGGGCAAAAACCTGGTAGCACAAATCAAAGCTGCCTTGGGTGGAGGCAAAAGTCAGGATGTGGCTGATGTCAGGGGAGTAGCTCCTCTTCTAGGGAAGGAAATGGGAGGCTCCTTGGCCTTGTTTCCAGCTTAGCAGCTTTCAGGAGTGCAGAGGCTGCTTTGTGGTCCCAGCAGGAGAGCTCAAAGCAGGGAGGAGCTCACGCAGGACACTGCAGCTGCCTTGATGATGAGCTCGGCTTCTTGGTGGCTTAAGAAACCCTAGCAGTGACATTCAAAGCACAGTGATTACCTTTTTAGTCATCACTGGAATGGTTGCCTCTCATTTCAGTGCAAGCCTTTGAGATCAAATAATTTCTGCAGCGTTCGGAGCTCTCTGGCCTCTCCAATTAATCTGAATATCCGCAGCTGCTAAAACTGAATTATTTAACAGGGCAGGATACTGAACTAACACTGGAGCAGCAGGTGCTGGCGTTTGGATTTGCCTTTACAACAGCCATTAAAATGCCTTGGTCACACCCTACACCAGGTGCTTGGACTCCATATGGTGYGAGGCCATTCCTGGCCTGGGGACACTTCTCCAGGACCTGCAGTCAGCATGGAGACATGGGCCCCACCATGGCCTATAGAAAGCCAGAGCCTTTTACAGTCTTGCAGTGCTCCTGGAAGCAAAGTGCATTCCAGCAGTGCTTGGGATCCACAGCCCCGGGTGCAGGAGGCTCAATGGCCACCCTGTGAAGTCACAGCTGGGACTTTCTGTGCCGTAGGCAGCTTTATGGACGGAGTGACGGCTGGGTGCTGGCACTTGCACGTGGCTGCCTTGTACCTTCTCCCTGCAGCAATCACAGGAAGTCACTGGGTTCCTCGGGACCCAAGTGGAGGGTCAAGGTGGAGAGCGTCGCACCATCCACCTCTTGGTTATCCAGCACCAGGAAAATGCCCCCAGTTTAAATGGATCATTAGTGCCATTAAAATAAAGAAATGTGATCTGAACTCATTTTTTATTCCATTTTAATGATACAGAGGATTATCACCAGCATGAGGTGTGCAGTGCCTCTTAGTAGTTCTGGGGGCTCCTCCATATATGTTTTTAAGGACAAACCTAGTAAGGTCACATAGGTTCTTTTCTTCTTATCTACTGAAGTTTCTTACTGTTAAGTATTAGACTGGCTGCACCAGTCTAATACACCAATCTTAAATAAGTCTTAGCAACCAGTCTTAAAACTTGTTTGGGAATCTTTCTACATATTTTTCTATGTAGACAAAGATTTTCTTCTACACTCTGCTGCCAGAAAAAGACTGGATGGAGCAACCTTTCACACTCAAAACAATGTATGTGGGTTTCAGGGAGCAGGAGGTCTGTTGAAGTTTGCAACTGAAATGCAGAAAAGCAAAAAATAATGGGAATTTATAAGTAAAATGGGAAACAAAACGGCCTCAGGTGGAAGGACAAGGCAGGCGGTTCTGTTGTCTTTGTTTGCTGGGGCCCATGAAAGAGAAGCCCCCTTGTGTGCGTGATGTGACTGTCTATAACAGGAAACTGTTGCTGTTCAGAACAAACAACATTTTTGAAATGAAATCCTGTCTCCTGTTATGTTTCTGCCTAAAACCAAGCGTGCAAAGCTGAAACGTGCAGCATCCTCCCTACCTCCGCCATCTGTAGTCAAATAAACTGTTGTCCTGGTTCCTTTATGGTGCTGACTTGGTTGCTTGTTTTTTTCCTCAGACTTCCCCAGTGCTGAGAGACTTCTTGGAAAGGATGTTGACGCGGGATCCACTGGAAAGAGCAACGGCACAAGAACTCCTGGATCATCCCTTTCTGCTCCAGACGGGACTTCCTGAGTGCCTGGTCCCCCTTATCCAGCAGTACCGCAAGCGAACCTCTACCTGCTGACTTTGCACGAGGGGCAAGCAAGTAAATCTCACCATATCAAACCCAGAGACCGGGCTCTCGGGTCTCCTGTGAATGGTGCTTGGGACTCATAAGCGATCCTTTTAGAAGATGAATGTGAACGTTCTCCTTGCAGCCCCAGCCTTTTGTGGCTTCTCTTTTGCTGAAGACAATCAATAAGTGCTTGATCCCAGGAGGACCAAGTCTATCTGTAGAATGAAGCGGGCGTTTCACCACTTCTGAATTTCTTCTTCTGGAAGAAGGGCTCTTCTAAGCAGAGTCTGATGCATCTAAATGTCTGCACGCTCCTGCAAACCTCACCTGCTGGCTACTGAGCTGGACCTGTATTTCCCCATGAGAAATGTGATTTTTTTTTGTTGTTGTTGTTTTATTAGTCGTACACTGGAGTCTTGAGTTGGCTCAAAGGTATGTTTTGGGGCACAGGTCCTGTTAAAATGCACAAAGACTTCATTTTTTTTTCCTTCATGACTTTTTTCACAGATGATTTTATCTTCCTGCTAAATGTGGACCTAGAAAACTTGGATGTATGTTCCTGGGAAGCAGATGTGATGTGTATATAGTGTTTTTGGATGTCTCTCCTGCATCCACCTGCTTCTCTTCTGCTGAGGAATGTGTGTGGTTTAGTGGCAAGACTAACACTAACATGTGGTCAATCTTCAATCCATTTCATGAGCTTAAGCTTCTGGAGGGGAAACCCTTGGATTCAGGCCTCAAAGGGGACTCCATGAAGACTGTCACTCCCACCCAGCAGAGTCATTGCTGCAAATTCACCAYGTGCAAAACCTCCAGGGGTAGCTGTAGCGGGGAGATATTTTGCTCGACAAGGACAATCTTTGACAGCTCATCCCTGTATTTTGGTTTCTAAAACAAAGCTCTTTCCAAACCTCCTTCTAAGCCCTGGCTCCTGGGAGAGGCTGCTCAGAGGCAGTTGTGTTGGGGAGCACTTTGGAGATGCTCTAGGAGAGCGAATGAAAAATTTCCAGCTGTCACCTGTGTCCCAAGAGAGAGATGTTTGTTTGCATGGTGCAACTGTTGGGTTACCCTCCACCTCTGCTGTTTGCCTCCACAAACACAGGGAGAAGGGAACTTTTGATGTCTGTTTTGTTATCGGTATGGCCTTCTTCCCCACCCCTATCCCTCCGATGACATTCAGAGGCGACKTGTTGTCTAAGCAGCTCTTGCAATTCTTTTTAAATGGCTTTAGATATTTTGTATGATAACTTTTTGATCAGTGAGGTCGTCAAGGTCGTGAGACTCTAGGTCAGGCTGTGACGTTGTACAGTAACAGTGTGTATTGTTGTGAAGCTCTCAAGGATGTTGTCTTACATGTGAAACTGGGATCCCATTTTGAAACTGCAAAGCAAATTTATCGGAATTTACCTTATTCTCGGGAGAGACCTCCTGGCTCCGAGAAACTAACCTCGTAACTTCATTTTCTTCAGAAGATGTTAAAAAGCTCTCTCCTCTGCTCTTCACTCCAGTTGTAGATCCTGCTTCAAAATTGAAGCCGTGGTTAATTACTTGAAGTAATTTGGGATGGAATTCACCAGCACTGATACCGGGCGCATAGGCGGTGGCCATCAAGTCTGCTAGGCCTACAGGTTGCCTCTGTAGACCATGGTGAGGGAGGACCTCCTTCAGGGGGTGATTATCTCCATGGATAACTCCTCTAGGATGAAGTCGCTGCCTCTCGGGATCACCCTCCCCATGGATGATAGAGGGAATGTTGGTTGTTTGCCTAGACTAGATGCCTAAGTTGAGGGCTGATGAAGTCAGTTGATTGATGGAATCCTTTAGCTCTTTCTTGGCTGCACTGGAAAAAAAATGATTTAAATATTTCTGTATTCTAGATATACTGCTTTTTTATGCAAAAGAGCAGGGCTTTAAAAAAATAGAAAAGGGTTTATAATCTGAAACAAATGTTCCTGCTCATCTGTAGTTGTGACTCATTTGCACTTGTGTTTTAAATTAAAGTAGATCTCGATTTGTTCATATGGCCTTTGCAGTGTCGAGGTCCTTTAAAACGTATCTTCAGTTTGGAAGGGTAAGGGGTAAGTGTGACCCTCCAGGCCTGCTTAACTTACCGCTTCTGTGGCTTTTTAAACACACAAACACACCAACGCTGTGGAGCAAAAGGCCTGGATCCTCACGGGAAGACTCCTTGGGGCAAAAGGTTGCCAGGTTTCAGCCTCAACATCTTTTATAATCCGGCCCAAGTCTCACTAAAGGCAGTGAGAAAAAGGGCCTTGAAAGTTTGCAGTTAAGTTTCTGTATAAAATTTTAAAGCTTATTGCGTATTTGTGAAGAATACAGAAAATATTTTTATTTTTATTTTTTTAAATATATTTTATTTTTAAAAATATTTTATTATTTTTTTCCCAATAGAGAATTAAATGCCTGGTTCCTGTTTTCTGCCTGTACAGTTCTTGCCCCACATGCCTCCTATTAATTGCTCCAAATCCTGCAATAAAGTATTGATTTTTATGAAAATGGAGGCTCTGTCTCCAGGGCCAACAGCTCCCTTGGCAAGAATCAGGCAGCCAAGATTAAGATCAGCAGGACAAAGTTTTAATTTGCATCGCCACAATGTCGAGGAGGCAGATTTCTTGCACACCAAGTATATAAAGCACGATAGTCTTGGCTGTGAAGAGCTCACCATCTACTCTGGGGGTAATTATGCTTGGAGATACCATTTTCTCTGAATAACTTGTATACATTCAACAGTGTCATCCTCGTATTTCACGGTGTTCTGTTGTTTTGTGTCATGTTTTATCTGGATCATCATTCCTTTTTTTTTTTCTCCCTCCTCCCTGTCAGCYTCGGTGTTGTTGAGTCTTTCGCATGCTGCTATAGTCCTCACAATCAACATGTAGARCCTTTTGAAGGTTTTATAACCCTTTGAAGATGGCAGGATGATTTTGAGGACCCTTTGAAGATGGCAGGTAGAACTGATAGGAGCAATTTGCCAAATCAAACAGGAAGCCGCTGCCTGCTGTCATCTGCCAGCTGAAGTTGGATGCGCAACGGTTCCGTCTCCTTGACGGTACCGAATGCGGCACCTTGTCACCCCATYGCTCTGGGAAGGGTGCAGAGCCTTCCCTGGAAGCCCCTGCCATTTAGCCGCTGGCTGCAGACATTCACTGGATCAAGTGAGGCTCCTGACCTGTTAAATGTGGTGAGGAGGATCCTGTGCTTCCTCCTTAGCTTGGGCAAAAACATTCAGTTGTGCTTTAGCTCYGGATTGGTAACGCGGCGATAGGAAGTGCTGAATCATGAGCAGGTGCTTTGGACATGGAGTGGGTCTCTAAAACAGATGCACTAGATACTGGGCAGTGCTTTCTTCCATGGTAGCCATTGCCAGGTCGGTGCTGTATCACTGCTGAAGACAGAGAAGATCATTTTTGGTCATGAAGTTCAAGTTGAGCCTACAGAGTAGCTCTCAATTGGGTGTAATWTTAAGAACATTCTGAGGCACCACTGAATATTTGAAGGCAGAGTTTTCTGTAAAGTAATTGCAGAAAAGGGAGCAGTGAGGGCTGTCCAAATACATTGCCCATTCCTTGATTAAAAAACTGGAGACATCGCAGTTGTGCAGACTGAAAGGAAATTAGTGTCTGGTAGCCCTCCCATCACATAGTATTTTCTGTAATTTCTTTATTTCTTCCTGAGTGTTGCCGCTGGGCTCTCATCAGGGAAGCTGCCCACAAACATGAAGCCTGGGCCCGAGTTCCCATGCAGTCTCATGTTGCGGTAACGTTTTTAGGGAATCCCCACGTTCATCCATCATGTRGAGAGCATCTTGCGCTTGTCTCTGTTGTAGCCCCCATTGCTTTGGGATCCCTGAAACTTAATTTCGAAGAATGTAGTCAAAGTTGGAGCTTCTGAAAATTAGTATTTAGAAGGTGCTTGATGAAAAATGAAAGCTATGAAGAACAGTGTCTTGATACTGATTTTGCTTTATGTACGTAACAGTCTTGCTGCAAAAGCCAGTCGGATCCCAGTGCCCTCTCAACCCATGGTCACCATCTTACGGTGCTCAGAATCACAAGCTGGGCTGCAGGACCACTCACGGAGACCTTCCAAGACCTCCAAACTTTGYAGGAAGCATCCAAACTGTAGGCAGCATTGGGAAGTTAGAAGGTGCTATTTCTCCACTGGAGTAAGTAACCAGCACAGTGGGGTCTCTCCACAGGCTGTGGTACTGCTAGAAGGAGGATCGTACCCCTCAGAGGTCAGCAGAAGAGGATTCCTCATGTATTCTCGAAAGTCTCTGTAGTAATGTTTGTCCCAGGAACTTGTAGTGCCTTCACCTGGCTTTTGTAGTGGTTTTGGTGGCCTGGGAATTCATCCTTTTTTGATTAGTGATGGTATTTTGTCTTGAGGTGCCTTGCTGTGGTGGCCTAGGCTGCTTCACCTCACAGGGGAAGGTGTGGATGCAGAAGGTGCTCGGTGCTCCAGCTGAGATGCAGCTCTGCRTACAGAGTGTGCAGGCGCTCTGAAAAGTGCATTTATCAGACCTTTCTTTAGCACTAAAACGTAATCGCTGATGAACATACCCCATTTTTCAAGCAGTTCTGCCTAAATGCCCCGATAAAGCCATGCCAACCAAGGCACTGGCCTTGTTTAATACCAGAGGAGCTGCACTATAGAAACTGTGACAGGGTGAGAGCCATCGTGGTGGGTTTCCTCCTCAGGCTTAAATGTCACAGAATATGAATAACGCGAACCCAAACTGTTAAAATTAAGATTTCTGACCTCTGTGTCAGAGTCTTGCTAAGCTGGGCTAACTTTTTTGAGAAGTCAGCGCCCTGAGATAGCTTCACAAAGAGTGTTTTGCTCTGCTTTTATTTCAGGCCTTGCTTTGGCCAACCAGTTGGGGTGCCCAAAGGACTTTCTGCTTGAAGATGATGGCAAATGGAGTGAAAAGGAAAGAGGAGTTAAAAGGAAAGAGGAGGAGGGTACTGAGTGCTGCCTGGGAATGGCCTGGAGGTGATACTGGGGTCTCTACCAGGTCAACTTGATCACAGGCCTTTTGGTGAAGACACTGCAACTATCAGCAGGGCTCCAGAGTTGGGCTCAGGCTTCAGCTGAGCCAGGTGGGTCTGGCTCTTGGGGCCTGTTTTGGTCCTGTCATGGCCTCCATGGGAGGAAGGGGCTCACACGCACCCTTCACCATCACTTCCACCTGAACTGTCCCTAAGCACGGTGCTCTTTGGCATTGCTGCCATRGAAGAGAGGAGTGACATGGTTGACTCATTAGGTGCTGGTGTCTGCCCTGGCTTTAGATGTGTGGTTCTGTAGCACGAGTTTATTTTGATGCCTTCATTCACTGTAGGGGCATTAAAAGAAAGCAACTGATGCCCAGTTCTCTGGCAGTGGGCATGGAGGGTGGGGGGCACACTCTGCMATCACCTTTGGAACTGGGGTAGGTCACTGGTTCGTGCTGCCCTCGAGCTCCATTCCCAAGGTCCAGCGTAAAAAGCAGGGGGGCAACAAGCACCTTCCTTGTTTGGGAACTGACCTAAGACAAAGCAATAAGCTGCTTCCTTGGCTTCAGTCCTCTCTTGCTGTGATGTTTGTCATTCCTTTTGGAAGGCCGTTAAACTTCACAGCATGATGGAGATGCCAGGGAACGGGGAAGATTGTTCCAGAAAAACAGCAGGATCGGTCCAGCTGGAGGTAGCTGCTCCGTTGGTTGTCCTAGGAGGACAAGAGTTGGCAATAACCACAAGTTGCGTTGGTGTTCATGGCAGCGTGTGTAGTGCTCGTGGTAATTCAAAGTCAAAGGCAGTGGCTTTTCCTTCAGTTTTCTGGGTTTTTCCTCCATCTGAGCCCGGCTTTGCTGCTGCCTGCAGGGGACATGTCACTGAATCTCCTAGCCAACTTCTTGGGTACTATTTTCCCCACTGCATGGAGCACTATTGGATTAGAGAATGGGGGATAGAGCAGGGATGGATGGTTAATGCCTATGAGACAGTCTGAGCCGCGAAAGCTCTTCTGTGCCGGTCAGAACTACATATGGGCCATTCTGAGAGCAGTGAACCCACCAAAACAGTTTTGACTCCCATTGAAATCCTTTTTTTCCAGCTCGTGCTTTAGAGGAGAGAGGAGGAAGCCTCGATGGTAGCGTGAGGCAGGGGCTCCTGTAACTACACCAGGGCCAGGGGTATGCTCATGCTCCTAGTGAACTGCTTTGCTAGAACTGGGTATTTGATATAGGAGGGAGCTTGCGGTGAGGAGGAGTTTTGTGAAGGGACGGGATCATGGACAGGCTGTTTAAGAGAAGTCCCACTGCGTATTTGGTGACTCAAGACACTCAAAGTGAGACCTGCGGATACAAATGTCAGAAAACTGTGAGTTTAACGGTCTATATTATCACATGCTCACACTGGGCAACACTTGGGACTTACCTATACACTAACTTCAAGGGGAAAAAAAAGGGAGGGAGGGAGATACAATTTTTTGAAGAAATGTTTTATTTTTTAGAAAATAAATAAGTCAGAAATTTACAATACATAATCCCAGTATTATGTAACACTATAGGGGGAGATAATGGTCTCTTCTTGGGGGTCAGACCAGCCTGGGAGCATCTTGTCTCTGCTAGCTCCAAGTGGGTCTCTCTTATAGCAGCACTTCATAATGCCTTCATGAATGCAGGTTCTGTGTGTAACAGGTTCCCTCGAACAGCCACTGCCTGTTTTAGGATTAGCATAATTCCAGAAATGATAGGAACCTGATTTTTTTTTTAAATGGGCAAAGGGGAATCTGATTAGGTTCCACTACAGCATTTCACTACTTGAAATTCAGGTGGATGGCAGCAGTTGCTGTGGTCAAGGTCACCTCTTCCTGACTCCAATTAAAGACAAAGGTTCCAATCACCAAAAGTTGCAGGCACCTTTTCTTACAGTGTTCTCACCTATTTCCCATCTACAGGAGGCTTTAAAAACACCCTATCTTCTGAGGCTCTATAAAGGGGCAACAAGAGGTGGCTGGAACAGCACAATATATTGATGGTCTTACCAGTGCAAGGAGGTGGAGGTTGATGCTGCTGGGACACAGAGGAGCCACCAATCTGCTCCCCTGCAGGTTGAAGTTGGGATTTTCTTCCCCATTTCCACTTGAGCAGTGTTCAACATATTCCAGACTGGAAGCTGGAGCACATCCTTCCAGTTGCTTGGTTCCCAAAGACCAGAGGCTGAGCCTCTGTCTTCACTAACTGGGAGACCAGCAAGCACAACAGCAGCCTCAGGCTTGCTGTACTTTCTGCTTTGTGAATATTACTAACTCAACTTGTTTCCTTAAAGAAATGTGCTCAGGGGTGCTGTTTCTGGATGGCTCTTCATTTGGTCAACAAATATTTTCAAATAATTTACCAAAATGTGCTAGAGTTTGTTATGTGATGGCTAAAATAAGAGGCTAAGTTAGCTTTGCTTGTAAAAATAAAGGGAGTTCAGGGAAGCTTTAGTATGTCCAATCGGTGCAGGTGAGTATTCTGCAAAGGGGACAAGTCACAGGGTTCTCAGGTTACTTCTGGTGTGTCTTGCATTGGCTGAGGAGCCACCTGAAAACTCCCTGGTCTTCAAGAGGGGTCAGCTGCACATCTGAGAACTTGCCTGAAGGCCCCTCCCAGAGTCATCAAGTTAGAATCAGCAGTGAGAAACAGCTGCAAGGAATGGAGACAAGGCTGAAAAGAAAGCAAAGCAACCACACTGGTGGTGCACATTTCCTCAGGAGAAAATGGTGTTGTGTGGATGCCAACACACTGAAACTGTCCTCRTGTGTCTGTGCAGAGAGGGACCTTTTTAAAAGCCAGCACTGGTTGTGCAAGGAGGTGCTGACAAAAAGTAATATGAGCTGCTATCAAACCTTTCCACCTATAAACAGAGGCTGCAACTGCCTTAGCAAGTAGTGTCACCAGTAGATAGGTACTTCAGAGCAGAACAGGTTTTGCTGAAGAGCTGATGCCCACRCTGTCTTTACAGAGAGTTTAGCCTGGGCCACCTCTCAGCTGGAGCGAAAAGGTGAGCTACCCGAGAGTGTCTTTCAATTAATTTTCCTTTAGAGTGATTCAGTTCAAAGACTACTCTGTGGTGGGAGCAGAACTGCCAGGAAACTTGCCCTGAAAACGGAGCTCTGGATCCACAGTAAGTGCTCGTTCACCTTCACTCCCAGGCCTTTTCATACCACTGAAACACCTCGCTGCTAAGGCTAGGGAAACCAAGAATTCAAGCCTTCTCTGCAGGATGAGCCCTTCAGCCTGCTTCCCTCCCATAGCTAGGATAATAAAGTAGTAATCCCTGAAGGATTTCAGGCGTCTTCCAGGTAACCATCCTTCTGGAAATGAAGCGGTGAGCAAGGGAAGCCTATGTCAAAATCGGCTTTCTTCAATCTCGGCTGCTGCCTCAGCCCCCACGGGTTCAGCCACGGCTCCCGCAAGCGTCGACACCTCTGCTGCTGGGATGGGGTCTGCCCGGTGCTCTGCAGAGCCTCGCTCCTCCTGGGTGTTGCTCAGAACAGCTTCCCTCTGCACCCGTGGCTCTGCAGGAAGGGCTGCTTGTGGCCAGTTCTTCACCGTCGCCTGCACTTCCACGGCCAAGCTTTTCAGTTTCTCTTTGTACTCCACCATTGCCTCCTGCTGGAGCTGCAAACAGAAACCCCCAAATCATTTTTGAAGCACTGAAGCTAAGCCCAGTTCAGGCTGAGAATGCTAAGGGAGAGAAGACTGCATGACAAAGTGTTAGTAATTTGCTCTATTATAGCGCATATATATATACACACACACACACATATATATATATAGCAGTTTTGCAACCCTATGTGGCACAAGGTGCCCCAGGCAACCTTTGGCTTCCCTGCAGAAGAAGGGGGAAAAGGTTGGRAGAATAGGGTGCAGCTTGCTGATTTACAGTATTTTGATTTGCACTGAGGTCTGAGATGAAGTAAGACTGTGTGGTCACTTCACAGCAACTTGAAAGTCTCTATGCAAGTGTCAGAAGAGACTGAGTAACCTAGGAATGAAATTCATCTCCTCCAAGGGCACAGCTCCATCACACACTAAATTTAGCATTTGTTTGTTTCTTTTTTTGTAGGAATAGGTGAATGCTAGTGCTGGCACAAGGAAGGTAGGAACGTAGCAGCACTTCTGAGTTAGATCCATGCAGGTTCCTGTAGAACCACCCTCTAAGCCATTCAGTTTCCCTGCGTGCTGAGCACTGGGTGGCTGAAGTGTGTGTGTGGGTAGGATGAGTGTGTCATTAATTAAAGAAGTCACAAGGAAGACCAAGCCCTTGTAGTGGTTTGGATTTACTCTACTGCATCACAGCACTGAGCCAGAGATTCATTTTTGCCTTTACCTGGCTTTCCTTCTCCTTGATTTTTTTCAGATTATCCGTCTGCTTCTCTTCCAGTTTCCGTTGGTATCTGTCTGTCCTTTCTGTCACCTTTAAAAACAGAAGGAAAAAATGCCCAAAGCTTTGGTTTTATAAGAAAAATGGGATGCCTTAGCCATCCTAAGCTTCTAGCAGCAAGACACAGGGCTGTGAAGTGCATTCCCACAGTTATCTTCCTTTCCCACAGCTCCTGCTGGCTCCATTATATGTGCAAYGCCCATGACCCTGACCTCTAGTGCCAGGGCAGCACTGCAGAAGCTTACCCAGTATGTGCCCACACACCCTGGCACAGGTTTTGCTTTGCAGGGTGACAGGTAAAGCTGAGACACAACCCTCTCCCCTTCTGCAAAACTGTGCACACAATAAAATTAATGTGGGGGTTGCAATGAGAATTATATGTACTTTTTTTTTTCTCTCTTAAATCCTTGAATTAGAAATGTTCTGTATGCTAGAGAGTTCTCTTCTGCATTGCATCTTTGTCAGCTAGGAGGGCTGACAAAACCCTGATGGGATATGTGTTATCTTAAAAAGGACAGTGTCTTAGCTGCAGCTTGGATGTCTGAAGGACATGCTCAGAGTCCCTGATGCGACAACACTTTAACAGAATTTAAATACTTTTAATTTAAATTCAAGTTCTGCCTACGCCACATACTGCTGAGCCATGTGGGAGACCTCCATTTTGGAGGAGATGGAGATGCCATGACAGTGTCACACCAGAACTTACCAGCTTGATAGTCTGCACTACTTCCTGAATATGAGCRTTATTAATCTCCTTCTTTAACCTTGAAATAAAAGAAAGGTATAAAAACTTATAACCAATCCCTTATCTTTATAGGAAGCCTGTTTATCAACACTGATAAAGTGCCATACAGCAAGCTAGGACTGCTGGTACCCACAGAGACACAGGTGTGCCAATACTCATTAAACATCCTCTCCCATAAGGAAATTACTGTAATTTCAGGAATGGGCAAATAAACAACATTCCAACTTGGCTGAACATAAGGCAAATAATTGGGTGTAAAATCGATTTTTTTTTCAGTTTAACAAACATGAAAAGGACCTTGCTATGTGTAGGGATATCAAAAGAGGTTATGTGCCCTCTTATGTGCCCTTAACCATGTGAATTTATTACAGCAGGCAGTGCTACACTGAATCATAGCATGCAGTGGTTGAGTGCACAAGCTCAGTAGCAGAATATTTATTTTTATAATAAGCAGAAATGGAGAGAAAAACACAGCCATTATATGCCTAAAGACAGCCTCCTAATTGAGGGAGGTGCTGAAAACGGCTGCAAACAGACTCTAGAGAGGATGGAGAAGACCTGGCTTGGATTCTGWGGAGGGATAGATGCCTGTCGAGGTTTAAGGACAAGCACAGGATTTGGAAATGCTCTTAGCTTGCTGATGAAGTGGCTGGGAGATGCTCTGTCACCCCAGCAAGAAGCTAAAATGAATAAAGGACCCCGTGGCAAGTGCTACCACAAGGTCCTCTTCCAGGTGCAGGCTGTCCTCCTGGATGGCCTCTCCCCCCCATTTCCATGTGGGCTCCAACTGCCTTTTRAGCCAAAGGCTCAACTGCCCTCAGGCCTTTGAAGAGTCTAGAGAGTAAAACAGGTCTTGGCAGTACAAGCAAATCGCTTGCCAGGAGCAAGCAATATCTATGCCAAGTTGTCTGTGTGTGCCATGACCTGCTTGGCTGCTTTAAAGAGCTTCCCAGTGATGATGGAGACTGAGGGGTACTGCTGCTGTCTGCCCCGAGCAGCACTGCTGCTGCTGTGCCTGGCAAAGCTACTCCAGTACCTCTCCTGAGCTGCCTTGTCACTGGTGTTTCTCATCATGGCTTGTATTCGGTCCACTCTCTTTGCTTCCAGCTTCTTCTTTATCTCCTTAATATTGCTGCAGGGAGAAAAGCGTGCCGAGGGAGACAGAAGGGATTATGCAGCCCATGTACCAAAGCAGCACTAGTAGCACCTCTCCATTTTGCCATACTTCCATAATTTCAGAATTTGGCTCTACATTTGTCCATAGGAGCAAGAAACTTACAGCAGGGCTACCACCTAAGAATTTCATCAAGTACCCCCCCATTTCTGCAGTTAGAAGAAATGGAGTAATGACTTTCTTATCCCATATTATTTATGACTTTATAGGCATTTGTTACTCCCCTGCTCTTGATCATCCCCTCTCATACATGTTGTTTTACATTTACTGACACTGAATTTATCTGCCATCTTACAGCCCAGGGCCTATCTAGAAGTTAATGAATTGATTCTCCCAATTTGTTCAAGCACTGAAGCCCAGATGCTCTCATGTCATTAAAAAGTCTGAGTGGAGACAGCTGATGACCAGAGTGCTCCAAGACCACAGTCTCCTGGCAGGAAATACTGCTTCAAGTGTGAGCCCTCCATGATTCCTTCATTATTCAAACAAGCAGTTTACCTTTCTGATGCTTCCTTCAGTGCCTTCAGCTCAGCTGTCTGCTTCTCTTTGGCTAGCTCTGTTATCTTGGTAACTTGCTGTTTAAAGGAGCAACACAAGATCAAAAGCAAACCATGATGAGACCCAGCCCCCATCTCAATTACCATCCTTTAATTACCACCAGCCTAAGCTCCATCCCTCCCTGCACTGGGCTCCAGTGGCCAGGCTGGCTGCTCCTCATGGCTCTGGGCAAACCTGTGCTCCTGCTCAGCAAGGCAGGGCACATACCCAGCTCCTGCCATCCTGCCCATGGCCAGACTGCACCTAGACTCCCAAAGCAGCTGCATGCCCAAGTCACAACCCTCTACCCTACTTGCAGAGAGCTCCCTAGTGCTCTGCTCTTATGGGAGGCAGTGCCAGATTCACTGCACCTGTGGACAGATGGGTTGGAGCAGTATAGCCCACCTTATAAAGGACAGAGGCCTGCAAGGTGTTGGACCTTCTCTCTGTGGGAACAAGGTCAGGAAGAGCTATAGTTGCCTTGAAAGTGATATGCAGCTGTAACAGGGCAAGTACATTCAGTTTCTTTCTTAGGGCATCTCACTAGCAGAATAACCTGTGTAGGGAGCTCCCTCTGCACTGCTGCCTGCTGAGAGACAGCCTGAAAGGAAAGAAAACCCTGGCTCCAGGGCTGAGGGCTGTGCAGGCTTCTCAATTCTTTTTTGGGGGACTTGCTCACTAAGTCCTATGCTCTTTAAAAGGACCCTGAGACAGGTAGGTTTTATTCTCTTGGTTTCTGTGTCTGGCAATACACGTGGTTTCCAGATAAACTAGTTGTCAGGAGGCAGTTGTTTCTATCTGGAGAGGTGGGAATGGGCCAGCCGGTTCTGCAGAAAAGCCTGTGAGATGCCTGGCAAGCCAAACTGCACCAGAGAGCCTCAAATTGAAGGTAGACAATGCAAAGTCCTCTGGCAAGCTACGATGGGAAAAGGCCTCCAAATCTTGGAATTGTGCCCCTTTCATTGGAATAGATGACATATCCCATGTTTATCACCAGCATCTATGGACTGGAACTTGTTTCCAGGCATTACCGTGTCTTTTTCTACTGCTAGCTCAAAGAAGCAGCTCTGAGAACATGGGAAACACAGACACACTTGTGGGACTRGTTGGTTGGCAACACCTTATGCAGACACCTACTTCTATAACCACCAAGTCAAACAAGAAAGTTCCTTCCGACTTTGAAGGCTAATGAGCCCCAGCCCTGTTGTGAGGGCTAACTGGTGCACTAGGAGTAAAGCTTTCTGCCTGACTCATGGACACGTTTTTTGAGCTCGGTTTCTGTGAAGAGGAACATGGTTTTCAGACTGTCCTCGGTGCTCTCTGTGTGGCCACATGCAGCCCTTACCTCTGTGGCATGCTGCTCCTTCTTCTTTCGAACCCCGTTGTGGTATTCCTCCCCTAGGTGCATGAGGTCCCTCTCCAGCCTGTCCCTCAGCTCCAGAACTCGGCACTCAGTGTTTTCTGCTGTTTCTACAGCACTGGCCCATGTACCAAGGTCATCTGTGGTGATGCTCCTGCAGAACAGATAGAGCAGCTGAGCTGCCTCTAGAGGTGTTGACACCTTCCTGACCTTCCTACCCATCTCTCAGTGGGAACATCTGATGCTCTACAAACCCAGTGAGATGTTCTGTGCCTGTTTCAGAGAAGAGGAGCACGTTGGTCTTGCACTTTTCTCTGAAGAAAGCCACCCCACAGAAGTGGGGGAGTGAAAGACAAGCCAGCTAGCCCTGCTGGAGACCTGTGCTGTATTTTACCTTTTCTTCTTCTGAGTTTTTCCAGGATATATCATCCTTTTCTTGCCTCCATGGCACACAGGCTCCAAAAAGAAGGCGGAATATCTCTGCAGCAGCTCCTCCTTGCGTTTGCTTCCTTTCCGCTCTAGCTCCTTCAGCTCCTTCTCCTGCTTCTTCAGCAGCTTCAGAAAGAGCTTCATCTGCTGCAGTTCTTCAAGGCTAGCTGTCTGTGGCTCTAAAACAGAACACAAAGATGAGCTGTCTTCTCTTACACAGCACTTCTCACACTGCTGTGATGCTTTGCAGGGGGTCAGAGAGGTTTTTTCAGCACTGCCATTGCTCAGATTTCCTTCCTCTTTTCAGCACTACACACAGATCAGTTCAGCAACTGGTAGATGCCTGGCTTAGGTAGAGCCAGAGGAATTACAGCCTCTTGCTATTTTAGCCAGAGATGATGATGATGATGATAATAATAATAATAATAATAATAATAAAAGGGCACTTGTAATGTGTGAAGCCTATTGCGACACTTGCCAAATGACAAGCTGAGGTGCTTTGAGCCCTTCTAGTTTTAATGGCTGTTCCCTCAGTTGTGAAGAAAGAATAAAAGGGCTTTTCAAGCAGGCAAAAAACTGAGGGGGAAGGATTCCTGTGAACTGCTGGAGAACTCGTTATCAAGCAGCAGTAGCGAGTGAGTGAGATGCAGTTATCTGTGGCTGACAGCACAGGGAGTCATTTTTTCAAGGGAAGTAAGTTTTTCTTGGTGTGGAATGTATAAAAATTAACWGACTTCTTCATCTCTATCCCACTTAGAAATTGAGCAGACAGGAGCTGTGAGACAACGGACAATGCTACTGCCCAGGCAAACACCAWGAATGGAGTTACCTGCAATTTGGGTTGCTGCTTTCACGTTCACATCTGTCGCCAAAGCTGCTGCTCCTGAAATCACAAAGGAAATGGAGAGGGGAGAGCTCAGCAGGAACACAAGCCACGGAACAGTTGTTGGTGTGAACAGCAAGTGACTGAATTAAGCAAGCTACAGAGGTGCTCGGGGACTCTGTTGCCAGGTGCAACAGAAATGGGAGCAGAAATGCCTGCCTGCAACAGAGAAAAAGGGCGTTTGCTTTTGTATTAATTGGATTTTAAGCTACTGGTGGTTCGGCATACATTACACTTTTATAGAGGAGGTGATCTTTCTGGCTTGAAACTTGAGGAAAGGCAATGTTTTGATACTAAGATATCTGAAGCTTTCTGGATATCTCCAAAGATCTTGTCTGGAAATTTAATCAGTCCAAAAAAGTTTAAATCCTCTCTTTAACTAGGACAATTCCTTTTTTTTTTTTTTTTTTTTTTAATCACTGATGCTATACAGAATAACGCAGGAGAAGCTCAGATATCTCAGCAGAGAAAAAGGTAGTGGAAGATGAGTGTAAATGCTTGAAATCCGGTCTGTATTTCTCAAGAGAAACTGATTTCAGTTACCTCAGGCTGGAATCTACAGCCCTCATCATGGAAACAGCAATATTACCCTAACAGGCATTAAGCCTGCCTGCCTTGGAGGTCAGAGATGATGTTCATACAGTTGGGTCTTTCCTTCACTTCTTGGCATTCTCAGTAGATACTCAAGATTACTTTATTATTACTGTGGAGTAATGCACACCCACACTAGACACAAGAACTGGGGCTGGGATACCTGCAGTTTTCCCCAGCCTTACCTGCAGGTCCGTTTGAAAAGGGAATATGGAATTTCCCGGTGAACTCGGGCAGCCCGTTAGTTTCAGCAGAAGGGAAGCTTCTGTGTGCTTCAGGCCTCTAAAGCAAAGACCAGAGGTAAACCAAAGCACAGCATATGGAATTGGAGACCAAAAGATTAGTGACCAAAAGGGCCATCAAAGACCCCCAGAGAGCTGGCATACGCTTCCTGCATTCCTGAGCTTCAGTTTGTCTTGGCTTTCAAGTACATCACAYTGCTAAGTTCCTTCTCCAGTGACAATGGTGGTAACCTTCACTGGTAGAAGGAGCTTCAGCAATGTACGAAATACCCCCAGATGCTCCTTCCACAGCTGTTGGTCTTGAGTATTTTCTAGCTCCAGGCAAGGCCTCAGGTCCAGAAATAAGTAAATAGATGCATCCGTTCTTGGACAGCCTTGCTCCAGGATAGTGGAAAGCCTCTTGGCAATCCTTTCCATTATTTCAGGTGGAATCCATGCATCAGGTTTGAAAGATTATGATAGAACTCAGAAAAATTCACCTTCACTGAGCCCGAGCCCTCTTTTAGCTTCACTGATCTCTTGTCTTGGAGACTGAAGAACTTAATTGGGTTGGAGAGAGCAATAGTCAGGTCTAGAAAAGAGAATAAGTCAGGATTATCAAATAACTCAGTATATTTTTGTTTCTCCTGTTTTTCTGGTTTCCTTTTTTGGCTTAAGAGGAAAATGTTTCACYTTCTCTACTTCTGAAAACCATCTCTACTAGCATAAAAGGAAGGGACTCCTTTTTTTGGCCCCGGTCCCATTCTGAGGTGAAAGCTCACGGCTGACATTTAGGGACTATTACATGGAGCTGACAAGAGGATATTGCTGCCAAGGTCAAAGCCAGGCTAAGACATTAATAAGCTGCACATCTCTGTGCTCCAACCTTGCAGAGATAAAGACCCTCAGCGTACACCTCCTTCATCCCCTCTTTTGAMCATCTGCTCTAAAAAGAAGGATCACCGTATCCCAGGATCAGCAAGAACCCCCTTCAAAGGAGGAAGATGAAGGTCTCTGCCATCCTCAGCCCAGCCCCATGTCTTCCCCCCTTACATGGTGGTGGCTGCTACCTGCCCATGCGTCAGGAACGTAGTCCTTTATTTCCAGGTACACAAAGAGCGAGGGCATAGTGAGTGGCATGTTACTCTCGCTGCGGAGACAAACGTGGTGATATCCTGAAAAGAGGAAGCACAAGAGACCAGTTGACCCAGTCCTTCCCCCTGCTATAGTCCATGGCTCTAACAGGATGAGTTTGAAGGCCTGTAAGTGCATCCGACACTAGGGACTAAGTGGCAAAATATGCAGATGCTTCTGTCTTCTCCAGTTTCCARTTCACAAGTCTGAGGAGAGCCAAAGGGGAAGGCATTTCCACAAGACTTACCTGAATGCACAGCAATAACGGGAATGACACGGTGCCCAATGAACTTCCCTCCTTCCTCCCAGGCCACAAGTTTGAGAGATGCCAACTCGGGCATCATGATCTGTGGGGAACAAAACAGCCAAACAGAGAAATGCACCTGTGTGTCACTCTTTTTCCTTGAATCCCAACTTCCATGATGCAATTTGCCAGAAAAGGAAATGAATTTGGAAGGATTATATAAACATAGGAGCTCTGCCATAGGGGCTGTTCCCCCTCACTCCTTCCATTGCCTTTTCTGCCATAAAAAATAACTAGTAGCCTCAAAAGATTTTTCTGAGATGTTTTAGTAGGCTAGAAGTGCCTGCTGGTTCACAGTGTGCTTAACAGAGATGAATGTGTAACGWGGATTTTGCCCTCGTAACCCCAACCTTACTATCACTTTACTTCCCATAATCCAGTAGCTGCATTAGTAAAGACCACTGAATTCTTGTGGACAGATGTGGCATCTTCCCATGACCTGGCACACCTCAGAACCTCCCTTCTGGTTCCATTACTTGTCCTCTATCTGGTTCTCATCGTACTGTGTCACCACATTGGTTTAATTCTTTTCTGCTTCCTCGTGCTTGGTATTTTCAAAGTTGTTAAGTGTATTCAGTGCATCACAGAGGGGAGACTTTTGATGTCTGTTATTTCCAGAAACTTTCCCTATAACCTCTTACCTGTAAATGGAAATCTTCAGAGAGAATTGTTTGGGATATGGCTTATCCGAGAGCACAACAGRTAACTCCTGGTGTGTCTAAAGCTTTCAGATCCCCAGAAAGGAATCCCTACTGTTTTGACCCACAGGATGTCTAAAGCCTTTCTATCCAAGTTACCATCAAATGCTACTACCTTTTCAAAAACAAAAGCCTCCTCTTTCCATACAGGGTTAATGGAGTTGGCAGTGGAGGTCAGCTTGGTTCTGTATTTGCGCTTGGTGTCCCTGGGCAACCCAAAGAGCTCCACTTCCACATAGGTCTTCACACTGCGGTCTGAGAGGAACTGCCCAGAAAGGATCTAGGAACAAAACACAACATAGTTAGCAACTGCAGGAAAAAATATCATAGAAGAAGCCACCCCTGGCTCCCGGACAAAGTCCTTCCCCACACCCCAAACACTCTTTCTGCTTCCAATCAGCACTGCAATACGCTGTTCCTTTGACCCTTTCTTCCCCCACGGTTCTTGCTTCAGYACCTCCTTGATCCTCATCCCTCCCGCTCCTCGCAGCCTTGGATCCTTCTGTGTGTTGGCTGCTGATTTCCCACTTCTGTGTAATTAATATCAAACAGTGAACAAAATGGGAAGCTGTGACGCCCTCACACAGGCCCCTCAGCATCCCTATGATCCCTGCAGGGTGGGGACACRGCTGCCAGTTACAGGCAGTGGCTGTGGGGCAGGAGGAGCAGCAGGGCTGGTACTTGCCGTGACAGACAGGGTACTGGCCACCACCACATCCAGGCGGTCCACGGAGAAGGGGTCAAACTGCTTGTCTGGGCGCCGCAGGAACTCGTGCTTCAGCAGGTAGCCACACTGCCCATTGAACTCGAACAGAGCCATGTTCTGCTGCATGGGGACRTCTGAGAGCAGGGAGCAGAGGCCCACAGTGAGGAAAACATTCCCATGGAACCTCATCCAAGGGGACTGTGTGGTGAGAGCGAGCTGAAATAAGCTGTGCTTCTCCAGACTCTCCTAGCCCCAAACTCACCAAGTCATAAACTAATTAAGCTCCCCAGAATCCATCAGGGAAAAATATTGCAGCAGCTGTTTTGCAAAAAGTGCATGGCCGTTCGTGACTGCACCATAATCCATGGGTGCAGCTTGATTAAAATCTATTCTGAGAGGTACCTGCTGTTTCAGGTGTGAAGTGAGCAGCTTTCTGAACCCTTCGACTCCTTCCTCTTTCACTCCAGGCTTTTTCTCAGCCCATCAGGCTTTTGCTAAGCCCATCTTTTCCACTGCTACTTCCTCCCTCGCTAACACTGCCTTCTGGTTTCTACACCCATCTTTAGCGTGACATCCTCTTCCTCACCAATCTTTCTCACACCCTCTCTAAGTTTCTTCTTTTTTTCCCTCTCTCATCCTGTATCTAGTCTCCCACACTGTTTATATATGAAAAGAGCAAAGGAGGAAGAGGAGGAGAGAACAGTTTCATCTGGAAGATTTTCTTTTCTTTCTTTTTAGGCTCCTGAACTTGGCTGTACAGCAACGAAAGGCCCTCATGGGACCTGGATGATGGATGGCAGCAAGGAAGGGCACAGCAGCACAAGGCACCCAAGCACATTCAGAGCAACTGCACTGTTGGGAAATGGCAGTGAAGGAAGAGGTGGAGGTGTGGAGGAGCACGCAGCATCCCACACCTGCAGGACATTATGGCACTCACCCATGGTCTGGAAGTTCAGTGCCACCATCTGGCAGCCCACATTCCAGAACATCTGGGGCAGGTAATTAGAGGAGTCCATCCGGGTGCCTTTGGGATAAATCCGGCTCATTTGTCGCTTGTTATATCTACAGTTACTCTATCGGAAGCAGGTCTGGAGCACTTCAGGGTACCTTGGGCCTAGCTCATATGTTTAAATTATGAGATGCTACCAAAGATTTAGAACCTTTCAAATGAGAAGGTTCAATAGTAGCTTCTTTCCCATATCCCTTTCTTCTAGAAGCAGGAATCTGGCCATCAGGGCTTTGCCAGAGCAGGATGCATCTTATCAAGAATCTGCCAACAGCCTCCAAGCCACCCTAGAAGCTCTTATGTCTCTGGCACCCACACAGTTTATTCACTTCTGACTAAGATTTAACTGGATCCTGAAATTAGAAGCCAGCCACAGCTACCTCAGCCTTACCCAGGCTTCACATCAATACCCACAAGTCCCACAAGATTTTTGCCAGCATTTGATGGACTGATGCAATGTCTTAAGCTCTCACGCTCCCTTGGCAACAAGGACCAACCGCTGGCAAAAGGATACTCTGCAAACTGCAGAGGGAACTTGGTTAGCAGGTCATAAGCCTTCAATTCTGTGAAGGAAGAGATGACGTAACTCCGGTTCTTCTCTGGAAATGGGAGATAGAAAAGCAGTTACACAAAAGGTACCCCTAGGCCCTTGTCTCTTAACCTGGCTGTGGAGACTAGAGCTGGCCACACATAGCTCCACACGGGGGATTGCACATTTCAACTGTACATTTATAATTGCTTAGGTAGAGCTTAAATCACAAGGATTTTTGCCTTTTGCCCTTGCCTCTCTTTGCTGAACCCTACCGAAATTTGCAGCACAGCTTCCACATGGAGTTTTAGTTCCAGCAAATCCTAATATTCCAAGCAAAGTTTTGTGCAGAGTTCCTTATTTTATCAAGTTTCTCCTTCTTCATTCCCCTACTTACATCCTTTTTGTTTGTTTCTTTGAATTCATCATTGAATTCAACAACTCAGTGAGAGCTAGGCCCTCTTTTGGAAACCATTGAGAGGAAGCTATTGGGTGTTAAGAAACTGGATGCACCTTCCAGATTTCAGATAGCTCCTCTCTGTCACCAGCCACAGTTCTAATCAGCATGGAAGAAGAGGAAGGCCAGTCACAAGGCTTAGGGCTGGGCTCAGTCCTGCCCTCAGAAAGAGCAGGACAAAGCCACAGAAACATCCTTTACCTCTAGACTATTTCCTTTCATTCTCACTGGTATAGCCAAGCGCATGGTACAGAGAGAGTGTGATAGAAAATAGGTGACAAAGTCAGGTGACAAAGAACACCCTGCTCACATGGATGCTCAGGATGCTGAGAGGGCTGGAGCTCAACTTACGAGAAGAGACTTCAAAGGAGTCAAATTTGATGGGCTGGATGTAATTAACTAGGCTGGACATTTCCTCGTACGCCGTCACTTCCAACCCAGCAGTGCCCTAGGCAGGAAACAAAACCCAGGAGAAGACAGATGAAGACACCTTTCCTAGCAAAGACACAAAACACACCTGGGCTTCACAAAGAAATCCAGTAGCTGCTCTAAGCAGAGCACACCAGGTTCCTTGGCTTCTCAGAACTGCAGTTATTTCCTAGGCAGGGGCAGGGCTTTGAAGCTGAAACCAAGACATTTGGTACGATGAGATATCTCTTCAACCTCTCAAAACATGGAGTCTGGGACAAACTTGGGACACTGCTTCCCCTRCTCTCTGACTGATATTAGGAAGATGGAAATGGGAAACACATTTTCTGTTCAAGGGGACGCTGAACAGCTACATACTCCTTAAGCAGCTGCACTTCATATTTCTRTAGCAGCTTTTATTGGGCTAAGGCTAAACCTCTGCAAACACCCTTCAGGCAGGTAATTATCTCCAAATCATACACATTATCCAAGGCAGACTCAGAAATAATACTTCTCCTGCCATATCCCATATGCTTGCAACATCATTTGTATTATTCAGTTTCTCCTGCAGATGCCTTGTTGCATGGGGGAGGGCAGGTCTCTGATCAGTCAYAGTGCAGCTCATTCCCATTTGGGATTTAATCTCAACTCAGGATGGTGAGGCCCCAAAGAAACCAGAAAATGAACAGAGTGACAGTACCTCATCTGACTGCATCTTTTTAATTTCTTCTTCATCCAGGTTTCCCAGTTGTTCCTCCTCTTCCTCTGGCTCCTCTTCAGCCACGTCGCCTGCCCAGACTAAGCACATGCACACGGATGGCTTACTCAACCTCCAACATTAACCATTGGCAATGGGAGTTCTGTAAACCCACCCAACCAAGCCACACAGGAGGAAGCAGCTGAGGTATGAGATCTGTTCTGTCTTTGTACCCTGAGCCCAATACTTAAGACTGAGKTGGTGGGGAGGAGAATGAGGACCGAAGGTTTTATAAACCATCAAGAACATGAAGGTTATCGGAGAGTTACAGGCAGTAAAATAATTATCCAGGCTTCCATAAAACCAACAGCCAACGCTACCAGTGAACTACCAACGCAGACAACCCCAAACCTCAGAGTAGACAGCAAGGTTGATGGGCAGGGAATGACGTTGGCTGTATGGCATGGGTTGAAATGGAGCCTCTGAAAATAGTCTGAAAGCTGAATTTATCTGCTAAGCTTATGCTTATTCTCAGGATGCCTGAATTAATGACTGCTATCAGCTTGCCCCCGAGGTACTATGGGGCTGATCTGGAAGGTTTCCCTGGGGCCAGATTTATTCATCTTGCAGTACCAGTCCATCTTCCCTTCAAACGTACCTGTATCTTCCCCATCCATAGAGGCTGGCAGCTCGGTGATTTCTGGTTCTACATTTCTCCCCTTCTTCAAGGAATTCTGCCTCTTTCCTGACACAGACTGGTTCTTTTTGTTCTTAATCAATATTTTCCCTAAGAGATCTTGAGGACTTGGTAGGGGAACTCCTGGCTTCAACTGTAACAGAGAAATTTCATACTGAATTTATAGCACACAGACAGATCTTAAACACTTAGCTCTCCTATGCTTCCCATTACCATTCCTCTGGCTACTTACTAGTGCATGGAAACCTCTCTCTACCATTGCAGACTTTAACTTCTCTACCTGTTAGCACATCCTACTCTATCTATGCAGATCTCTCCTAAAACTTCACCTTCCTGAAGTTTCAGATTAGCATTATGCATCTTCCAGTTCTGCTGCTTGTGCACACCATGATCTTTCCAATTACTTACCCTGTACCACAGCTTAAAAAAACCCATCTATATTACCTGGGGCAATCCACACACCTCTGGCTTTCTCATTATTCCAGACTCTCAGTCCCACATCAGTATTCAGACCATATTTAAACTCTCTGCCTGAAGCAGATTTGAATTAAGATATCAGAGTAGGGGGGCCAAGAACAAGGATGTGTGACTGAAACCGTGTTTCTGGACATACGCTGCCAGTTTCGAGAGCAACAGGCCTATTAATAATTAATTTAATTAACACCCTGAACACACATCCTCTTTCTCCCTTTTACCTGCATAGGGCCATTTGTCTGGACCATTGGCAACTACCAAACTGCTCACTGCTTGTAGCTTCAAGACTGCAAGAAACCATTTTTTTCCCCCATAACAACCTCTCCACTAATCCAAGTTCTTCCCATCCCACCTCAGCTTTCACTTACTGGGTATTTTTCCAGGGGCTCTGTCAGCAGCATGTTACCAAATATGGTCCGGCAGTACTCAGCCATCTTCGCTTGCTGCTTGGGCCTAACAAACAAGAAAATCAGACAGGGGCAAGCAGGAAAGCAAGGGGTCCAGCCCACAGCTTAGCATGAGAAACAATCTTGAGGTGCAACCCAGAAAACAATCTCTTACCTTTTCATAGATAAATGTATGGATTCTGAAACACTTCCTTAGGACTAATCTCTTTTATCCATAACTGTCCCCTCACCCAGCTATGGGCAGTTAGGGTGGCTTTCACTCTGTAGCTTACCTCTCATATCTGACCTGTTTCAAATATCTCCACCAGTGTTTCAGTTCACTTCCCTAAAGCTAAGGCAGGAAGCCCTTTAGCACCACGCAGGCTTTGCCTGAGGACTTTCTGCAGAGAAAACTGCTCCTCCACACCTGGTCCCAAGCCTCAGATACTCACGAGTCCACATGGTTTTCGAAGGACAGGATAACAGGGTAGAGAGATGTTTTGAAAGCGCTTTCTGCTATGGCCTCRATGGCATCCTAAAGGAAGGGAAGGGGCAGAGAGGGAAGATAAGCACTCACTAATAACACAGCCATGCAGTGATTGCCCCTGGCAGAACTGGCTGAAGTTGACACATTGAAAGATGGACAAAGCACCATATTAAACTCCTTCAAACCTGATTTATGCTTACCTCAGAATCTGCCCATTTCTCTACCATCTCACCTGGCTTTAAAATCCTTCTGACTAGCAGCAAAGAACATCATAATGCTCAGCAACCAGCAGGGCTGACATTTCAAATGCAAATACCATGGAAACGTTCTCAGCATTAATGATGTAGGAAAAAATAATCCTATTTTTCCCCAAGCCCCTATTAAACTGCCACAAACTTTCCCCCATTTCCTTTCCTAGTGCTGCTAATTGCAATGTTAAAGAAGTATCATTTGCTCCTTTGTAATTACCTCCCAGATTTTATTCCTGTCCCTTTGTGCACTAACATCACACAGACCATGGCATGTGGCAAAAGGACTGCAGGTTAAACACCTGCAAAAGGCCACATTTTTCCCCCCCAAAACCAACTCCCAAACAACCGAGCAGCTCTCTCTGCTTTCCCCTTAAATTCCAGGTCAGGAAGCATCTTAGCAGGGTAGAGGCTGCCACAGTTGCTTCTCTGTGGACCACTTGGACTGCTTATCAAATAACCCCTCAGCATTCAGGGCAGGCAAAGGGGCAGAAGGAGCTTTTAAAAGGCCACAAGCAACGTTAGAGAAGGGAGGGATCTGCAGAAGGGAAGATCTACTTATTATATAAAACTAAAACCTGGGCACATGCTGAGTTAACAGTGACAATTTCCTTGAGGTGCAGGCAAATGCTAGAGCAGAACCTGCTGCAATTACAGCAGCTACAGCTGTCATTATTTCTGCTCTCTGCAGTGAACTGCTGTGCAGAAAGCAGCAGCGGGATCACAGGACCTGGGAATTTACTGACACTGAAGATGACAATACCTCTGATCATTACTAAGCATCAGGGGTGTTTTTTCCCCCCACACATAAATATTTTACTAAGAATGGAGTGTGGGAACTGGAGGGGAGTTGCAGAATAAGTATTAAGAGCTTAAAGAAAAAAAAGGGGGAGTACAGAAAAAAACGTGTGCTGCACTGATTTTTAACCTACAAGCTGTTCATAACTGCGGTTAAGTGCCCTAAATTCCCAAGTGAAAAGCAGGTTTTGGACTGTGTGCCATGAAGCTTGGGAGCTGGGTCCTAGGAAGCTGTCTGCCCAGCATCCTGGAGGCTGAACACGCTGCTCACAGACAGGTAATTAGGATGTGAGTCTTAATTAGGAAATATTCCTCCCAAGTGCTCCCATGTGCTGCTGTAGGCCACACAAAGCTGCTGTAGATCAGTTAGGAGACAGCATTTGTTTTCTAGAATCTCTTTTCCTCCTGTTTTCTGACAGAGATGCCTTTCTCACACAGCCCTCTATCCACACATTCACCTTGCTGCACAACCCAATGTATGCAGATGTATCTTACTCAACCACCTCTCCATCGCTCCTACCTGACAGCCTCTATGTCCCTCATTCATTCATCTTTATCCAGCTAACAACCTCTCTTCTGCTCCTCCCACTCCATAAACATAGGCAAAGTCCAACCAATTGCATATCTATTGGCCTCTCCTCCTATTTACAACTTCATTCACTTGTCATCTGCCCGTCAACCTTTTGCTCTGAGGCATCTTTGCCCTCAAGCCCATGATAGTGACAGAATCATAGAATCCTTCAGGTTGGAGGGGAACTCTACAGGGCATCTAGTCCAGCCCTGCTGTCCCCGCAGTTAGCCAGCCTCCCTGAACAGAGCTCAGTCTAAAACCCAGCAAGGGACCAAGCCATGTGGGAAGCAGCTCCTTCCTTGCCTTGAAGAGGATCTCGGTTGTCATGGTGAAGCCGTGCGTGATGATGGGCTCCTCATCTGGGGGCCGGCCCTTCCAGCAATCCAGCTCCACGCAGCGGCAGCCGGCCAGCAGCGTCTGGCGGTACATTTCGGGAGATGAGATGCCGGAAAACTGGCCAGCTAGAGAAGAGCACAAGAAGATGATGGGGTGGCCATCAGTATTCACTCATGTTGGGCATCTTTGTGCAGGTTGAAGTGAAAGGGTCTTCTGCCTTGTTTGTACATGGGGCAGACTGGCAAGATGTTTTAGGTAACAGGGTGACAGGCCTTCCCCATGCACAGCATTTGTCCCATCCCTCAGGATGTAGCACTGCCCTCGGCCCTCCAAAGTCAGGGCTGATCAACTGACTGAATGGCTCGTGTGTCCTCTGTGGTGGCATGTATGGACGCGAACTGAGGTACGCTATGGAACTGCCCTACCTGTTAAGTAAGTGTTGTGTGAGGAATTGATGAAGTAGTGTGAGAGTGGCTGGGTCATATCCTGGTACAGCACTAACTTGTCCAGTGCTATCACATTGTTCTCGGGGCCGCAGAGAAACCAGACCATCCCCTCAGGAGACAACTGTCCTGTGTGGAAAACAAAGCTGTTAATGGCTAGGCCACAACATGGTTCTGGCACCTCCTTGCCATTGCATGATAACATGGAGCACTTGGGAGAACTGAGCTAAGAAAGTGAGGGCAGCAGACAAGGTGACATCCTCTGCTATTGTCCTGCCACCTCCACAGCAGGACATGAGAGAAAACCAGACCTACGTGCTACGCAAGACTCACCTCTTTGGATGTTAATCCCGCTGGGCTCATATTTCTCTATCAGGCTCTGCACCTGCTCAGGTTTAGCTGGTGGGAAAAGGATGTCATTGAGGCGAGAGTCCCGCTGCTTCTTGTTGATAAACTTTGCCAAGTGCTCTTTGGTCATGTAGGGCTTAGCTTTCAAATGGCTACAGGAAGAGAGTTACAGAGGATCGGGGTTAAGGTTCCTGTGTATCACCCAGGAAAACTTCACAAAGGAGAGACTCGTACCTCCTCTGGTTACCAATGGGCAGTAACTTCTTTGGGCCCACCAATTYCTATCCTGCCTATGTAAACGCTTCCCACTGTGGCCTTCCTTCTGCCTCTATATTCTTCCTAATTAATTCCATACTGTTAACAGGTTGTGCTGAGGGTATATTTCAAGCCTCTGCTTTGAACTCTGAAAGGGCCTGAGTTTCAGAAGGTGGTAAGTTGCTCGCTCTGYGAAATGAAGTCCACTTAACAAACCACAGTTGCTCAGAAAAGCAAACAAACAAAAAACCACTGGTGACTTGTGAGGATTTGCTGTTCTTCCCCTGTACAAGGCCTTGTCTGGCTGTGGCTACAAGCCCCATCACYTGAGGAGTGTTCCTGCAGCCCAGCAAGGCCTCATCCTCTCTATTAGACTATCAGTGCAGGTGTTAAAGGACCATTCTGTACCTGCCCTCTYAGGAAGGCTCAAGACCAGCCACACTACCCAGAACAGCTATCCTTCTCCCTTCCTTTATCCCTCATTTTTGTCTCAAAACCCACTTAAGGGAAACTTACTGTGAGGTAAATATCTCATCAATCTCAGGCCGGGGACACAGATTCATAAGGAAAGTTTTATACACAGTCTCAGGGAAGTCCTCTGGGTTGATAGCATCATTCTGAAAACAAAACAGAGCCCAGGCAGTGTCACAAACCTATTCCTGCCTTCACTTCTCTGTTAACACCAAACACCCACAGATAGAGGATAATTACAGCACTTGCTTGCAACAATATACAGATGAGCAACTGGAGCATCCAGCAAGCTCTTAAGAGTAGATGGGGAGGAGAAGCACTGCAATGGCCTGTCTCTGAATGGACAGGAAAGCAAACTGCCTCTGATGTGGCTGCAGTTAGGGCAAGGCACCTAACAAGGAGGGTAAAGGGCTTCAGAGAAATTCATAGTGTTTGGGCTGCTGATTTTTTTTTCAGACAGCATCATGGGCAGAGTAGGCAAAGCTTTCCTCAGACTACCTGGTCGGATCCTTACCTTGCCCTTGGGAAGATGACAAGCACTTAAAGCTGCTTCCACCCGCTTCCTATCTGCAGGAAACATCTGAAAAATACTGAGCAGAGAGGGGCAAAACATCAGAACCATAGTGTAACTGGGGGAATGTCAGAAAATCTGGACTTGGCAGCTGGGGGAAACAGCCAGAGTGCAAGATATATAGCAAGGTGGTCAGTATAAATCATGAAAAAAATGTAAACTTGGTCAGGAAAATTGTAAACATGAACAAGAGAAGAAAATGTTACTTCAGGGGAGTACCTGGTGACCAAGGCTTACAAAGCGACATCTCTACAGCAAATCTTTGACTACTCTCAAAAATATTTCTGCTGTGGACTCTATAGGAGCTCTGCCACTAAAATGGATCATTTTATCCTTAAAATCACAGTTGATTGTCCTTCCCCTGAGCCCTCTTGGAAGTGCCCTCCTTGACATCCTGCTTCAAATTCTCAGGGACATTTCCTCCCACAAGTCACTTATCGCATGCCCATTTGCTGCTGTGGATCAAGACAAACTCTTATGTCCTGGGAAGCAAAGGCTTTTCACAAGTCCAAGGCAAAGAAGGTGCTCTGATACATGATGGAAGGACAGAGGCTGCTGCAGAAACCAAAGCTCAACCTCAATTTAGAAAGTCGAGCACTGGTCTGCAGAGCAGAATTCATTGTCAAGCCTTCAGCTTGCAGAATCTTTGCCATTTAATGTAATACTAACAATAACTGGAATCTCTGTACTTTCAGAAGCTCCCAGCCAACAGCAGCGAGGACTCCTCTGTGGATAAATTCAGGTGTCGATCCTGTTAAGCTCCTGGTGTCTCTGGTGCTCCCAGACAAATAATGGGAGCAAGAAGTGCCAAATGCGGGTTTGAACATTGAAAAATGTTCAGTGGGAGCTACAGCAGACATATGCAAACTCATTATATATCAGCTCCCAAGCAGCCCTTTGCAAGGCAAAACTTATTGCGCCCTTGCTTTGTTTCAAAGCGATGTAAATGTCTAAAGACAAAGGCAGGTGCTTAGTGGCAATCCCCAAAATTATGCAGACATGGAGGTTTGAAAGCCCACTGACCACTTACCTGCACCTGGAGATGCCGAATACTTTTATAAGCCTTAGAAACTCTTAATCTGGACTATTAGGCAGTCTAATTTAGTTGCTATCTAACTATAGATAGTAAGGCACATTTGACTACTCTGTAAGAGAGAAAGACTGGGGTGTTTAGGACAGATAGAAGTGGCAGAGATTATTTTAAGCTTGTTTTGGAAAAAAAAATAGGCTCTTTTCTCTCTGCAGCAACGTTGCCTTGCTTGCATTTTAAAGAGCAATTTAAAGAGCCATCTCCTAGAGTGCTCTTCATTAAAGACTTCATTAAAGACCTTTTTAAAAACCCACTGACAAACACCCTCGTTTCCGACCAAGTGAAATTCTGCTGGTTGGGAAAACAAGCAACAAGGAATGTTTCTTGTGGAGTAATGATCAACTATCCTGGAAGAGATTTAGCCAGTATAGACTCAGTCTAGAATTGTCAGGCAATATAACAAACAGTAGGCAGCACATTGATTGCAGGTGATTGGCACTTGCTTTTTGCAATGCTGTAATGCGGGGTGATTCAAAACCTTCCAGTAAGTTGCTAAGAATGCACAGACTGCAGGGTCCTTACTCTTAATTCAGAGGGTAATTTATTCATTAGAAAGGGGATTCAGCGCTGCTGCAGTGCAGTATTTTGTCACAGTATGAGGTGACTAAACACAGAGGAGCTGTAAGACCAGTCATGGAGAGATTTGAGCAGAGAGGACACTGAGTGGCACAAAATCAATTCCAGCCTCATGCCACACAGTGCAAGAGAAGAGAATTAATAGGCTGGTTTTTGCTTTAACAAGCTTTCTTACGTTAAAGCAGCCTACACCTCATGCACCCTTTAACTCAGCTCAGCAAAAGAAAGCCTTGACCAGAATAATAACAGACTGTTTTTGTTGATCAGTACTTGGCAACAGCCAGAAAGTGAAATCCGGGGTTGTTCAAGACAACTTCTTGCTGCAGATGAAGATGAGTCTCAAAAGGTCTTCCAGGTTCTGTGTCAGACTCCTGTCTTTGTGGGGGTCCCTGGGTGCAGCAGCAGTTCTCTCAGGACCTGAATCCAGAAGCTTCACCTCTTTAGCACAGCAGGAGCAGGCAGCTGAAACCTATCCTATTACCACATCCTCTGTTTCTAGTGTCCCTGACACACAATGAAGACAAATATCCATACTTACTTCCTAACAGGAATTTTTCCCTCTGCATTAAGTTGCATCTTCAACTTTACCAGGCTGTGGGAAAAAAAAGAAAAAAGCCAAGAGAAAGAATGAAAATTCACTTGTATAACCTTTCAGCTTTGTCAGTAAGATGAAAGTAAGAAAATACAATTAGAAAAAATAATGGAAGAGTTAACTGATAATCAGAATGACAGCAAACTGTGAGCTTTGCCTCAGAGAAAACCTGTCCCCAATTCCTGGGAGAGACAGGCAAATGATAAGAGCTTTGATATCCCAGTAAGAGATTCCTCTGAAACATTTGACATAAATATGAAATAATGGTACCTGCTGCTTAGTGTTCCTCGGTGATCCCAGGTGGCCAACAAAAGAGTATGACAGAGGTAATGAAAAGGGGCAACCCTTCTTGCAGGTTAGCACTGTGACCATGGAGGGGACGTATTGCAGGCTCCAAATCTCTGCCTTATACCAAGTGCATTTTCAAAACGCTTTCAAAAAGTACTTTGGAGCCAATCAGCTGCTACGTGACACAGAGCCCAGCTACCACTCCCTACCTCTGCCATGGGGCTTCTGAGTTGACACAGGACTTGTTTTGGAGCTGCCAAAGGACTTAGACACTGAAGAACCTTTTATTTCTGGCGTAGAACGTACATTAATGTTTTAGAAAACTTTTTGTCAGAAGCCACTCACATTTTCTCTAAGAAGGTGTATCGGGAAGCATTGTACGTGAGGGGATTCCGAACAATGGCCATGATATCCTCAGCCCAACTCTGAGAACAAACAAAAATGCTGGATGTTAGGGAATTGCAACAGTACCCTGCACGCACAAAAACAGTGGAAGAAGTTTAGAGTGTYGTTTTTCTAGAAGTCTCTAGACCTACAGAAGTACTGTGCTTTACTGGAGCATAAGCGTGTGTTTGTAACCTTGTCATTAACACTGGCAGGGCTCAGGCTCCCTGTTCTCCCCCTCCCCTTTCCTGCTCTCCCTTGAAAGCTCCAACCCAAATAGCTCCCAGTGCCCCCTTCCCCTCCGGCCTTGATACCTTGCCAACATTCTCCTTGTAGGACACAAAGTTATGGAAAGTGAGATCCACCATGTCTGGGCCAGACACAATAGTCAGAGTCTTAAGCAGGAAGGTGCTGTGTGGGTAATCCAAGTTAAAAACTTCTCGAAGCTTCTGGCACTGCAAAAGGGGGAAAAAAACAGATGGGATAAAGGGAAAATGTAGGGAGAATGATGCTAACTTCAAAAAAGAAAACAACCTAATCCAAACCTTGATCCAAATTTGTACCCAACATCTTTGCAGCTTGCAAAATTTTATGTTATCTTGTCTTTCATTATTTATTTTTTTTTAATTACTGTTATCCCAGGGTCTGCATTACCTGGATCTTCCAAGGAACTGGATACCAAGTGACTTCATACATCTTCCAAGTGACTGATACCACTGCACAAACCTCCTGCTTTGGCCATGACAAATAAGTACTGGAGATTGCTCTTGAAATTCCTTGTGAGATTTCAGGCTGAACTTGCACACAGCCGGATAAGAATCTGGTCTGCTCACACCAGATGTGCAGACTAGCTTATTAGAGACAGCCCAAAACACTGATAAGACCAAGAGGACGATGTTTTTGGGGATCCTGAGAGGTCTACCAGGTGTAGAGCTGCTCACTGGAGACCTTATTGCTCTCTCTCCAGGTGCTGCTAGTTTCTAGTTTGTAGTGTAGGGTTTTTTTTCCACAGCAATTGCAGTATCCTACAGTGATGGCTTTTCTTGGATTTGTTTTGTTCAGTAGAGCACTCATCCGATTAGTCATACTCGGGTTTCATCACTCTATGAGAATATTTATAGAATCTCTTTAAATTATTTGGCATTCTCTGTGTGGGAATACCACTACGCCAAGGTATCGTGCAGTTATGCTAAGAGCTGCTGTTCATAAGAACAGGATAAAATTCCCACGTCCTAGAACAGAGCAGGACAATCCATTATCCAAAGGGCAGCAGAAATCCATATCAAAGCAAACAGGGAGGCTACCAAAGCGCTTGTTCCTTCTGAAAGCAAGGGCAAAACTCACACTCTGGCACTGTTAGCAGAGCATGTCAGGCTCAGAAGTTGAAGTGAGACTAAAATCAGAGCTCTCAGATGCACAAATGTAGTCAGTCAGATGCGCAACTGAGCTGCTGCAATTCAACAAGTTAGGGCGAACAAGGGGAACCCTAACACAGTAATAATGCTGCATAATAACCTCAGCAGAAGAGGTTTTACCCCCTTGTTTGCCATCAACTTGGAGCACATACAGAAGCAGTGCCCCTTGATCAGCCTGGGCTTAGTAACTTCTAAACTGCTGTTAAATGGATTATGTCTGAGTTTGGCAGGTTGAGAGAAGCGCCCTCCCTCATCTTAGACTTTCATGGACCTCTAACTTGCCCTAGAACAGATTTAAAAAAAAATAAAATAAAAAAAAAATAATAAAAAAGAACTATTTGTTTCCATCCCACAGTGACTCAAATCCAAGCAATTTCTTTTCTGCTCTTTCCATTTGGACTCTAAGAGTTGAAATTTCAGCCTGTAGCAGCCTGACTTCGGACATTCTCAGGGGGCTGTGTTACAGAACTGCATATATATTTTACAAAGCCCTGTGCAGACTTTTTTTGGAGTGCATTTTTCCAAATTTCCAGAACGCCTACATACTGACATGTATGTGGAAAGCAGGCATCTCTCGGAAAAATACAAGGGGCCGGATTATAACTCAAGATATCTGACTACTGCATCCTGCTTCATAAAAGCAACCCCTCCCTTGGGGAACTTGAAGCTGTGTGATGTGAGAGGAAGTGGAAGGGAGAGAAGGGGTGAGTCAAACAGATGGAAGGAAGAAAACCACCCAGAAGACTTGCCTCTTTTCTGGTAGTTAGGGCTTTTTTAGAGTGGTCCATTTTTGTACCGCGAGCAGTTCTTCTTGGGAAAAGTGAACAGCCTGCCCACGCTCGCACCTCCTGCCCACGCTCGTGGCAACGTCCTGTGGAGGTCAACTTCTCTCGACCAGGGGTGAAGCATTAGGATTCTGGTTTCAGGTTCAACCCCACATCACGAACCTGCTGGCGCTTGCTCAGCTTCTTTACTTCTTGTGCTGCACCTCTCACAAAGCTGAGACAATAGAGAACTTGTGGTTTAAGCTGAACTCATTTCCTGTGTTTGTTACGAGCTGACTCCTCCTGTCTCTTCCTTCTCTGTAATCCGGCGTTGCTCGGCTCTCCAGAGGATGTTGATGTTCGTGGTAGGTCCCGAGCAGGCCGAGGGATGTGGCAGAGCTTGAGCCTTTCCAGCTGGTCAAGGGTACAGACCCTAAAGCTGTGTTTGGCTCCTTGAGAAGCCTTCAACATTTTGTGCTGCCTTGTAGAAGGCCATGAAAGAAAAATTGGAATTGCTGCTTGGAAAGCAGGGCAATTGTGTTACCCATGCAAATCAGAGCGAGGGAAACATGCTTGGTAAATCCATGCAGAGAAACCACACAATCCCAAAACAACCCACCGAGGGACTAGTCAAACTACAGATTCAGCTCTATTTAATCCCCCACCCTCCTGATTTCCCTGAAGCCCTCATCTGTAGGAAGCAGCCTCACAATTCCGAGAAGCAAATTCGCATGCAAATATAAGCAAAGGACCAGTCCTAACGCAAGAGATGGAGAGACYGGTCTTTGCTCTCCTTGAAAGAGGATGCAGCCGAGCGATAACCAGGTTCTGCTGCCGTTGCAAGTGTTTGCTACTCCACGGTGCTGCTGYGTCTTCCTGAAAATAATTGCACAATGCAGAGCTTGTGATTAGGGAGGACTGGATTCGGCCACCCCAGCAGCCTGCCTCRGCCTGAGATTCTTGCTCGTGCCGTGCAATGTGCAGCGCAGAATGCTGGTGCCACATGGGCGAGAAAACACAAAGCACAAGAGTCAAGTAAGCATCAAAGCTGGAGGCAGAGGAGGGAGAGCAGCCTCTAGATCCTCAGCACCTTCAGTGCTCCTAATCTAAGGGATCGCACTGCAGAAAAGAGAGCAGGCCCAGCATGGCAAAAAGCCATTGCATCAGATGTGTCTGGTCCCTTGCTCGCCCTCTGCTCCGCTCTTTCACAAAGCAGTTTGTTTTTCTCTTGCGTTCACACACATCCCTGTGGCTCCACATAGCTTCTTGTGATCGCTCTCTCATCTGGAGAGCTGGACAGGTGAAGTTGCTTGGTCCYGTCCCAGGAACTGTGCTCCCTCCTATTGCTGAATCCACCAGGTAACGCTGAGATGATGCTCAACCGCCAGAGCTTCTGCTTCCCTCAGTGATGCTGCAGAATCACTGGGAGCCCCAAACCACGTTATAATCGACAGCTCAGCGCTCCACTTGGACTGCAAGGTGAATGCTCTGTGCATTGGCAGCTCCTAAGCACTGCAAGTTCATATGTTGTCTCCTCGAAATGTCGTGGGTACTATGCTTGGCTATGAATTTCTGCCTTGTACATATTCACTCCAAAAGCTCTGAGTTCAATAATAACAAAATGTTCAAGGAGGATGAAACTATTTCATGCTGTTGAAGGCTAGCCAAACATATAACTTCTGTTTTTATGAAAAAAAAAAAAAGAAAAATCATTCTTGTATCAAAGCCAATCCTCGATGAATGCCTAAATAAAACCAATGAGCAAGACAACAGCCCAGCAGACTGACCTAAAGCATCAAATATTTTGGTCCATATCTAATTACTACGTCCCGTGCCAGTGTTCTGGGGGTTTAAGGCATTATAAGGAGACAAAGCAGAGCAGCCATTACTGTTCCTTGTTATTCAAATGAAAACATGGGGCTGCCTTGTAAATAACATCTTGATCTGCCTTGGCATGCTGCTGAACTGCATTTAATGGCTTTTTATCTTGTCTCATTTATGTTCAAAGTCCCTGCTAGTTCTTATCTTTATTATGCGTGAACGTGAGCCAAAGTTCATCCTGCCCCATCTCTTAAAAAAAAAATCCCTCAAGAAGAAAAAAAGATGAAGATGTAGAACGTCCTGGGCTGCTTTCAAAGAAATTAAAACCAGGGGGAAACCTGCATAGAAGAGGTCAGGGGAGGACTCCAGCAATCTGTATTCTTGAGTATGGGCTGAGAGGGCAGCAGACAGGCTCAGGAAGGAGAGCAGGCACAAAGAAGGGACTATTTGCTGGAGTCCAGTTCCTCTCTTCAGGCAAGGGTAGTTCCAGACACTGTTCTCCTGTGGGGCAGCCCTTCTYACTTGCAGGTGGCTCCTCTTGCTGCCAGCTGTGACCTGCTTCTCTCTTCTTCCTTGCCAGACATTCCTCCTAATGGGTGCTCTGGGCTGACCACCATCTCCTGACCACCATCTCCTCCCTAAGGGCCTGTGCCCAGGCAGGAAGGAGGTGCCACTGTCCATCAGYAGGGAGATTCGGGGCTGTCACGGAGCCCAGATTAGAGCCACAACGTGCCCAGAGYGTCGAAGAGTAAAGCACCAGCACAGCTTTGCTCAGTGAAACACACTCTTTTCTGAACTCCTTTGGCCACACTCGGGGATGTAAAAGAAACCACAAGTTTTGCCACATGCAGGTTGTGGATGTCTGATTTGTTATTGATACTTGTCTGAAATATCATTTTTTAGCCCTTTTCCTCTGCGTGTGGTCAGCAAAACAAGTAACTATTAAATTTCAGCAGTTACAGCTCCAAACCATCCCAGGACATTACTTTTGAATAGGGAAGACCCACATCCTCCTCCCTCCATCTCTAATAGATCGCTCTGTGTTGGCTTGCTTTGGCCCATCCCTTTTTCATGTTTATACCTTCCTGATATTACACCCCAGACCTGGCTGTGGCATCTTGCAAGTGCAGTCCCTTCATGTCAAGAACTTCTCACTGCTTTCCACATTCTCCCTGTATGTCACTCCTTAAGTGACATGCACAACCCAAAGCACTTGATTTTCACTGCAGAGGTTGCCATGACATGTATTACACATTGAAAATATTTTTTTTAAATAATCACTTAATGCTTTAGCCTTTGTTTCTCTTTTGTTTTGTACAAGCTGAAATGCTGCACTTCCCAGGACTGCAAAATACTGTCTCTAGCCTTTACAATGGCTAAAATCTAACAGCTAAACATTAATCAAGATGCCTGGGGAAGAGTAAAAGGACAGGGAAAATTCCAGGATACTTTCCTGACACATCTTTGCAGCTTCCACCAATATGTTGTTCAGCAACTTCCCAAAGGGGAAGCATATCTGGTTTTTAATAACCCTCAAGTGGCATTTCCRCCAAGACCTATGATTTTTCTAAACTCAGGTAAGTCTTCAGCACTTGCGAGGCAAAGTGCAATGGTGTGACAGGCAGAACAGCAACTTCTTTTGCTTGTGATCTGGAAAATACCACATGATGAGTACTCTCCCACTGAGCAAAGGCTTTGCATTCCCCTCCTCTATTCAAGCCTGGATTTTACAGCACTCCACCATATTCCTCCACAGTCTCCTCATGATCTCGTGTTTCATTAGCAATGGTCAGCTCAAGAGCCGGTTGTTACAGCAGGTTACGATTGTGTTTGCTTTGTGTGCATCGCTTGATGCTTATCTGTACTGAATTTTATCTCCTATGTCATCATCCAGTCAGTCTGCAGCACAGTCTGTCTGCAAACCAGCCCTCACTTTATTACCCCAAATATCTCAGGACCACTGGCAAACTTTGTCATGCCACTAGTCACCCCTTTGGCAGGACATGCATAGATATATTACCTGTCACAGGCCCAAGCACAGATCTTTCTGGATCTGTGAGTGAAGAGTGTGAGTGGATCTAAGAGTGAACTGTTTCACTCTTACCTACCTTTTTTACTCATCCACTTACCTACCTTTTTCTTTCTTTTTCCTTTTCTCAACCAGTATTTTTTTTCCATACAAAGATCTCCATTCCTATTCTCTTCTGTAAATGCCCTTGATTACGACACAGGCTGCTTTCAATTTGATGGAAAAGGTTTTAATTTGTTCTTTAGGCAGCAGTTGTTCTCACACAACAAGATGCCAGTTTGTCTTTTGATAAGGAAGGTGGTCACCCCAAACTGTACTGTGAATTACTGTCAGAAAACAGGATTTAGTTTCATGGCCAGAGCAATTCCTTGCTTGTGAGTAGGGCTCATTACAGAAAGATGCCAATTCCCTATGTCGAGGGGCAGCTCTGACACTGCATTTGTGCAAGCATTTTTCATGACAGTTCACACTGGAAGTCTTCCTTAACTAATTACTAAAATATAGGGCTTTTTTCTTAAAAAAGCTACATGAGATTTGTACAAGTCTTGACATCTGCTAATCCTTTCCAGTCCATCTCACTACGTTCTTTTGAAAGAGGAGTCTCATAGGGCTCTGAATAGATATTTTGACAGTTTTACCAGGAAAACAGCTCTACTTCTTACGCAAAGAGGCTGCTCAGGACTCTCAGTATATATTGCAAAATCTTCCTCTTTTACATTAGACTAAGAAGCAACTATGTTGTTATACAGAGCCATTATTTTTACTCATTTTCTCTTTTCCTTTTACAAATCCAGCTTTACCTCACTTTTCTACTTGCCTTTGTCACACATGAAAAGTTAAAATAACGGGATAAAGTCACAGCATGAACAGCTTTGGTCCAGAAAGCTTAAATTACAACTGAACCCAAAGATCAAAGCCATAATCACGTAGTACCCTTCAGTCTCTCACCCTGCAAGCAGACAAATTTACTTGAAAGTAAACGAAAAAATTGCAACACGACTTTTTTTTTTTTTTTTTTTTTTTTGAAACTACAGATTCTTCCCTTTAAGGAGGAGCAAGAAACACTTGGGGTTTGAATCTTGCTGTAACGAGAGGTTTCGAGCGGCCTTGAGCCAACCCGGGTGTCTCTGCACAAGGGAGAAGCCCCAGTGACTCAGTGCAGACATCACGAGTCTCCAGCAGAACTTCCCATGCAGTTTTATTCTTGGCATGGCCTTTACATTCAGCCCCACGTCTGGCAGGGGAGAGAACCCCACTGCTGTACACAGTAGAAAAGCTCTGCTGTTTTCCCAGCTTTCTAACATATCCTTTCCAACAATAACCCCAGAATCTGGAAGTGTCTTCTTCAGGGTATGCTGAGGAGCCCTGGGGAAGCTGCCATAACTTATGCCAAAGCTCTGGGYGGACTTGCTCTTGTGCAGAAACAAAATCTGTCACTTACCTTGGGGATTTTGGCAAACTTCCCTGCTCGAGTATCTCGGATGCTGGTTATATCCAAAATTTCCATTTCCTACAACAGAATAAGGACAAGGAAGATGAAGGCACTGGAAGAAGGAAAGACAAGATCCTTACAGAGTCTCTTTAAACTCTCAGCCAGAGTTCTCTACTGGAGAAGAGCTTTTCCACCAGGAACAACATAGGGAAACAGTAGCTGCCAACACAATAAGCTGGCAGACTGGACAGTGTAGAGGCTGCACTGGTCTGCTAACTCCCCCTTATATTAGGATTAGCAGGATTAGGCATGTGGGATGAGTCACAGTTCTCACCTAGGCACAAAACAGGTCCCGGTTTCCCTGAATTTTCACTGGCAGCACCCGGGCTTCTCTAGCCCCAGCACAGCAGCACTATTTGGACTGTTTGGTTGTGGGAGAGGCTCAAGGATCCAGGCAGAAACAGAGCATAACCAGCAATTWGCTTACAATGGCAAGGAGGGAATAAGGACACCACCCCACCTGTACCTTCACTTCAGAGCAGACCACAAAGTGGCAGAATGAGGATGCTAAAGCAGGGCTGAGCAAATAAAAGCAGGAAAGCAAACAGTGTCCTCTGAAAATGGATTCATTGAAATGAATGAAAATGGCCTTCAGATTGCCCAGGCAGAGCACAAAACGTTCRTCAGCAGTGCAGAGGGAAGGCCCAGCCTGGTATGGGCCATTTGTCCATCCTACTCCAGTCCATTTGGTTCAACTCATGGGAATATGCAGTGCAGAAAAAGCACGCACCAACAGCAGAGCAGAAGCTGCTATCACTAATGTTCCAAGTCCTTTTGTCCCTACATACTGAACACGAAGCAACTGAGCTGGAAGACAGGCAGTACCATCTCCACCTGGGTCATTCCCAGCAGACTAACACCTAATCTGTTCTGAAGTTATTCCCATAGTGGAATATCCCACAGCCTCCCCGAGGCAGCTCACTCTGCAGCCTCACTGTCCTCCCCATTGGCTACTTGTAGTGTTTATTTTGTCCATTTTTTCAGTATCCAACCTGAACTTCCTTCCTGTCTTACTAATTTGCCTGCTCACCATGGACCTGGAGAATAAATCATACCTGCTAAGAGAATTCTCCAAGAGCACAACAACAACAAAATGTGCATACTTTATCTTCTAGCTATATTCCCATCTGCTTGTCAAGTGTGATGAAAGTGATACTTCTAATCTCACTTCTTTCTGAATTCCTACGCAAAAGTAGTCTGGTCTTTCTGCCCATCTCTCTCTACTCTTCCGCTTTCCCATGTTCATCCTTCTCTTTTTGTCCTCTTCTCCCTCTACCTCCTCTCCTCYTCTCCCTGTATCCCCTCTCTCTGTTCAGCAGATCCTTGAAAGGATCTTGGAAGGGAACACGATTCACAAAGACAGCTGCAAGGAGAGCCTGTCTTCCAGAGGGATGTGACAGTCCCCACCTTCACAGCACTGTGCCCTCAGAGGCATGAGCTTCCAAGGAAGCAAAGCTCACCATAAAGCCATCCTGGCCAGGGTGCTGGGCAGGCCTGCAGCCTGTGCCTCTTTATCTGCCATGCCTCTTCGGCATGTAGGTCACGAGGAGGAAACAGAGCTGAACCACAGCTCTGCTCTGGAAAGCAGAAGCAAGCCCAGCCTTCCACCTTCAACCAGCCAGCCTCCTCCACCCCTCACTGCTCCTCAGAAGGGAGGAACTCCATTTTCTTTCCTAAATTTCTTTCCTCTCACTTTCCTCCAGCACCAAGGGAACCAGCATCCTGTGCTCTACCTTGATAGCACGCGCACGCAGTGCCCTGGCCTTAGAGGAGCACAATTCACTCTCCATACCTGATGGGCTCTCTGCATCACTCCATTAGTTTTTTTTCCAATCTCTAAAGCACCAACAGGCCCATGAATTATAGCACAAACTGCACATTAGGCACAGGTTAGCTGAAGCTGCACACATCCAGCTGTATGTTTTGCAGTTGGGTTTCTTTCTAACTTCACTGCTACACACTTTAGGCGACAATTTAGGACAATCCGTTAGCTTGTTGAGTTGCAGTGAAATCGGTGCTAGTCCTCCTCATCAAGTCCTCTGAAGCACATTTAAGGAACTTCACAAATACAAGGCCACCTGCCTTACAAGCACAGTAGAGATCGTGTTCTTCTGGATGTTTGTAGCTTGATGTCCTGCTCTTTTCTGGAAATCCAAAGACCGCCCTGCCATTGAATAAGCACTCGTCTCCCAGATGTTTGTGGGGAGGTCTCCTGCTAAGCGGAATGAGAGTAGCAGTTTGCTCCTCCAAATGCAGTATTCAAGGCAGTCTGGTGTGTTAATTCTTAACAAACTTGAAATGACAATTCAGAAACGCAGCAGTGAAATCTCAGCACTTACCTTATTCTGGTAGGTCCAGTATAAGTAGAAGCCCTTTGGATCTACCCGAAGGATCACAGGAGAAGCACTTGCTGTTTCCTAATATTGAAAAAAAAAATGAGACAGAAAGAAGGCTAATAGCTTATGTGACTTGGAGAATTCATCATGAGAYGAAAGGTTCCCAGATCAAATGTAGAGGTTGAGGGAGGAGATGATCCCCAAGGAGATGATTCTTGACCTCCAAGGGCTAGCTCTACCTGGACTGCAAAAGAAACCCATGCAAGCAGCTCCTGTTTTAACACCCACACTGTAGGCACCAAGCTGGATGGAATAATTCACAAGCACATGCAACACACGGGGGTTACTCCAGATCAGAAGCAAGGCCATGCACTGCAAAGGAAACACATGTTGTTCCTGTGCGGTTGTGTACCTCACCAGTGAATTACTAGGGCTGCTTCTGCAATTTCCAGCTAAAGGCAATTCCAGCTGCCTTTTCAGGACAATATCCACTCTCATCTCACACAGGAGTCCATGCTAAGAAATGACTTAGTGTGAGCAATTTGGAGACAAACACAGGGAGTGCCCAGGACCTCAGCTTGGGCCCAACCTCATTTCATCAAGATGACTCCTGAGGGGATTAACATCTGCCACCATCACACATGTGCTCAGGAGGCCTCTTGGCCATTGCTAGGAGGCCTATTACTGCGGGATGAAATATCAAAGCACTGAGCTGAAACCCCTAAGGTGTAASTATATTCCCAAGAGTGTAACTATATTCCCCCAAACTTCTATTTCCAGATACAATTTGCTTCACAGACAGGGACCACCACAGTGAGCCCTCCAAGCCATAATATGCCCCATGTTCTTTTTTCCCTTCCTGCTCTCTGCCTGCTGCTGTCCTAGGGGCAATGCTGGTGTGCGCAGCATCAGGCCTGTGTCCTCAGAGCTCCCAGCTGCCTCCCTGAACTCATGGCCACGAGCCATGAGGAGCAAAACAGGCGCTGCACCAGCAGCGAGCGTTGTGCCATGCTTCTAGATAACCTTATCTCCCACCAAGCAGAGGTTTCTTTTTAAAGTTGAGGCAGCAATAATGTCCCTTGACCAGGGAAGCAGCTGGCTGTGGGGTACATACAGGCAGACCCTCACACCACCAGAAACTCCTGGCAGCAAAGGTGATGGCAAGTTCAGACCCAGGACAGTCTGGCAGCCTAACAGTCCTCTGCTCACACCGTAGAGCTCAACTTTAGGACAGAAAACCAGTGTGAAACCCAGTCRTGTGGGTCTGGAATTGTGTGCCAGGCCAGTGCATAATCTGCAACGGACAGAAAACATGGTCACTTGTGTTTAGAGGGTTAAGAGTCAGCATGGAGCCAAAATCATGTGTGCCTCACTTAAGAGGTCAGCTACTATGTTTCACTACCTGAGGTTTTGGAAGGGTTCCCGAGCTAGTTCTTGAACTAAACTATCTGCTGTGTATTAGGAGCTAACTTCACATCAGGATGGCAGCCCCAGCTGCTAATGGATGCTAAACAAGACACAGCAAAGCGTTGGTTCATGCTGCAAAGCCTCACAAGCCAACTCAGTAGAAGAAGTCAGAGTAGTCCAGGCTATCAGGGATCCTATTGCACTATCCACTAGAGAAGACACTACAAATGCTGCACCAGATGTAGGCACTGAAACAAAATCAAAAGAGAGATGTGCATCTTTGCTTGAAAAACTGTTGCATGCAGCAGAAGCTTCAGTCTGGCTCCAAGAGAGTGACTTAAAGAGTCAGACTGATCTACCTTCATTCCTTTGCCTGAACCACTTGTGGAAAGATTCCAAACCCATTATCAGCGGCATGACCGGGTCACTTAAAGCGAGTTCCCAGGCTCCATGACCTCCAAGGAGCTGCTTTTACCCTTCCCCTCTGCTAGTGATCCTGCTGCCTGTAGCTCTTGCCGTTTCCTTCTGTCATAAGCGCGAAGCAGGAAAGTATGAGGAGATGGAGCAATGTGATCATAACATCCCCCTCCTGAAGGTTTATTGTGGGAGGCCAAGTTGGTAAACAACTTGGTAAGTAGGAGCAGCCTTTTCAGGAACGGTTACGCATCTGTAAGCACTAGGCAAAAATCCACCCAGGACATGAGCTGCCTAATTCCCACAATTTCAACATCAAGTAAACACTYGGTGGGTGCAGAAAGTTCAATTTGATTCACTGTGAGTTTCAAGGGAAATTCCCAGTAGCTCCAGATGAAGTACTTGAAGAAACAAGCTTGGGGGTTTGGGGAAAGCGGTCCCCCAAGCCTGAAGCATAGAAAGCCAGCAGCAACCTGAAGGGGTGCATTTTTCCATGAACCCTGCTGGCCTCATCTTCCTRTTCTTCTCAGAAGTGTAATTTCTGCCTAGTGACCGTCATTCATCAGCATTCCTCCTYTCTGTTAGCAGGACCTTGTATAACCTCTCTTCTCAGTGCTGCTCCCCTTTATGCCTCGCCCAAGTGAACTCCCTCCTCTGTGTGCGCAGCTTTGGATCTTAAAACCCCACAGCTCTACAGTCAAGAAAATAAATTCAACACTAACTCCCCCCCCACACACACACATTGCTGTCGGAGGCTCCTTCTAATGAGTCTCATTTGCCAAGACCACATCAAACCCAAATCCTGTGAGCAATGACAACAGGAGCTGCCCCCTGCTTTACAGAGCTTCACGGTCCTCACCCGAGGTGAGACGGGCAGGTTCCCTTGCCCAGGTGAGCGGGCATTGGCAAAAATCCTCTTTTGCCTTCTTAGAAAGTGTTTACTAAATTGAAGTGGAGATTTCCCAAATTAATTCTTTATCTTCTCCTGTTCCAAACTTTCTTCCCCAAATTGGGTGTTTTGAAGATACAAGAGCGGGAGGACGTGGCTCAGCCTCTGCTCACTCCAGAAAAAGGGCCCCAAGAGGAAGCCACTTGGGAGCCCTGCTTCCTGCCCAGACATGGCGGATTCATGGAGAAGCTCCCTGGAGAGTCAGCCTCACCTCCCACCCTGCCAGCAGGCACGTCCAAACGCAGCGGGCGCTTCTCTCACAAGGAGAGATGGGACTCCCTGTGCTGCTTGCTGTCCTCAGGGCTGGCTCGCAGACACAGGGCCCGGGGTCCTTCACCAGAAAACCTACAAACTGCACTGAGACCCAGCAGCAGATTCGTGTATTTCCTTCCAACAGCCCCAGCAAAGAGAGGCACAGAAATGACACATACCCTGCCTCGTTTTTAACCCTCATCCCGCCTGCTCCTCTCAGCTCTCCCTCCAAACGGAACAGTCCAGCCAAAACCTCAGTACTCACGTCATCCCACTTGATGAATCGCTCCCCCTTGGACAGATACTCCTTCACCTCCGGGGGCTGAAGGATTGGGCTGAGCATCGACATTGTGCTCTGCAGCCGTGTTCTTCGCCTACCAGCAGCAGSAACAGTGGGCGCCCGCTTGGCTCCTCCTCGGCCCCCTCTTCTCTATCTCTGCCTCTCACATGGCAGGGCTCTCTGCCATCGCAGCTGTTGGCATCAGAACACAGCCAGGCTCGTGTCCCAATTTAGGAGGGGCAGGGACCGGTAGGCGAGGACGGCCAAATCTGCATTGTAAATCAACGGCTCGCCAAGCGAGCAGGAGAAGCTGAGCCCAAGGTCACGGAGAGGGAAGCGTGTGATGGGCTGCCCGGCCGCACACACCGCCTCTCCAGGAGGGACCAGCTCCTTAGGGTTGCGCTGGTGAAGCGCACGGTCCCAGCACTTCCGCCCGCGAACTTCCTTAAATGTCCTCTTTGACGAAGCGCAGACTTTGCCAGCCAACATTCAAACTATTTCAGCAGATGTCGTCAAAGAACAGCCGAGAGTCTGGCTACAAGCAGACTGCCCCCTTCATGCGACAGGCCAAACATCATGCAAAATAAACGGAACCTTCGCTCACTACGAACTCCACTTGTGGGGCTGCTAGCTGCACTGCCCCTTGTTTAGTAGCCTGCTTTTCAGATGGCACCTGCACAGAAAGGCAGCATCACACTCTTAGGTGGCTAAGAGGACATTTTTGTTCTTTTTTTTTCTTTACAATGCACTGCACTTTCCACCCAAGCTGAAGGCTGCTATCTCTGCTTCACCAGGGCTGAGCCCTGTGTTGACTTCCCCATAGCTGTGGTTACACAGTGTCAGAGTCCAGACTGGGAAATGAGACTCCATCCCCTCCAGCCTGGCAGCCAGGCCACGCTTGCTGTATTCAGCTTCTTTTGCACGTGTCAAAGTTACCCTTGCTAATCAGGCAAGAAAGCAGCACAGTGCTCCAGGTGCTCCTAGGAGAGTATAACCCAGGCCTCCTCACATGCAGAGCTCTGATACTCCGAAGTGAGGAAACAGCAGGTGACAGTAGCTCCATAGATACCTCCATGCCTCTTCCTGACAGGACCTGGGCTTCACAGAAGGGCTATTTCTGTTCTGCATTCTCACAGATCTAAATATTGTTTTTTCTGTGTCTCCTAAGTGAAACCAAAATACAGCRAGAACCCTGCCACAGCTTTATTGGCTTGCCTCTCATGGTCAGCTTTTCCTGAGCAATCAAATAATAAAAATAATAATCACCTCTCCAAGGAGAGGTAGACCAAGCTAGCAACTGTTCTAAGTGTCTACCTATCACTGTACCACGATGGCTACAAAGATCCCTACTTGTATAAAGACAGTTACCACAGCTGAAACTCGCTTCCTTTTGCACAACTCGGCCTCCTTCTCTTTCATTTCATACTCCTTGCTTTAGGTGGAAGCTTCTGTCTCTCTTGTGCAGAGACAACTGATGGATCAGCAGCAGAATCAAGCAACTGTCCTGCCCTCTGCTGAAAGCGCTGATTTCAAAGCCGGCTTTCGAGCAGCAGCACTTTGAGCAGGAATTATTCTAACTGCTCTGCATCAGCTCTCTCTTGCCAGGCACCACCCGCTTTGCTCCTGGCTACGTTCACTTCATTCTAAGGCCTCCACTTCCTTGGCTTTCTGCCCTTACCCTCACCTTCACCCCAAAACCTACCAGGAGAGTTGGGGTATGTACAAAGTTCCTGATTTTTTTCCAGGTTCCTTATCCCCCTGTCCTAACCCCCACAGTCAAAAAGCACATGGAAGCAAAGTAGGGAGCATCTCCCTTGAGAGATCATACAAGCTGGAGTTTGTAGACAGCCACTTTAAGCCATGCTGTCTATTAAACTGCCTTGACTGGATGTCTCCCAAGCTTGACCAAATTACACTGCAACTCTAACCTGAGTGTTTCACTAGCATGAACCCTTCTGAAGTCTGTAAGAGATCTGTTCTGGTACTGTGTTATTAAAATTCCACTTTGCAGTATGTAATACTGACCTCTAGTGAAAGAGCTGTCGCAGTGCCTATGCAGCCTTCAATGTTGYCCTTGGAGAGGGGGAATCCATCCTTTTTTGCACTGTGAGCCCTGGGAATCCCAAAAGGATTAATGAGACAGATGCCACAACACTGTAAAAGCAGTGAGGTTTTGTGTAAAAAGCAAAAGACAGTCCTGCAAAACAAAAGGAACATATTCACAAGGTAGAAATATGCAGCACTCTGTGATGCCTTCCAGGCTGCTGTAGTTGGTTCCAGCCTATTTCTAATTCATAGAGCTGACAGGGTACCACTCTGCTGCGACACTACGTACACATCCTCTCCCTTTACTGCAGGACACATGCAGTGGCTGAAGCCTGCAATTCCTAAAGACCACTGTTGTTAGCAAAAAAAAAAAAAAAAAAAAAAAAAAAAAAAAACCAGAACCCAATCATCACTGTCCAATTGCCTGAAAAGTGGAGGTTAGTTTCAAAATACAGCCCCCCCAAAATGCTTGTGGAGGTCCACATGCATGTTTCCTTCTTGCAAAATTATTGCTAAAGCACCGATTTTTGACCCCAGACTCCTGTGCATTGGCTGTGGTTACAGTCATAGGCAACACTGACAGCACAGGTTTACCCCTAAGCAGAAACTCTTTGGCATTCAACCTCTTGTACACGTAGGGAAATGGGTGCAAATTGCCTCTCCACRAAGTGAAACAGGAAACACGTGAGAGCACTAGGAATTCCTGGGGCTGTAGAGCTTAACACTGAAGCAAATGCAGAGTTTGTAAGGCCCAGTAAATGCCCAGGACAACGTCAAGCCACCCTGAGCACCTTTCCTCAGTTTTAGAGAGCTGACCAAACAGACCAAAACAACAGACCAAAGACAATTTACATTATCTTGGAGAATTCCTGTCCTTGARGAAGCTGTCTGAACTATGTATCCACACTGTGCCAGGCCTCAAATTACACCAAGAAAAAMCAAAGCTTCCCCAATGCTGCGAACACCCCCTTTATAAACTTAGCCAAACTGCTCTCCTCACTACAGTTTGAGCCAGCCTTCATTCACATGTGTTTCTAAACAAGGGGAAGAAAAAGCAATAAACCCTTTCCAAGAATAGAATGCCTTCCCCTCTCTCGGCCCTCAGAGTGCTTCCCTACCGTATGCTCACCATCCAAGGCCTTTCTGTAAGCAGGACATACTCCTCTACGCTGTGCAGATGGTTCACGGCATAATAAAAGAGCATATCCTGGCCCATATCCTGCTGGCTTCAAGCATCAGTAGTGTAAATTAGCATGTGTCATTGAAAAGCTTGAGATATCATCTCTTAGCAAGGGCAGAGATACCAAGTGTGACAGAAGACTCACATATTTGCCCAAGGGCGTTAGCCAACAAAAAGAGGTGAATTTAAACATGTCTATTTGGTACTTTAAACGTTAGGAGACAAGCTAGAAGAGCCTCTCAAACTCACTTCTTCCAAGCACTAAATGCAACCAAAGAGACAGCATGAAGCTTAGCAGACAGTATGAAGCTGAAGACGCAACATGCCAAGGCAATAAAAAGTCTGATTTTGTACAGAGTCTATAACCTGCCTCTTGTTTGTCTCAGGGCKGAATCAGCTGCGACCAAATCACTTTGAACTGTTCTTTGAAGAGCTTTAGAGAGCATCAGTTGAAAGCAGGTATTTAACAACCTCCTAGGTCACCTACTCCAGCGTTTGACTATTCTCAGGAGCGATATCTCTGCAAGGTTGGATGTAGTACATTAAGCCAATTATCTTCCCTTAATCAAGTCTCCTCTGTCCTGAAACATTAGATGCATTAGATGCATTAGATGCTGTGCACCGAACGGGGCAGATCAATAATACAAGCTTATTTAGCAACATCCTTAAGGGGCCCCTGGAGAGCAAACTAAGACATCCCACCGCAATAGGTAATGGCAGAGTTCACAGTCCATCTCAGCCCCCCAACTTTTCAACTAAACTCAGACTTAAGAAAATAAGTAAAAGCTTCACAGCTAAATGAGTTTCATGGGGGATCCTYGAGCCATAGAAGTCGAAGAAAAGATGAGCTAATATGCAAGAGGACCTCAAAGAATACAGTGCTTGAGAAAGCTCTGGGAGAAAGCCCAGGTGTTCACAGCCTGCTCAACCCTCCTTTTTGTGTGGGGTCCAGTCCCATGCACCCTGAATTCCCTTTGTATCAAGCAGAGTGATTGGTTTTGAGTTGTTTGTTTAGTTGGTTGGTTGGTTGGTTGGTTGGTGTTTTTTTAATACAAAATCTCCCAGGAGACTGATTAGCTGTGCCTAACATCCAGTACAATCCTTGACTTCACAAGACCTCTCTGTACACTGCACCCCAAGGGTGCTTTCTGCACCACAAGAGTCTATGCAATGCCCAGACTGGTACTGATATCAAACTGGGAGGAGTGGCTGATACCTCAGAGGGCTGTGCTGCTGTCCAGAGGGACCTAGACAGACTGGACAACTGGACAACTGGACAACTGGGCAGTGAGAAACCTCATGAAGTTCAAGACGGGCAAGTGCAGGGTCCTGCCCCTRGGGAGGAATAACCGGCTGCATCAGTACAGGCTTGGGACTGACCTTCTGGACAGCAGCCCCACAGAGAGAGGCCTGGGCATTGTGGTGGATGACAAGATGACCATGAGGCAGCAGTGTGCCCTGGYGGGCTAGAAGACCAATGGGATCTTCGAGTGCATCAAGATGAACATCTGCAGCAGGKCAAGGGAGGGGATCATCCCCCTATACACAGCCCTGGTAAGGCCACATGTGGAGACTGGGTCCAGTTCTGGGCTCCCCAGTACAAGAGGGATGTGGAACTGCTAAAGAGAGTCCAGCGCAGGGCTATGAAGATGATCAGGGGCCTGGAACAYCTGCCCTATGAGGAAAGGCTGAAAGAACTGGGCCTGTTCAGCCTGAAGAAGGCTGAGGGGGGACCTGATCAGGATCTGTAAATACCTCAAGGGTAGGAGTGAGGAGGATGGGGCAGCCTCTTTTCAGTGGTGGCTACTGACAGGACTAGAAGAAATGGCCACAAACAGAAGCACCAGATGTTCCACAGGAACTTAAGGAAAACTTATTAACAGTGATGGTGACAGAGCACTGGAACAGGCTGGCCAGAAAGGTAATGGAGTCTCCTCCTTTGCAGATTTTCAAAATCCCCTTGGATGCATCCCCTGTGCCATGTRCTCTAGGTGACCCTGCATGTGCGGGACCGTTAGACTAGACGATCTCTAGAAGTCCCTTCCAACCTTAAGCATTCTGTGATTCTATGATTTTTCTACAAGTTTGAAGAGTAAAAGAAAATTTCATTATGGCAGCCCTGGCTGCATTGCTAGCACATGTTCTTGTTATTARAAGAGCAAAACACCACACTTGATATGCAGTCTCTCATCTTCTCTGAGCCATTCGGTCTCTCACGTTCTCTGAGGCCTTTCTGGCCACTGGCCCTTTCCACAGCCTCCTCTGCAGCCACCATCTCTTGTGGGCCAAYGGGTTCCAGCCCCAGGAGAGCAGCAAGGAGGGTTTTAAGAGGAGTAGGTGAAAAAGGAACCAAAACCTCTTCCCAGGGAAGAGGTGGGGGATTCAGATGGCAGGTTCCCGTTGGTTTCGTAGAGAAAACCACCGCCTCCCACCTGCGCCTCACAGAGGCGCCCGACGGCCCTAACGGCCTCGCGGAGAGGGGTGCGCCACGGTCGCGCACGCGCGCAAAGCAGGGAGCGCGGGCGGGGGCATCGCCGCTTTAAGGACAAGCCAAAGAGCCGCTCTCTCCTCAGGGGCCGCGGAGTGGGCGGTGTTGCCGCTTTAAGGGCGGCCCCGCGTGAGCGCTGCCCCCTTTCCCGCCCCTGCGCGTTCCCCCGAGCCTGGCGGAGCCGGCGGGCAGCAGGAGCAGCGCGGGCCGCGGCGGCAGCAGCAGCACCCAGGAGGAGCAGGAGCAGCAGGAGGAAGCAGCGGCAGCATGTCCTGAGCCGGGCGGTGCGGGCCAAGGCGGCGGCGAGGAGCGCCCACCACGGAGGGGACGGTGGAGCAGCGCGCCAAGGGCCGGGCCCCCATGAAGGAGAAAGAGGCGGGTGCGGAGCGGGGCAAGCCCGCCACCTACACCGGGGACAAGAAGGCGCGCATGGCGGCCAAGACCAACAAGAAGTGGGTGCGTCTGGCCACCGTGCTGGCCTACGTGCTCTCCGTCTCGCTCGCCGCCATCGTGCTCGCCGTCTACTACAGCCTCATCTGGCAGCCGGTGCGCGGCGGCGGCGCCGCCTCGCAGCCCCACGCAGCAGCGCAGCAGCCGGGTCCTGCGGCCAGCGCCGGAGCTCGCGTCGCCTCCGCCGCCGCCTGCGCTGCGCCGGCTGCGCGACAGCGCCTGAGGGGCGCCCCCCCACCTCGGTAGCGCAGCGGCCGTTAACGGTCGCCCGCGCCCACTCCGCAGGGACCGTTAACGGTCGCCCCTGGCGCAGCGGGAGCGCGGCCTGGAGGCGGAGGCGGCCGAGGGGCGAACAAGGGAAGAAGACGTTTCCACCAGGACAGACTCCGGTACTTTCTCCCTGYACCCTTCTTCCCCTGCTCCCCCTTTTTTTTTGCACCCCCCCCAAAAGGGAATTTTGTGGCTGTTTTTTTTTTCTTCTCTTCCCGCCCTTACTCCTCCTCCAGCGGGGCTCGTTTCTCCATGCGGACCTGCTGCGAACTGCTCTGCTATTTATGCCGGCCTGTTACCTCCGAAAGGATTTCGGTGTCCGCACCCTTCACTGTCTGCAAGATCAGCTGGGGACAAGATGGATTTAGAGGCTGTAAACCGTTAAGTGGAACCATTCTTTTTTGTTTGTTTGTTTAATAATGAGCGTAAACTTTATTTAAAAAACAATCTGTGGAAGGTAAATTGACTTGTTTACTATATTAAAATATTTTCCCAATATGAAAGTCTCTGTAACAGAGTATATTCTCTTCAGGGTGGGGAGGAGCAGCAGGGAGGAGCATTAGGGCTCCCCTGTGTTGCAAGAAGGGTTTGCTGGTGGTAAGGGGTGAATGGCAGTGTTTGTGTCACTTCACTTGTCATTGGTCTCCTCCAGCTGTCCCCATTGTGCCTGTGCGAGGAGAGGAGGCCTGAGCTTTTATGGCAGAACAGGCTGGAGCTCTTGCAGGGAGCTCTGGTGGGCACTGCAATGGGATGCTCCATTTGCAGGGAGACTGCGAGTCCTGGCACCTTAGTCTCATCTCGGGTCGTGCCACTAGTTCTGTGCCCACCATCACCTTCCCTYAGAAGGTGATGCTTGTGTGCCATGGAGTCTTGAGGACTGTCCTGCATGGCTGTATTGACATGCAGTGCCAAAAATGGACCTCATAATGTCTGTAGATGAGGTCAGTCAGTGATGGTGTAAGAAGCAGCATCTTTGATGGCTTGCTGAATGTGAGGTCACTTGGTGACCTTTGTCATTCTGAGGACCTATTCTTCAGATTGATGGTAAGAGGAGTTAACTGTTGGGTTGCCAAGCTGTGCAGCATGCTGCTGGGGGAAGGGATGGCTGGAGCTTAGACTCCCTTCACTAATGCTGCAGATAAAAAAAAAAAAAAAAAAAGTGCTCAGGTGGGGCATGTGTATTGAAATTGTGCAAATCACTACTGTAAAATATATGGCACTTCAGTATTATTTTTTTTAAGTTGAGGGAGATAGAAGCCTCATGCCTAAATCTCTATGCCTTAGCCTGGTGTCTTAGCTTTAAGCCTGCTCTAACTTGGCACTTCCTTTGCAGTGTCTGTTGAAGACAGAAACCAAGAACAGATGTCCTGCATAAAGAAACTGGGCAAATTAAATTGATTTACACATGATCTTCACCTTCGAGTTTTTCAGAGAGCAAACAGCACAGTCTGTACTTTCTTAGTATGTTGGAGAAAGTGGATAGCTAGTAGAAAGCAATACAGACCATTATTTCAGACATTTTTGACAAAAGCCTTCATGTTTTTACCACCTTTACTCATAGCAGTGTGTGATTTCACTCCTTTGGCTGTTCTGCCTGTAGTGTGTTGATACCTGTGTGCAGGGCTGCCTGGTGCATGTAGATGTTCTGGTTCACGGTGATAATGATACTGCTTGTAGTTCCTCTCTGATTGTACAAATGGTCATTTTCTGTCCTCTGAGATGGAGGAGTAAAGGAGAAAGGAAACAGGGCCATTCTTTGGTGCCAGTGGAGTTTAGCCTGTTCCTTTTATCTGCTACTAAAATCAGAAGCAGTTGGGAAGCATCTCTGGGAGGCAGCTTGTGTTTAGCTTTTAAACCCTCTCTTAGAGATAAGTGAAAGTTAGGCGGAATTATACAGAAACTGGCTTTTATCCTGGTCAAAGGGGAGAGACTGTCGTGGTTTTGAACAGTGCATTGGACGTGCATGGACTCTTGGCATTTTTCAGTTTAAAAACAATTGCTCTCAGAAGACTAATAGAGCATGACTGTGTAGAGCAGATGGAAGAGGGAGTAAATTGAATTAAATGGGCTGTATGGCCCTTTTCCAGCCTGCCATGTAACTGTGGAAATGCCTTGTATGCAGGCACAGCAACTTAAAGGCCCTCACCCATTTTGTGATATTGATAGAGGAGGTTTTCTAGGTGAGTACCCCTGTTCGGATCCCCTTTCCCAAAGGGCATAGATCTGTTGTTAACAACTGCCATCCTTCCTAGTGCTAAAATTAGTTTATAGGCAGTGTTAATTTGGTTGCAGCTATCATCATTCCCGTATGGCAGTTTAGGCTTGGTATGTTCTTAAACTGCCTCTGCATCCTCTCTTCCCTGTTGACAAAATGAGATTTAGGTGAAATTCAYGTATTTTTGTACTTGCTAAAGCTGGCTTTGGAGCATTCTATTAAATTTATTATTGCTGTACTGTGTCTGCAAGGGGAAAGTTTAGCTTGTAACCATGCAGAGATCATGGGTTAATGGCCAAGAAGGCTTAGGGATTTAAGCAGCCTTGGTTCTCAAAGCCATTTCGGACCCAGKTTTTTCAGTGAAAATCTTTTCCATGCTCTTGCCACAGCTTGGAAAATCATACTTGTCAGGAGGAAATGCATTCCCCTTGAGATAGTGTAGCCAGCCTGCATGAGCACATGTTCCTGTGCTCATTGCTTTTCATGGCAAACTAAGAAATCAGAGACTAGTTACACTTTACAAGTATTTTTAGTAATCAAAATGGATTGTCTTTTTTTTTTTGTGTGCAAGTTGCCTTTTTAATTTGGGTATTTTTGAGGCCAGGCCATTTTTTTCCTATTTTTCTCTTATGGGGAAAAAAATAGAAAACTCTTCATGTAATAACCCTTTTTCCTTGCATGTGGATTCCTTTGGGCTTGCACTTACCTATTGGTATATAATACTTGGCCTCTGCTCACACTGGAAAGGTCTCATTGAGCTTCATTCCTTCAAGGAGAACACATGGCTATAACTTGCATGCAGAGGGACCAGAAGAAAGGGGAGTAGCTGGCAAAGCAAGTTACTGGAGCATGTAACGTGCTCCAGCAGCTAGCTTAAATTAAAAGCTGCCTTTCAGCTGCTTTTACCCTCTATGAATTTTTTGTCCTGACTGATGTAAYGAGTATTAAGATCTTAAGTCCACATTCATAGAGCAGCCCCATAATTCTGAGAAGGAAGTTTTTCACTCTGGATTTTGTCTTAGTTCATCAGTGTAGCTGGAAAGCAGTTGTTTGATGAAGTGTTGATAACAAAAATCAGTGCCCGCTTCTGTGCATCCTGTGTCCCCTTCAGAGAAGACTGTTTCAATCTCAATGGGCCCCTCTGCAATGTGTTACACACAAGTCTGTGTTACGGATGGTTAGCTGTGGGTCCTGGGAGATATTCTCTAAGTGCAGGGAGAGGGCAATGATATCAARAAGAGTTGCAGCTGTGCTGGAGCTGTACAGGAGCTGAACTTTGACTTCTCTGTTTAGTGAGCATCATTTCTGGTCAGGCATCGAATCCCTGCACTACTTCAGGGTGCCTAGGAAATGGCTGTGGATTTTTCTGCCTGATGCCTTTGCCTGCAGGGTCTGGGAGCTTTTGAAGGGCTTGAGCTACCCTTGTGCAGCCTTTTCCAAGGGAAAGCAGCAGGCAGGGTTTTGAACTTCGCAGCAGGGCTGTATCCCCTCCTGCTCTGTGCCTCTAATTGACTTTATAAAGCTTTTTGTGTAGCTTAAAATATGCTAACTAGTGTTCTGCGCAGCTTAAATACAAAACTGTTTCTCACTAAATGCCAGTTTTAGCTTTGTTCTTCTGTGCCATTTGCAAGGAGTTTATCTGCTCAGGAATTGGTGTGGAAAATTGCTGAAGGTTTCAGTTACGTTTTTACTTCTAGTGGCCTCTGTCTTCCTGGGACTTTCCTTGTTCTTAATAATCTGCCTTACTGAGACAGAAGTGGAGATCCACAATTGCTGTCAGTGTTTTCTGTTGTTGCCTCGTGTAGTAATTGACCTTGTAAAGGTTTGGACAGTGAAGTGTTTCCATCTTTATCTAGGTGTATTGTTAGGCTTGGGCTAAGCTTTTTTTCTCTGTTCTTAGTCTCTTTGCCAATCAAGAGTTAATTCAGCAGAGTCTGTGAAATCAATTTTGACATCAATTTTAACTACACAGTTAGTGTTGAAAATGAGGGTAAAATTTGCCCACTGGAAGAGCTTTTTTTTTTTTTAAGGGCTTTAGTAAGAAACCTCTTCACCTCACCAATAAAGCATGAAAGGTGCCTCTTGCCTAATGCTGGTGCTGAAGCCAATATGGATGCATTAGATAGGTGCTGTGCATGAGAGTTACCTTGGAAAACCAAAACATACATCTGTGCAATATTAGTTTATTAAAACAGTACAGTATTTCAGTCCACACGTACCAACCTTATCACCAATCTGCTGCTTGGTTAGCAAATGCTCTTGCTGTGAAATTCAGTAAATCCCCACATGCACATGTCTGCACATACATTTATTCTTGAAACTGCTTCCAGTGTCAGGGCAGCATTTCAAAATGAGGATATCCTTGTTGCTCTGCYGTTCACAAGTTAGAAATTGCGTTGTCTTATTCTTTGTGCCTGCTTTCCCCCTTCTTAAGTGGTTGCACTGTTTCAGCTAGGTCCTCACTTGCTGTGCGTCTCAGACTGCTCTGAGATCCACAGACATGTGACCCTTGCTTGCTTGTCCTTGTAAATGCTCATCCCACTGCTTGCTTTGAAAAATTTCTTAAGGCTGAGTCAAAATTTGTGAGCAGCAGCTTCCAGGGGAGCTACTTCCATTTATTTCAGCACAAGGCTTCAAAAGGCACAACTGGAGAGGTGAAAGCATTTGCTAAGAAACCTGCAGCTTCGACTCCAGTTTGCCCAGGCTCTCAGTGCTGGCCCCTTCCTGGAACAGGGCTGTTGAGAAGGAAGCTTATTAGGTTTGTGCTGCCCTCCCTGACCTGCTCAGCACATCCAACTCCAAGTGTCTACCTAACTCGAAGTCTCACTTCTCACCTCTTCTCACTTCCCATTCATATAAAGCAAGCTTGGTGCTTGGCCAAGCTCTATGTACCTGCTCCATCCTCCTTTCTTGGGAAAAAKGACCTTTCTTGTGGTGCCAGTTCAGCCTCTGCTTCTTACGCCCTGCTAAATCTATCAGGAGGAGAAAAGCAAGCTCTAAACCTATAGAACAGCCTGGTTGATGCGTGTTTGTCCAAAGCCTCTGCCTCCCCCAGTGTAATTCATGAGTGCTCTATCCCCGTTGTGCCCCGCAACTTCTGCGACTACTGAGCATCTCTGCCAACACCTCAGTAGCTTAAAACCCTAGTACAAGAGCTGCTTTGAATGCTAGTTTTTCACCCATCTATAGAACTACAGTGTAACTGCTCCCAGCCCCATCTCCTATGTGGTGCTGTTCCCAGTCCTTTGCTTTGTCACCTGTTCCCTACCAAGAGTAAGGGATAGCTTCCATCACCCCTGGCCTGAGCCAGGTCCTGGCAGTCAGGAAAGGAAAGGGTTGGGGAGTCTGGAAAGCTGAATCTTAACTCTTAGCAGAATTAGTTATTAAATAAAGTGCATCCAGTAGACATTCCATTGGCTTGCCACACATTTGCTATAGAAGAAAAACAAATGCAAGAGAAAAGTGGCGGTGTTTTCTCTGAAGGATAGCAGTCTGTATAGAGCTTGCCCTGTCCTTTGACCTTGGATTAACTAAGGGTGGCACTGAAACTAGGTGCAGGAAAGGGGGGAGCCTGGATTGGGAACCCTCCCCCCACCTCCCATTTGCAGTGACTGGATGCTGAAAGGCCCAGGGCAGGTGCTGAAAGCCACTTTCATAGGAGGTGCAAGAGGGAAGATGAGGCCAGGCTCCTCTTCTCATCCACCGCCTCCAGTATGTAATCCTGGCAAGACAGAAGCAAAGAGAGCAGTGGGGTTAGCAGTCTCTGGGGATCGCCCAGCGGTAAGTGAAAACCATCTGCTGAGCTTCACTGTGACCTTCCTGCACAGCTTGGGCCCCTGGTGAGGAACCAGCAGAGCGTAGCCCAGATACCTAGTCAGAGCAGCAAGGAGCCTCAGTGCTCCACAGCCCATGGGACAACCCAAATCTGGATTAAATGCGCTCCCACCCCTCCTTCAGCCTGTAAGTAGAGCCTCTTGTCCTATAGCTGCTTCTGGACTGAGACACTCTTATTCTATTATTTTCTTTGCTGTCAGCTGCTTGGGTGCTGCTTAGAATCGCTGAGCTGGTGTTTTCCTGTATCTGCCTTCAAATCCAAAGGGTACTGAAATAGTCAGTGCTATGTGCGGATAAAAGGGGAGTCCAAGACTTGCTGGAGACACTTGCTGTTGTCCCATCTGTGTGATGGTTGGGATTGGCTGTATCTTGCTCCCGAGGGAGTGCGTAGTGCTGTAGCAACACACTGCTGGGCTTGAGCACTGTTTGAGAGGGTCAGGAAGCACATTTTGAGTTGTGCTTGGAAATCTAAGTACTGTAAAATACTTGTTTTATGAGTCTGAGCTGACTCCAGGGCTAGCTCGGTTTAGTCTTAATCTATTTTATTATAAATGCTGCTGAAACTCTTCTAGATAACCTCCTGCTTTTCAYTGCCTCCCTGTTTGCAGTGATATCATTGCAATGTAGCCACTTTCTTACTGTGCCTTAGTGAATCTTTATAACTCGGACCCTGGCTTCCTCTAAAGTCATGACTTCTTTTAGTAACTAGGCAGCATGAGTTGCATTTCTCTCATTTCACCCTGGATCTTCTTTTGCTTACATGAGTCAAGGGCTGGCCCGGGATTTAGCAAGCAGTAAATGCTCCAGCATGATGTTACCATGGCTGGTGTTGGATCCTTCAAAGAGGGCAGTGTGGCCATGTGCTGCTTTTGGCTCTCCCATCAGCACCAAGGGAATGTGGTGCCAAATTTGACCCCATTTGTCACTGTCCTGTGATAAGCTTAAATGCAGATCGTTGATGGACTGGCTCAAAGGACCCAATGTGCCTCATATTTCTCATCCTAACAGAGTCTGGCTGGACCTGGGGAGTCACTGGGGTGACTTTGACATTCAAGCCAATGACAGATTAGATGCAGGACCTGCTGCTTAAATCTAATGTCAGGAAGATGGAGGCACATGAAGCTCCTGCAGCTGAAAGGAGCTAAAGGGAGTTTATCTAGTTACTCTAGGGCAAAACCGGAGTCCCTGAAGATGATTTGATTCTGTTAAAGGCTGGAATACCACAAGCAAACTCTGACATAATACGTAAAGACCATTTGTTAGATATCCGTAGCTTTTAAAAACAAGTATTTAGTAACTTTTCATACCTACTATAAGGCCAGAAAGAGATAGATAAAATCATGAAACTAAAGGTGTTAACAGCTTGTCATAGTTTCTTGTTTCCAACAGTCACCATGGCAAACCCAAGAAGAGACAGAAGTTCCTCCCAAGTGCCTGAGAGACTGAGGAGCGCAGAGTGCACATTTCCAGCTGGGATGGGTGTCATTACGCTTTTCAGGGTCAGTGAAAACATTTGCTTTTACAGCCATCACCAACAGGAGTGTAGGCACCTTTGTCATCCAGCACAGCCTCTTGCTCTTACAGACATCGTGTCACCTAATCCATGCTGGAGACACTTTTATCAGGTCAGCCTCAAAGGTGACCTCCTTCAAAGTTGAGCCCCTCCTTCAACTACAGCTGTTTCAGATCATTCCTCCAACATCCCTCAAGTCTTTCCCCGTGTTTCTCCAGTCTGAGTCCTTGCTCCAGAACAGCTCTCAAACAATTCCTCTGTTTCCCAGTGTTAATAGTATTTTCCCCTGTGGCTTCCATAACTTCCCAGTGAGAGCTCCTGCAGTAAGTCCTGTATTAGGTCAAAGTGCTTGAATTCTGCGTGAGGACTAAACTTCCCCGTTCGGTGGTACGTGGTGCTCTGGGGATGTGAAGTGCTCCCAGTATGATGGTGACCTTCCAGTGAAGCCCCTTGAGAACCTAGCCTGCCAATCCAGAGCCAGGTACAGCAGCAGATGATATCTTCTCATCTTTTGAGCCTCGAGGAAACTGGTATGTTCTCCAGTAGCTCCAAAACTGTATTGAGACGCGATGCTTTCTGCTTCTGCTGCTTGCTGCAGCACAACCTTTAGCACTGGCTTGCATCACAAAACTGACCTCTGCCGACCTCCTCAATCCTGCAGCACACAGGCCCTGCCTGCCCCACTCCTGTTTACGTCAGCCAGAGCTGCAGGGTCAGATCCCTGGAGCTGCTTTGGAAATTCACCCCCAGCTGCATTTTCTCTAAGGATTGATTTTTCTCAGGAGACTTCAGGGAAAAGCTGCTGTGTTTTTTTGTGTATCATTTACTTGTCTGGGCCTTGTTGGACAGTCTCCAGGGATTCCAGGCCTTCACTTTGGGTAAATATTTATTCCTTGTTCTTTGAAGCAAAGGATGAAAGCCCCACCGTGCTCTCTGCGCAGTGGTTTGAAGGTGCAGGGTTTTTTTTAGGACCATAAATAGATRTTAGCAAATGAAGCTGTGAAAGCCACACAGTGGCTGCTCCTTGCATGGAGGATGCAAGGAGCATCTTGTGGAGACAAATGGACAGCATAAATGTGAACATGAATGAGTGGGATATATGTCCAAATAAGCTCAGGAGCAGGGCAGATGGAGAGAATATTATCACTGGTTACTGGTCATTGCTGCTGCTACAAATATCTATATGGCAGATATTTGCAGTTGTGTGGAATTCTGCTCTGGAGATCTTGTCCCTGGCATCACATGTAATTCTGTTCCACAGCAGAAATTGCTGTAGGGAAATTAYATTTTGAAAATTGTTTTGGGACTTCATAGGTCACATGTTGCAAAATTATGCAACCTGGCTGCTTTGCTCAAAATTGCGCTCTCAAAACGGAATCAGCAGTATTTCAAAACATAGCGCAAACATTTTCTGCTTCGAAAAGGCTTAATGAGGCCTCCAGTTTGCAATTCATAAAGTACGAAACGTCAAAGCAGACGTGCTTCTGGTGCATGTTTTGCTTTTGTTCAAATCTCTGGTTTGACAGAAAAAAAAATTCTCTAGAAAGTTACTGATCACATCCTGACAGGGGTTTATTAACCAGTCTCGATAACACATGCCTAGGTAATCCCTTCTTAAAGGCAATGTGCTATGTCTGCCTGTCTCGGGGAGGGGGTCCCAGTTGTATTCATCATCTTTCTGATATAAAATGCTGCYAGTTCCGTGGACGCAGGGCACAGGGAAGGTTTCCTACTGGGACACAGCAGGATTTACCCCRAGAGACCTGTTGCACCACCAACCCGCTTGTCTCGACACCCACCAAGCCATATGTCCCCAGAGGCAGCGCGTTGCTGTCACTCCTGCGCGACAGGGTGGCGGACGCCCCCTCTCTCCCCTGCTGCAAGGGGCTGATTTTGTCATTGTGGCGGCCTGACGTGGCATCGGTGCCATTAGGCAGGGACGTCAGCAGTTCCCTGTAAACATAAGCTGCTAAGAACTGTGTGAGCTGCCCACAGCCTCTCAACTGCGTTATGGGCCATTCAATGAGGACTACCTGTTCCTTAAAGATTATGCTCACACAGTGAGCGGAGGCAAATAATTAAGGGCCTTTGGGCCACTGAAGTCATGGTGCTAGACACCAAGCAAATAATCACRTTGTAGATTGTGCATTCTGACTGAAAGGGGAAAAGTGTAGGTCTTTTTTTCTGTTATTTTCTTACCACTTGATCTTACTGCTCTTTCAGCTTCCTTAACGAGGCTCTTTTCCCAGTTACTATGAATTAGAGACCTCTCTATTAACTGCATCCAGTGAGGTCTTACCCCAACCTCTCCATTCATATTTGGAATCACAGCCTCCTTTGCTTCTTAAGCCTTTAAAAACATCACACTTTGGAAAAGGTGTCTCACACCTGCACAGTAGCCTTGAAAATCTCWGCCTGTGCTTCACTATAAAATTTAACACAATCTTGTGGCCCTCCTCTCCCCCCCTTTTCAAAGGGTAGTGACCTGCTTACCCATAATACTATTGCCTGGAGATAAAATAGTCTTACAGATGCACAGCATTTCGTAGCTGTATGTGAATGCTGATTGATAAAAGGTAAATTGCATTTTGCTGCAAATTTAAGCCAGCTTCTCTCTCTGTCTCTGCATATAACATGCAATGCCCAATTTCTGCCTGAAGAGCCTTTTCTACCGCAAGTAGAGTGTCCTTTTTCTCTTTGCGAAATTACTTGTTTGGGAYATCTGCTGGCAAAGTGAACCCCCAAAGTATGATGTTCCTATGAAATAACATTTTAGGGAGAATTATGTGGAAAATAAAGCAAGGCTTTGCAGCATTTTCTCAGCACTTTGGTCTGAAAGTAATGTCTGGAGAGTGCTCGGAAGCAGAAGCCAAGGGAGAAGGGAAGTGACTGCAAGCAGCCTGTGGTTATTTCTGCCTGCCATCTGTGTCATTACGCAGCTTGTCATGTTGATTTGGGAACTTCAGAGCAGCAGCAGGAATAGGCACAGGGCCTTTTTGCTCCAAATGCTCTCTCAAYTTAACCAACTAGAGCCTAAGAAGCTTTTGTTTTTCTCGTTGCTGTTGCCGTTTTGTTGCTCCTAGGAGCTCTGCTGGACATGGACATGAGGACATGACCAAACTGCTCTGGTGGAAAAATCCAGGTCTCAGGTCTCGCCCTTGTTCCCTACAGGGGGATGTTCCTGGCGGATGCTCCCAGAGAACAGATGCTTCAGGACAGGACCTCTGTCTTCCTCTTGGCTGTACTCATTGCGAATAAATTACAACAGGATTCACGCCAATCACAAGTATTTGGGAAACCCCACCAGATAAAGGACTGTCCTGGGGCCAAGGCCAAGCGCATTGGGATAAGAGAGAATGAATTTGGTTAAATTAGGTAGCTGGGCCAATTCCTATCAGCGCTGCTATTGGGAGAGGTGGAAACATCTTTTGGTTGACTTTGCATTGTGACCTGCTATCCCTGTCCCACACAGGGCTCCCTTGAATTTGAAGCATCTCTTGGATGTTCAGTAGGTATCAAGGCAAGGATGCATCTTGCCATGATCCATCTGCATCAAAGGGTTGTATCTGATGCTGAGTGCATAATCTGAGCACACCTGGAAATGCAGCTTGAACTATTTGGGAAAGGCATGGAATTGAGGTAYGGGAATGATGAGGAAAGCGAGAAGGGCATTGCAGAGAGGCAGGCAGATGAGGACAGAGATGAAGTTGTAAAGGAAAAAAGTAGCGATGAGAATGGGAACAGAGGGACAGCGGTGCCAGCAGTCTGGGGATATGTTAACCCCTCGTTTTCCCCTTCTCTACCTTGCCTTTCCCCAAACCTAAGGATGTGCTTATACATAAACCTGCCTTAATTACAGAATAGCGATGGAGTAAAAAGCTGGGCTTGGAGTGGACTCGAAGTCCTACTGTCGATTGCCCCAGTGAAAATGGGCAACTCCTCTAATTTATCTCCTCTTAACTGGTGTCTAAGCAATTACTGCTTTCATCACCCAGGATAACTCCAGTTCCCTCATCCTCTACCCTAGATATTTTGGGTAGGTTTTGGAGACACCTGGCTTGGCTTCTGCACTGTGCTGTCCCTCTCCTGCTCTGTGCATCCAGGTGTTCCTTYGTGTTTTCCTAAATACTGTTGAAAATAATTTCTTCCAAGGCATTTTAGTTCCTGTACAGAAGCAGCTCCTGCTGGTTCCTGATGCTTTGCCTCTTTTTTATTATTATTTTTTCCAGTAGCTCTGACACTTGCACTTCTCCCTGCCTTTTGTCTAGAGTCAGATTATAGGGAAAGTCTTTTTGGTAGCAACTTAACCACTTCATCCTTAAGCTTGTTTGGTGCCTCTGAGGTGAACACTAAGCAAAGTCAATGACCAGCTGCTGGTCAGGGGTCCAAGGCAAAGCCTCCTGGAACCAGGACCAGGTGCTTGGGGCAGCTGCCTCAAGTGYTTCCATAGGAATGCAGTTGCCCTCTCTCTTTTTAAGGAGCACAGACAGGAGGGTCCTGAGAGCAGGTCAGGCCTTAGGCTGGATTGTGTCCTGCAGGGACCCATCTCTCTCCACCGATGTGAGGTGAAGATGAAGGCCACATGGCTGGGGAGAAGTTTGAGTTAGGTCCTTACAACCTAATCTGGTTTTGGGCTCACATCCTCATTTGTCACTGATCTAGTGCCTGTGGTCTTGAGACCCACATCGCTTACCAGCCTGGAATGACCAGCTTGAGAACTCAAGTGCCAGAGTGTCCCTGCGCTCTCTCCTTGGCCTTCCTTCTGCCTGACCTCTGCTTATTCTAGTTGTCMTCACTGCAGAGACATCTAGTTGTCATCACTGCAGAGACAAGAATAAACTCATGCTGCTCTCCTCACCTGTCATAGATGACCCCAGGAGGATCTCCCAGGATTCTCCCAGGAGGAGAATCAGTGGGGGTCCTGGGCTAATGGGCATCACCAACCAGACTCAGCTGACTGGTTTTCTGCCCAAGACCCACCCTGTTTTCTACCCACATTCCCTCCTTTTCTTTTGCTTTCACCATCTGCTCCAGGGCAAGTCTTGGCGGTACAGGTTTAGACCATCCTAAGGATCCATAGCACTGTTAATGCACACTTTTGGAGAGGTATTTTATATCTTGCCCTCATAGTCCAMAGAGGACAGAGCTATGGACCTGTACCATGGCAGTACCCAGTGAGCACTGTGGGATGAGGAACATGCCACAGAGGCAGGGATCAGGAACTCACCTTCTGTCTCTGGTGAACAGGGCCTACGGTGCTAGTTCGGAGAGTCCCCGCTGTCCTCGTCCTTGCGCCCCTCAGCCTGGTCCCCATCACTGGGCGGTGATTCCGTTGTGTCCTGCTCAGACCCAACAGTCTTGCTGGAGCTGTCAGCCATCGAGGGCAGAGGCTCTGCTCTGTGCTCAGTGCCTTCGGTGCCTTCGCCTCCTTTCAGTGCAAGTGCTTGCCCCTCAAGGGCTCTGTTTGGGGATGCTTCCTCCCCTCCTTTTGGCATGGGCCGTGCCTCCCATCTGCCTCCTGCTGCCATGCCCAGCTTCCCCCCAGCGCTGTTGGAAGAGGATTCCCCTTCGGAAGCAGTGCTCCCCTCTAAGCTGAGGGGCAACGACGAGGTCTCTGCAGTGCCGCCCAGGCCTTCCTGCTCCGAGGGGATGCCGGCAGCACCACTGGTGGTCCCAGCGCCCTCCTCGCTCTGTGTGCTCCCTGGCTCAGTATCACCACTGGTGGCCACAGGCACCTCCTTGTGTTCCTTCACCGCTCGCGCTTCCTCCTTACAGCTGTTGCGGGCAGCTGGGACCTTCCTGCTTGGCAGCTCCTGGGAGGAGGAGGCCTCAGGGTCTGAGAGACTTGGCTGCCTTGCCTTCTCCGGCTCTCCTGGGCAGTTGTCTTCCACCCTTTCCTCACCTCTGCCTCTCAGCTTGTCCGTACTGAGGATCTGCTGGGAAAAGAAGGAGATATTTATTTCAGCTTATTCAAACATCAGTGTACGGCACTGTGGTGGTTCCCAACGTTTGAGGAGGAATCTTCAGAGGATGTTAAAGGATGTGAGCGAAGAGAAGTGTTCAGGGACCAAGACAAGCTGGGAGAGGGTCAGTGGAAGAAGGGAGGCTGCTCTCCAACCATTCTAAGGTGCATTCTCTAGGGCGCTGTACACAGGGCGCTGCCCTTGCTGAGGGTCTCAGGTTTTCTTGATATTGCCTCTTTCTCGAAAGCTGACAGCTCCAAACAGGCAAACTCACCTGGCTGTCAGGGTCGTCCTTCAGAAAAGACATGTCATCGCCTTCTTTTGCATCCCATCTGCCAAGACAAAACACGGAGTTTAGGCCCCTGAAGGAACTTCAGGGGGCAAAGCCGCTCTCCCTGCCCAGTGCCTCAGCAGCAGTTTCTACCACAGAGGGTAAAGCTGGCAGAGAGAATCAGCCCAGCTCCATCTCTGGGCACCCGCAAAGCTCTCGGTACCACCAGACACACAAACATAAACCCCCTTGCCAACCGAGGTGAGCTCCAGTCCGGCCTTGCTTTCCCCACGGTGCCCAGGTGCCCCAGAGCTGCACAAGGGCAGGCATGGAGGCAGAAAGAGGCGGATGACGTTGCTGGGAGGTTGCACGGGAGGCCAGAGACCTGCACATGTGTGAGCAGAGTGGCTATATGGGTCAGTCAGCCCAGGCGCTCTCTTCCCATCAGCATCACCTAAAGATGCGTTGGGTAGTTTGAGAACAGGGCAAATGCCCTTCTTCAGGATTTCCAGGATTTTCAGAGACAACATCTCAGTGTTGACTCATGCTTAGAGGACAGTCTCTTGCAAGGTYTTCTGGCAGGACGTTTTGACCCCATATAAATTTGCAGCAGCTACAACGCCCTGTGCCGAGGAGAGGGCAGCTTAGCCGAGTGCTGCACAGGGCAGCGCTTTCTGCAGCATGTTTTGAATTTAACAGGCTGAGACTAAATCTGCATTTGCCCATGCAGGGCTACCAGGCAGGGAGAGTCTGGAAAAGCCTGTTTGTGTGCTGGCTGGCGTGTCACCAAAGTAAAGCATATAGATGTGATAAATAAGGTGTGTTGGCACTTAGAGTAAGCGCATCCTACAGCAGGTACCTGCATGGGCATCTTGCAGTGCACTGGCTACACGCCCAGAAGGAAGGTAGTGCACAGCACTACCATAGACCAAAAATGCCACCACAGGAGGCGGGGGTCAGGGGATGGGGACACTTGCCTGTGTGGTGKTGGTGGTGGTCGCACCTTGGCTTTTGAAATAGGGTTGGTCACCAACAAGGCTGCCCCGGGCTGGCCGTGGCTGCTCTTTGGGGCCTGGGTAGGTCGCAGGGCCCACAAGGGGAGTGGTGGCATGTCAGGTTTAACCTGGCTGTGACTACTCTGGCCATGTCTGGTTGTATGTTGTGTTATAAATAGGTTCCCAACCTCCCCTATAACTAGGTAAGGGTTATAGCTGCTCAGGTGTGGTTATTACCTCAAAGCACAACCAATAATAATCAAAGCAACGTTTTAAAAAAAAAAGAAGTCTTGCCTATTTATGCACCTGTTTAACTGCATGGACTTAACTGTCCAGGCTGGTTGGAGACCGCTAACATTAAGAGCCACTGGGATGATTTTGTGCTCTTAGTAAGTAAGGAGGCTTGAAGTGCCTAAGGGGCAGTGCATCCTTTTGCTGCCTGTAGCAGGGCCGGGACAACCCCTGTTGTTAATCCCCTTAGATCGCGTGGCTCCGGGAAACTGCACTGAGGTTTAACTAGGGAGAGGAGTGAGGGAAGGGGCTCCCGGGGGGAATGTGGGGAACCCACGAGCTGCAGCCCTTGGGACTGGCGTTTAGCAAGGGCTGCTGCAGGAACCGCTGCGTTGCTGCAAGAATTGCTGTGAGAATTGCTGTGTTACTACAAGAATTGTTGTGTTGCTGCAAGAATAGCCACATTGCTGCAAGAATTGCTGTGAGAATCACTGCGTTGCTGCAAGAATCTCCACGTTGCTGTGGGCCACTCACAGCCGGGGAGAGGAGGCCCCTGCCAGGCCTYGAGGACGGGCTAGGGAGACCCTGGAGACACGAAGGACATGCTGCAGGTGCCCCAAACTGCACCAAAATGAAGTCCTCTCTTTCCCTCAGCCCCTCTCCATGGCCAGGCAAGGAAAGAGCCCCCCAACACGCAGCACAGCTGCTGCTAAGTGCCTCGGCCCCCGGCCTTCTTACCTTCTTGCTCTGCCGGTCAGCCTGTCCTTTCCTCTGGCCCGACTGCCCATGGCGGCCGCTGCTCTGGGAGCAGCATCGCTCACATTCACGCTGTGCTGGCCTCCACCTACAAGTCAGGGCGGAAGGGACATGGGGCGCTGAGGGGGCTGCCATCCTTTACCCCCACCTTATAGCAGGAACTACCAGAAGCTCTAGGAATACTGTCTTATTTTCTATGGCAGTAAATATAAAGGTAAGATTGAAGGGTGCTTAATGTGCATTTTTGATTCTGAATTCAAGCTGTAGTTGTTACTGCCACTCCTTGGTTACTGCCTCCCCCGCGATTTTCGCACGAGAGAACTATCAGTGAATGGGTTGGTGAATTCAGCACCAGTGAATTCAGTGCCAGTGAATTCAGGGTTAGGTTGAGCTGGCCCTGCTTGAGGGTATTTGAGATCTTCTTACACAGTGTCCCTAAAAGGCATTCCCAGATGGAGTAGATAGGAGAGAGTTGTCAACTGGAGCAGACACGGGGTTCTCTCTGATAGGTAGCAGGGGGATGCAGCAGCCCTGTGCTTTACTCACCTCTTCCTTCGTGAGGAAAGGCCCTGTGCTGGAATTTCCTTGTGCTTCTTCCCCCTGGAAGGACAGAGCAGAGCATGCACGGAATAAGCACGCTTCAGCGGGGATGTGCAGCAGAGAGCCTGGCATTCAAACAAGGGAAAAGCTTTGTTGTGCTAGTCCCTCTCCTGAGAAGCAGGAGTCGTAATGGGCTCTGGTGAGTAAAGAAGCTAGCACATGCCACAGGGATCAGAGATGATGTGCTCCAGGATAGGATTGCCTCTCAAACCGGTGTTTGGGAAAGGAGGCAGGGCTGTGCCTCCGTGCTGCGCTCAGCAAGGTTACACAGCCCATGCCGCTGCTCTCCCTGCGAAGGTGAAAAGACCCCGCTCGGCTCCAATCCCATCCCCCGAGCACCCTGCCAAGCAGCGGGGCTGAGGGCCTGGCACCACGCACGGAGGTGCTGGCCCCAGCAGAACAGAGTTGTGCAGCCGGCGGCCACCAGCCCCACCAACCCTCACTAGTGTCAGGACAGGATCTAGGTGTCCCTTGCCAACCTTTCTTATTGCTGGGATTATCCAAGGCTGGCTCCCCATCCTTAACAAAGTCCTCTTCAAACCTGCAGGTTAAAAACAGGCATCGTCAGACCTGATGGTTCTCCTCCCGCGTGCAAAGCGTGTGGGCAGCAGGCCTCGAGGCGCTGCAGGCTCCAGCCCTCAGCTCTCCTGCACCTACTCACTGGCAAATGTGGTTTTATCTGCAGGAGCTGCAACTACATGAACTGACCAGGAGACATGAGGTTGTGAGGCAATTCTACACCAAAGGAGAACCCCTAAAACCTTTGCATCGGTACCCACCTTTTTATTGTTGTTATTTTATTCTATGACCRTCTGTGAAGCCTGCAGAGGCCTGTAATGCAACAGCTCTAAATACAATGTGAAGTAGTTCAGAGCTTCTCATCTTGCATCAGACCACTGGATCAGACTCTTTGGTTTGGTATCTAATCCTGCTTGCTCGTGTTATTGCTCTTGTCTTGGAGAAGGGGAGCAGTAAGTTTTAGAGTTGTCTTGCCAGTGGCATTCAGCACCCACTTACATCAATTCACCTCCAATTATTGGGGTCTCAGTGACTAAAAATCTCTGGATTTAGCTTCATTCCTCAGCCAAAAGATTCTCCCACTTATCTGCCCCCTACAAGGGCAGAGGGTCTTATCAGCAAATGTAGGTAACGTCCTCCACACCCTATAAAAACCCTATCCTGGTGTAGGCACCAAGCCGCCCTCCAAAGCTGTCCAGCCAGTGTCACCCAAATGGAGAAGTATGGCTAACAGGAGAGCGTTTGAAGTAGTGAGGAGCCAGACCCTGTGGAGAGCTCACCCATATCACTCTCCCCAGTATTTCCCATGCGTTGTAAAGGGTGATMTTCGAAGTGACCCTCTAGCACTGCAGGGCCCCAAAGGACTGAGTCTGTGAGATGAGGAAGATTCAGTTAAGCTGGCCCTGCCTGGCACTTGTCCATGTGGAGTTGAGGACCCTCCAAGCACAGACTCAACGCTGGTTCATGCTCCCCTCCCATGTCCCCTCTGAGTGCACCTCAGACCCAAAGCAGGCAATCCTTGCCAGCACAAAATACCTTCTATTGGCATAGGAGCCCTCCTGCTAGAAAGAACTGTCAAGGAGAGCCCTGGTATCTGGTCCCCATGAGAACTATAGCCAAGAGCAGAAAGGGAGACAGCGATTTGGTCAGGGGGAAGCAGATGACAGCCTGGGGTTGGGCCAGCATTGCACATCTGCTCAGCCAGTCAAACTGCTGCAAGCAACCACCCCAGGGCAGTGCAGGACCTACATGTGCTCCGACTTCTCCACATCCCAAGCCCGTCGCCACTCGCCCTTGGCGTTCTTGTGACGGGCCAGTCGCTCCAGGTCGATCTGATCCCGCTCCCTCTTCCAGCGCATGTACTCCGAGCGCTCCCGTCCACTCATGGGGAAACTCAGGTCTCCAGGGCCTTTCTGGGCTGACTTCCCACCCTCCTAGCAGGGACGAAAGAGCATGTTGGTCTTTTTTCACTGAAAATGCCCGCGCTTGCTGTGGTCCCTACTCAGTAATAGATGAAGTCACTATGGAACAAGGTGGGATTCTTGCGCGCGTAGAAGGGCTCTACTTCACCCACAGCCCAAACATGCTGGCCCAGGGCTGATGGCTGTTTTTTTTTTTTTTTTCTGATTTCACAGAGACGGAAACTTGTGGAAGGAAGAAGCTATGTGATTCCCTTGGAGCTGTGTCATGAGTCCATGACCAAGTCAGAAGTAGTGACTGCTCCCTTCCAGGGATATACAGAAATGGTAACAGCTACCAGTGGCACTGTATTTCTCTATAGTTGTCCYACTTCTCCTAGGCTAACATAGATAGTCTAAGATTTTACTACTCGTTTCACTTCTTATGCTTAAAATTCCTCCCACTTAAAATCCTCGATTTTTCCATCTGCAGCTGTTGCCTGAGCTGAGGTCTTGCCACTATTTCTGTGGCCTGAGCTGCAGTGTTTCCTTGGTTCCTGCAACAGGAAACTCGCCACTCATGTTGCCCTGCTCTGCATCCATGTTTTAAGAGCCCATCTGCATCCTCCTGATGAACTGCCCTGGGGAGGGGCTATTCCACTTTTGCTCCGTTAATTAAGAGTGTCTGCCGCCCCAGGGGAGCCAACGTGTTCTCCAGGGTTTGCATTAAACAGTCAGCAGGAAGGCGCGGGCTTTAATTTACCTCCATCCTACCCAGCTTCTGCTATAGCTAATACAATCTGAGCCTTGCAATCCACGAGCCAATGTGCCAGGGTGAGAAAACAGCTAGGGCTGTGCCACTCGCTATGTGAGTGAGTGTGTTTCTTGGCATCCTTGCTGTGGTGCTAGGGGTTTAAGGAGCCACAGCAAGGCATGAAGGGCAGGCGCGCGCTGCCAGGGCTGGCTTTCCTTCAGTTGCTCAGCAAAGCCTCGAAGAAGACCCACGCACCAACCACACGGTGGTAATTAACCCCTTTCAATTAAATGAGATCCCCTCAACAGCTAAGCAGCCAACCTCCCGCTTGAATTTTTTGGGTCATTACCCCTCTGACACCCATGCTGCCCATAGCGTGAGGTGGCCCTGTCCCCTGTGCTGTGCCCTGCAAGGACATGGGCCCTGCTCACCTTCCGTCCATGGTCACTTTCTGGAGCCCTGTTGCTCTCCGATCTCCTCTTCTCTGCTGTTCTCCGCTCCTCTGCCTACAAGGGAGTAGCCACAGGACTTATTCCAAGGATTGAGGGAGTGCTGGGGAGCTGTTGCCTACCCTATGTCTCATCAGGAGCTGCAAGAGCTGCCCAGAAGCAAGTTCCTGGTTCCCAGGGGCCTGAGTCAAAATTATATGGAGAAGAAGGGAAAAGGAAAAGAAAAAGCAAAAAGGAAAAGAGGTGCATTCCCCAGAGTCCCTGCACATCCACAACCAGAGCCAGAGAGCTGATGTGTAGTGGACTCCTTGGCTTCCAAGGCAGACGGAGGTTTAAGCACCTTGGTAGATGTGGGCCAAAGGCACAGCTTGTAATTCAGCTGCGCAGCAGCTTAGTCACCCCTAGTAAAGGCGGGAGGGATTTTTGTCCCTGGGTCATATGATAAACACTGTGTGGTTCTGCCAGGCTCCGTCCTCCCTTCCGTCCTCCCTGCTCTAGCACTGATAGCCCCCTGCCTGGCAGAAGGTGAAAATCAGCCTCTCTCTCCCTCTTACCAAGCTGCAAATGCTAAATAAGGGGCATACAACAGTCCAAGCCTCTCTGTGGGACTCCCTCTCAGCCTCCCCGAGGGAYTGCAGGAGCTGCCAGGGACGCAGCCCTGACCAGGGCTGTCCTAAGGTGCTGGTGGGTCTGAGCAAACCGCGCTCTGGAGCCCACCAAGCTTTGCAGAGCGTGGTGTCCTGCCTCCGTGAGGTGACATCATGGGTAGGGGGGCTCCCCGCCACCCGGCCAGGGTAAGGGCTGCTGCTGACGGAGCGCGTGTGCCATGCTGGGCTTATCAAGGCGCCCAGTTTTGCACAGCCAGGCAAAACCGAAGCACAAAGTGAAAAGGGCACAAAACCCGCCAGCTCAGCTGTTCGAGAAGGCAGGAGCACTGCACAGTCCAAGCCGAGCTGACGAGGGGGCTTTTTCATTCCTGCTCTTTGCCAGCCAGTGATTCAGGATGTAGGAGGCTGGGGAGCCCAGCCTAGGGGCAGCCCCTTGGCTGCCAGGGCGCAGGAGCAGCCCTGCACACACARGCAAGCTGTGATTTGGGGCAGCCCTCCTTGTAGCAGCCCTTGGGGGCTCCTGCTAGCCCTGAGGCTCAGGAGACACTGTGCTCAGCCTGCAACAACCAACAACCTTGCTGCTGTGGGCACAGGCAGACGGTTGTGTAAGCAGATGCCGGGACATAACACAGGTATCCATTCCACAAGGTGGCTGAGAATGCTTCTAAACTCAAAAACATTCCAGGTTCAGCATCAACTCCCTTGTAAAGCTCGGTCTGAAGAGCTGGGGACCCAACTGGGCTCTGCAGCCCCAAAGTGAGGCCTTGTGTTTACAGCAAGATAAAACAGCAGAAACTTGGCTTATTTGGGCAGAAACTTGCTTGGGCTCATTTGGGGAGCAAGGTGCAGATGGAAGTTCAGCTTTGGGAGCAGCTCTAAGAGCAAAGGGTTTTTGGAAGGAGCCAGCGGAAGAGCTGGAGCCGATGAGTCCCCATGGGGAAGGGCTTGCGTGCCAGGAGAGGAGGAGCACAGACGGCCTAGGAAATGCCAGAGACAGCTCCAAGCTGCTGTGGAAACTGAGGCTGGGAGCCATGAGCCCCTGCTTTGACGCACGCCATGTGTCCCCAGGACACCACACAACTCTCCATCCTTCCACAGCCCTGTGGGCAAAGCCGGGCTGCCCTTCTCCCTCAGCCTGTTGCTATTCTGGGAACTTGTTGCAAACAGAG